AGAGGGGTATATGATTAAAATTTTTTTGTCTTTCTTAATATTTTAAATTTAATTTTTTTGTTACTTTCAATTCTTTTTATATTAAGTATCCAAATAAAATTAAATGCTTAATTTTCTTACCGATTCCAAATTAATAAAAATTCGAAGGAAGCGGAACTGTGCAATCTCTCTCTCTCTCTCTCTTTCACTAAATAATAAAATGACACGTGTTTAGCATCGCGTGCAAGGCTGATAAATCTCGCAGATATATATTGATCGTCTAAAAAATATCAGACGTTTCGGCGACGATGTTGGATCACGTGGGCGGCCGCGAGCGAAAGACGTCGCGCGACATCTCCCGGAAGTCACGGGGACGACTAGGAAAATAATCGTAACCTCCCTCGGTCGGCGAAAAACCACGTTGTTAAATATTTCCCGGGGGACGGAAAATACAGCAGGACATATACATATAAACGACCGGCTCGTTCGCGCGCCAAGTACGGAAATTGTAGAACTGTCAAAAGTCGCAAATGTCAAAAGAAACAGACGAAACTTTCCCATGACAACTCACCCATCAACGGGGCCATCTCCGTCGGCTTCGGCCGCTCCTCGTCTCGTTGCACCTTTCAGGCTGGCTTCTTCGCGAACGAAGACAGAGAGAAAGAGGAGAGAGAGAGAGAGAGAGAGAGAGAAACGTCAAATCGAACACATGTTTATCGGCGGATCGCGACTCTCGTCCCCCAGTGACGACACACGCGGTAGTCTCGCATGTATATCGGGTGTGTCGAAACGACACACGAATCCTCCGAACGGGAGACAATTACGTCACACACGTGATGTTGACTTTGCACGATACCGCACGGTTATATCTCGGAGAGACGCGAAAAGAGAAGGCTTCGAGGAAATTATATAACCTCCTCCTCTCTCTCTCTCTCTTACTCGCTCTAACTCGTCGAACGACGACGTTTTCGGACTTGTTAGTAGAGACCGGACACGGACACTCGCGCGAATCTTGCTTAATATATTTTGGAGAGGCGGGAAAAAAAAGAAAAAAATTCAAGAGTGTTCTCTTCTGGATCCGCGATGCTCTCGTCGATGCACCGATATATAATGTGACCCGATAACGACACGCGGCAGGAGGAATGACAATGACGGACGACTGTGTACCGATTGCCACATGTACCAAGCCGAAGCGGCTTCGGCAACGCTCGACAGTCTTCGGCCTTCTTACGTCTTATCCTCGGTCTCTCTCCGACAGCCGACCTTTTCTTCTCTCTCTTTCTCTCTGTCCCACGGCCCTTTTCCGAAGGGAAAAATTACTTGGTTCCTCGGGAAAAATGTTCCAGCCCTTGACCAAATCTATTTATATTTTCTCGTTCCCACGAAAATATTTGGGTACCTGAAGACGGGTTTCGCAAAAATTTCGAGGGAGAAAGCGTTCTCTTGTGAAATCTCCAGAAGCTATTTACGTTATTTTAATGTCTTGGAAATTGAATTTTAATTAAACACACGTTTGTGTTTAATGACGATGCAGGATAAGTAAAATGAGATTATTAATAGTTTTCTTGTTTATCGGAATTATAATGAAATTATAATGTAAATATGTATTATTTTGGAATAGAAATGAGAGTTTATCGTCTCGCGTGAAAATTAATGCATTAACATATTTGCACAAAATTCTTGTTGACCATTAAAATTTCTTTATTGACTCAACGAAGAGTTTAATGATGACTAATTTCTCTACATACAAAAAATATGTAAAATCACATCAATAATAAATGTAATTTTATACATATGTAAAATTAAGAATAAATAATTAATAGTGAAATAAATAATGAAAATGTAACATTTAATAATTAATTTAATTAATGTAACATTTAAAATTTAATTCAAATAATAAATAATAAAAATGCAATATTTTCATTATTTACCGTGTAATTTTACACTTACTATTTATTTTTAATTTTACATATTTTATGTAATATATTATATATTTTTTATAGTGTATGCAAAGAAAAACAGAAGAAGAGTTTATAAATAAAAGCAGAAGATTTATGACTGAATCCTGATTTTATTCACAAAAGAACGAATATCAAAGTTCTTTAAGTTATTCACAAAATTATATTTTTTGCATCCCTTTAATACCGTTTTTTTTTCATCGAAAAGGAAAAGGATATAAATAGAAAAGATTAGCATGACAATAACGCCTCCTACGATTTTGCACACATTCCATTCTCTCGCAATTCTATACAGAGAGAAAAGAATGTTGCTATACATGGATGTGCTTTCAAATGAAAACGGTATATTCTTATTCGATGAAATTCTTAACGGTATATTCTTATTCCGTAAAATTATCTCCGATACTGTTTACATATATATATTATATATACATATTATTATATATATATATTTCTTTTAAATATAAATATTTTTTTATATAAAAATCTATAAAATTTATATATAAAATCATATACTTTCATACACATATTATATATTTAAAAGAAATTTTTATATAATAATTATATATATATAATATAAAATTATAAAAAGTCTTTTAAAAGAATATATATATATATATATATATATATATATAATTTATAATAAAATATTTCCTATATATATGTATATAGTAAATACACAGAAAAAATTTTAACTTGGAATTTACCCTGAAAATCATGGAAAAGAATTTTATAAGAGATTCTCTGATTAACATTTACCACAATAAGATATTAAATATGTTTGATTAATTTTACTATGTACATAATAAAAATATTTTTTATGGTGATAAATATTAATCAGAGAAACTCTTATAAAATTCTGCTAATACTATATTGTGTATAATAATGGTGCGTTTCGAGATAAAATGAGCTTATTTCCTGTTTATCAGAATTATAATGTATATGTATATTATTTTGGAATGGAAATAAGATTCGCGTCTCGTGTGAATTAACGCATTAACATATTTGTATAAAATTCTGACTATTAAAATTTCTTTATATATGATTCTAAACAAAAACAACTACCACGATTTTCAAGAGATAAATTCTAACAGAAAATTCTAAAAATAAATAAATAAATTTATTATAAAAAATATATCTTAAAAAGTGTCTTAAAAGAAAAATAAAATCTGTATATTTGTATAAAATTCTTTTGACTATAAAAATTTCTTTAATGATTAATTTTTCTATATATGATTCTAAAAAACAATTACCACGATTTTCAACGTAAATTCTAATAAAAAATTCGAAAAAAAAAATTAAATTTATTATAAAAAAAATATCCTAAAAAATGTCTTTTAAAAGTATAATAAAATCTGTAATATGACATATTTGTGCTTTCCGAAGAGGTCTTCGATTATCGACGATTGACAGCTACGTCGCGAGTCGCGCACGCAGGAAGCTCCTCTGCCGATCTCCCACCTCCGCTTTTAATAGGCGCGATTCAACAGTTTGTTGCACGTCGTGCCGGCCAATCGTGGCCGCCCTCGGCCTCCCCTTCCCCCGAACCCCTTCGCGCACGCTTGTTATCCGGTCCGCTTATTTCGCGCGGCGAAAAATCCGCGGGACTCGAGACTCGAGGAGGAAAGAAGAGCCCGGGAAGAGAGAGAGCTCTCTCGCGAATCTCTCTCGTCGATACGTCGCCGATATACGAGGAATATAACCGAGTGCGAGAGCTGATAAGCGGCCGATCGCCTCGATAAAGCATATTGCGCGGCGAGCTATTCATATATTAGAAAGAGAGAGATAGAGAGAGAGAGAGCCGAGACGAAAGTGAAAGCAAGCACATTCGAGCGGAATCTCTAGTCTCGCGCGATCCAACTCTCGATTTAATTAAAAAATATTCATAATATTTCGTAATAGTTCCCTTCAATTATTTGTCGATATATTTAAAAATTCAATTGTTTATTCCCGATTTTTCTTTCTATATAGATATTTGATCATTTTTTAGGTATTAAACAAAAATTTTGTATATTTATTTTATTTTTCTTTCTAGATGCGAAATTAAATTATGAAATGCTTGAGATGTTATCAGTCTAGATCTTAAGTTAATGAAAAACAATATCAATATTACGTAATAGTTTCCTTCTAGATATTTTATCATCTTTTAGATATTAAAAAATGTATATGCATAAAAAAAAACAATATTAATAATATTTCACGACAGTTTCCTTTGATTGCTTCCACGTGTTCTATCATTTTTAGATATAAAAAAATATAAGTATGTACTTATTTGATTTTCCTTTTCTAAATACGAGACATATTTGGGATGTTGTTATCGGCCTAAATAAATTTATGCGAGGGAGAAAAGCGATATTTCCGGCGCCTCCTCGTCATCGATAGACACGTTTCAGCTTTATTGATAAACGCTACTCTCGATAACCGCTTTAACGAGATTACGGAAGCCAGGAAAAGAGCATTGTGCTACTTGCAACAACCGAGAGTTGGCGAATAAACTTGGCGTAGCCGATATATATCGTCGGGGAATTATAGTTTTGCTTTCACATATATACAAGACTACACATATGCATATGCGTATAATACATCCATGCAGAAAAAACGAAAATCCATCAAATTCAATCCTCTCTCTCCATTTTTTTCCCTCTTTTCACATTTCAAAATAAAATAAAAAAAAATAAAATCAAATATAGGTTAGTCGGGTAAAAAGAGATAAACGAAGAAGGAGAAAAAAATGGGAAAACGCGAAAGGCGAAGGACGTCGTTCCCGTTTTCTCGCGGCATGCATAGTCACATGCCGCGTGGTGTCGTCCTAACCTCAAATAACACTTTTCCGCGGAATGCACGGGCGAGATCTCCGAAGAAGAGGGGACGAGGAAGAGAGAGAGAGAGAGGGGAAGGACACTCGTAGGCACCTAATGCGTTCTCTCGTATCCGACAAATCGCATGAATGCTCCTGACGAGGCGATAAAAAAATCCTCGTGGAACATGAATCAGCGCAAAAAAAAAAATTTTTTTTTTTTTTTTTTTTTTTTTTTTTCAAAATTAGGAAAATAATCGACTCACCGGTGTTCAGGAAACGGGTGTTCGTGGTGACCACAGCGCTGTAGGTCTGCGGGGAATGCACGACGGGCTGATTGAGAATGATCTGGTGCTGATGTTGGGGCGCGGACGGCGGTGGTTGCTGGGGATGGTGCTGCTGGGGATGATGTTGATGGTGGGTTGACAGGTGGTGGTGCTTGCTCCCCTTCGTCGGCATGCTCATCGCAGGCGTGGGCCTCCCTTGTGCGAACTGTCCTCAGAAGCCTGCCGTCTTATGCGGTTCGCACTCATAGGTACGCTCTATTTTTTTCCCCCACGTGTTTCGCCGGGTAATCCAAATTGTCCTCTCTTCTCTCTCTCTCTCCCTCGAGGAGCGATGCGCGAGGAGGATGGACCCCGTCAATTTTTATCTTCTATCTACGAGCGAGGAAGTCGCGATCACGCCGTCACGCGTTCGGATCGTGCGATCTGCACAACTGAATCGGCGAAGGAGGAGGAGAAGGAGTGGAGGAGAAGGAGGAGAGATGTTGTGGGCCCGCGTGCGCGCGCGACTTGTTACCTCAAGTATGACGTATGTTTCCTCGCGAGCCTCCTCTCCGCGTTTCGCCGGCCGATCTTGACGTTTCCTCGCCTTATTAAGGGGCCGAACTGTCAAACGACGAACTGTCAAACTCCGCGCGCGCGCGACTCCGTCTCCTCCGTCGCTGGCTACGAAAATATGTCTATACGTCTATATGGGCGACACGCTCGTAAATGTTTTTTCCCAGCGTGCAAATAAAAGCGCACGTGCACGTAACAAATGCAGATGTATCTTCGCTTGCTCTTTCCTCGCTACCTTCGTAAGGATTACCTCGTCCGGAGATACCCGGAAAACAAATCTCACTTCCTTCGAGGAATTCCCGGATAATTTGCAGCGATTTATATTTGCCTCCGCGCCGATCCCACGAACGCATCCGGCGCCCAACGCGAATGGAATGTGACTGCGATCGAGAGCAGCGTGGCGACGTTCGAGACGGATTCGTTCTGGAATCCTATTGGTCGGACTCCGAGCGTGCCGAGCGCTCCGATTGGCGCGTCGAGAAGTTACTAGATTCGACGGCCAATCGGCGGCGCTCGACAAACTACGTAGAGTCGCGTTCGAAACCGGAAAGAGATTTGTTTTCATTGGCTGATTAATTTTAGCGATGATTTTTAAAATTTGCCGCTGAATGTTACAATTTTTGCAATACTCGCTTTTTACAATTTATATTACATTATTAATATATATATAATATTTTGAAATAATGTCGATAGAAATAAAATTGAATTTTGAATCCAATTTTTGCTCAATTTCAGAAAATCTTTTTAGAGCTTATATTTGTTGTAAATTATTCGAAGCTACTTCAAACGCAGTTTGGATTATTTCGTGAATATATTAAATAATATATTTAATAATAATATATATAATAATATAATAATAATATATATATAATATAATATATTATATATTTATATACAATAATATATATTGTTTAATATGTCTATGGATTATTTTTTTCTACGTCAAATATTTTCGAAAACTTAAAAATATTATTGTAATATAAAATATAAGTAAACAATTTTTCCATATATATATATATATATATATATATATATATATATCATCTTTTAATGCTCTTGTAGGTTAGAATCAATATATCAGATATTATCTTGCGTTATAAAAATTTTCTACGTCGCTATATGAACAAATATTTCTGTGCATCGTGTTAAAAAAATGTTGAAAAAATATGCTAAAGTAAAGTGAGAAAAAATATATTCTTTACGTTTGAAGTAGCCTAATCTCGCGCAATATATTATCACGAAATTACATCTATTACATCTTTTACATAACCTGCACATTTATCCCTTTTCTGTCTACATTTGTTTCTTTCCATTCTGCGTGTTCTCATAAATCTACGCATAAAAAATGAGTTCTCATGGGAAAGCAGAAACCGATAGGCTCAGAAAGAATCTGGAGGAACAATTGGATCGGCTTGTACAACAGTTGGAGGATTTGGAAGATTGCAGGTTTGTCTTACATGTTTTCAAGAAATATATGTACTTAACAAGATTTATATATGACCGTTTTTTTCAACAGAGTTACTCTGGATGAGACGGATTATCAAGAAGCTAAAGAAGATACAATGGAACAACTTCGTGAGTTCAACGAGAGTCTGCAAAGAATGATATCCGGAGACATGACGTTAGTTAATGAACTTGGAGCCATGCAATTAGTGCGTATTATATGCATCTTAACTAAGCATACAACTATAAGGCAACATATTGTAACATGTATATTTCTATTTTTAACAGGCGACTCAAGCAGCTATTAGCGCAGCCTTCCAAACACCAGCTGTGATAAGAATGTTTGGTAGACGTGAGCCTACCGGACTCAAAGAACGTCTCTCCCAAATTGATCGTGATGTAAAACTAGGCAAATTAAATAAAGAGGCCGCTGATCGCCAACGTGGAGAGATATTAAGCGCTTTGAGGCAACTTGGAGAAAAGTTGGAACCATCTGAATTACAGTTGTTGGAGCGATTATCTTTAAATAATGTAGATTCCACCAGATATGTACAAGTTACCGAAACAGAGAAGCAAGGTAAAATGGCTCTGGATGTAGTCGGCAAGGAAGTCAAAGCTACCCAAGATACTTGAACTACAATCAGAGTCATGTAACTGCTATTACAATTGGCCATATTATTTGTCGCTATAATTCTAAAAATATGGTCCTGTTTTTAATTCTTTATATTTATTATGTTCTTCTTTGCTCCAAGTTGATTTAATTTGTTATTACTTGATATTTACATTCAAAGTAATCGCTTGTGTCATGAATTAAAATATATAAGCAAAATACATATATATATATTTATGGAATCAAATATTCCAAATTATTTATAAATTTTACTTTAATATAATAATAACATTATAATTGTTATTTAGAAAAGGCTTTCTACTATCACATAAAATTTCTTATCAGATATAAATAATATATAGAAACTTATGACTTATATATATATATATATATATATATATATATATATATATATATATATATGTGTGTGTTGTGCACAACTCTCATAAATTTTATGCAGTTTTTATAAAAAGATATGAATTTTATATTGCTTATAAGTATTTACTGTGATGATTTAATGCAACATTTATAACAAATTAGATTTTGTAGCTTATAATATTAGATGTGACATATATGTAAACGCGTCTCCTATGTTCAGAAAATTGTTCTGTTACATAAATTATAAAATAAATATATTAGTGTTTCTATGACTCTTTTCTATATTATTTTGTTCTAAAAAAATTATATTTTAATTCAAAAAGGATTAAAGTGAGAATTATAAACAGATAATATCAAGATAAATTATCAGTAATAAATGAAAAATATACATATTGTTTATATTGACGCGAATACATTTATATAGTTCACAAATTTTTTAATACCACATTTTGTTGTATATGGAACGCAAATTTTTGTACATCTAGAAAAATAAGGTAATTTAAAACCTTTTTATATGTTGCGATTCACTTTTGCACATACAATATTACAATTGTATCATTTCTTTTCGAAACTTTCTTTTTTTTCTCAATGATGAACACTGGACCAGTAAAGAGCAATAAATTTCATTTTTACACAAATATTATTGTATAAAACTATGATTATTTTGTTATGCCGCTTGATACAATTAAAAATATTCTTCAAGATATACTTGCGTATACATGTAACATTTCTTCCACCTACCGAGGAAGTTTGCAAAGGCATATTAAACGGGTGTCAAGAATATATTAATGTGCTTTTATAGACTATTCTTTTATATATGTATGTATACATATAGTTAATATCAAGTGCAAGCACTTTTATTCATCTTTGATCAAAGATACACTTATATAAATTTTTCACAACTTTATGAAATATATATACAATATATATTTATAAATTTTTCAAAATTACATTCCTTTGTAATTAAAAGTTTCAATAAACAATAATAATCGAAATTATATTTTGTTCATCTTCATCTCTAATAATCAGTAGTATTAGGAGACATTCATATATGTATTCATACATATATTATATACAATAATAGTCTCAAGAAAACATTCATTCAAATAGACAACAAGAGAGAGAATAAACGCGTTTTTATACACTATAAAAAGTATTTATGCCTATATATATATATATATATATATATATATATATATATAAACGAGTTTCTCTTGTTTATCTGTTTTTTCTTTTTGCTTTCTCATATTGTACTCATCGCACATTCATCATGTAAATCGTTTACCGTTTACGCCTGCATACTCTTTTATGCTCACGTTGCCAATGAACCTGTTGGCAATCTGTGCTGCAATACGCGGTATTCCAACAACAATGATATATCGCTTCAGCCTCACAATTGTAACACTAAAAAATGTAATATGCATTTAATACAACAAAATAGATTTCAAAGGAAAGATCGGAAGAATAAAAAATAATTACCCATTGTTTCTTTTTGATGTCAGACACAAGTTGCAAGTGCCTATCGGTCAACTGCCGCAACTCAATCGCGTGTTCCGCTTGTAATCTTTCCAGTTCTCTACACTTTTCACTTTCCAAATCGCGACGTAATTTTTCCAACGCCGTCGTTGTTGGTTGTTCCGAAGTTCTACGTTCTCTCTTAATCTGAAAATTTATAGTTGTCAAAAAATATTATTTATATTAATATTATTAAAATAATATTATATAGTTGTCAAAAATAATAACGTGTATGATTTAGACACTTGGCATTAAAGATTTACCTTGGCCGGAAGTCCATCCGTTTGAATCTGTTCCGTTTGAACGAGGACGCATTTCGATCTCGGTTCTTGAGAGCTAGATGTGACCATGTCTTCTTGCGAGCCCTCTTTCTTCAAACCTTGCGGACACGTGCTCGTTATCTCTCTAGCAGGTTCATCTTCAGCTACTGGTAAACAAGGCACCTGTCTTTCTTCGTTCTCGGCGTTAGTTTCCGAAGTATCTTCCTTATTATTCGACCCATCGTTTGTAGTTTGCGAATCGGTATTGCCGTCCGAACTCAGACGTTCGACTCTCACTCTCAAGTCCTTAATTAGTTGCTTTGGCAAATTAGAACTGTGAGATGTACTCCTCGAACTCGACGATTCCAACTTTTGCACTTTTGCAGGCGTGGGACCATCCGTAATATTCGAATCTTCCTTGTTCTTTCCCAACTTTTTTAACAAATTCTGATGATGCTTTAGCTCCTCGAAAGCTCTGTTCCAAGCTGTTGATTTTTTTACCTATGGAATAGTGCTTTTATTAGAAAGAGGAATAAATATTTTTATTTTAATTACGAGATCAAGTAAAAAAAAATTATTGTGTATATCTTAATTTTTTCCTACTTCCAACAATAATTGTAACAATTTTAAAACTGATTTCTTCTAAGAATTTATATTAAACTAGGAGTTCCGACATTTTTACAATAAAATAAAGATACAAAATACAAAATAAAGGTGACGTGCAAATTTACCTGCAAACTTTGTAAGGTAGTGGAGATTGGCCGAATAAAGACCTTTTCAATGTTAGCCCTCATGTGATGACCACCGAAAAAACGCACGTCGTACACATTGTTGTTAACTTGCATAACTTTCGCGGGCCAATACGGGTATCCCTTTTGCTTTGCATAAACCAATTGATGGGGTGGATTGCACGGAATGCAGAACCACATCTTTTCAGACTTCTCGTTCGATATGCGATAGCAATCCGCGCAACGACGAATTTCTTGAAGATCGTAACAACAATCCTGATACATTGTGCGGCCCATATCTCCTATTACGCTGTGAGCTACCAGAATGACAAGACGATACGAGATAAATATACAAGATCTCTTACACATAAAAGTGTCACACAGAAAATATACAAGTAGATCGTTATTTGGAAATGATTTTTCCTCAGCACAAATGTCGAGGGAGGCCATCATTTTTTGCATGTTCCCAATTTTTACCATCATGTATCTTTATAACTAAACCTTAAATTAAAATTTTATTAAAGTAAACTCTACTTGAAATTAATTGGAGAATGTGGTTTACTTAATATTTTATTTTCACAAGGCTTAGTTTGCGAAAAATCCTGCTTTATTTTCAGTCGCTTAACTCAAAAATCGATGCCTCAATATTTTTGCTGAGGAAAAATTATCTTGAAATAACAAGATCTACTTGTGGTTTATATTTTCGGTGTGACATCTTATGTCAGACATTCTATATATACGAGATGCTTTCGAAAGGGAAGAAAATGCACATTAAGCTTGTCTCTTACCTCCGTGATATACTATGATGTTATGTAAAATGTTGTGTGCATCAGCCTCGAATTCGGCAAGATTTTTGTATTCATTTTTGCTCGTTTTCGCGTCCATTATTGCCAAATCCATATGATGTTTTATTAGAATTCCCGGCCGCCACGCGTCCTCGCCCTCGCTTACCCAGGTTGGTCCGGAAAAGCCATTAGCTGGTGTAACAATCGGCCCATTGTTGAAAACGATGGTACGATTCGTAATTTCCTGCGGTAATTTGGCTTTCAAATGACCACACGTGAAACTAAGAATGTGATTGAGATCGTTCTTGTCGGAATATGTGTCGCTGTTTATTTTCTACAACAACAGAATTTATTTGTACCCTTCAGTAACTATCAGTATTCAGTGAAACGTGAACAAAAAAAAAAGAGCACAATTCTTACCTCACAAAAACTACAGATCTTTAATTTCGCATTGCTGGGTGCGTGACACTCCGAGTGATAGACCTTGTGACACTGCTCGCAGCACTCGACCGCACCAGCTCGTTGACACTTGCAACAGTACCAATCGTGTTTATCGTTCTCCGTTGTCCCGGTGGCCACCGGTGGCAATCTGTAGCTCTCCTGTTCGACGCCGCTCTTCGTAGGCACTTTCTTCAACAGAACAAGACCGTCCTCGACCGCCTTATTGAGCTCATCCTGAGCCTCCTGTTCGGTGAAGCCATAGACTCGAGCTAAATGCCGCACCATACGGTCATTGCTAGGTAAACTCCTTTGATGCACTGTGGTTTTGATCGTATCCCAGATCCGTTGAGTCATAGACGAATCGCTTTTCCGACGTACGGACATGTCGATCTACGAGAAAAGAGGAAATAAATAATTTATATTATTTATTAATATAATATAGTGATGTTTTTTAATTCGATTTTGTGTGTCAAACTGAAATAAAATAAGAAATATCGAAAATTCATGCGTGTTCCAACAACATGAATCACCGAAGCGTCACTCGCCGTTAAATTGATAAGTACTCTGTACCCTCATCCTGTCTCAGTACAGTACGCTTCAATCTAAGCTATATCAGGTGTACTAAAACTGGGTACCCACATATATAAAGTACCCATATACTTATAATAAATGTACGTTCAATCTTCATTCAGTCTATTTCTATCGACCTTAAGATGCGGCAGTGAGTTTCAATAATAATCGATATAAACAACATCGTTTTCAGTGAATAGACAGAGAGAGCGAGAGAGAACAGAAAGTTTATTTTTAATCACAGAGAATTCATCATCACGCAATATGCATTCTATCCTGCTGGCAGCAACAGGATGTTCATTGTTGCTGTCCAGTTTCATTACGCTCGTGTTTTTGCTGCGAAAAGGATGCAGCAAGAACAATAAATCACCTCTCCACATTTTATCAACCTCCGACGTCTTCAGCACTATATTAATGGCTATTGTGCTCCTGGTGAATCACATCGAAGCTGGGATAAGATTGAGCTACAACCGGCAGAACGATACCTTCAACGAAACACCAAATCGTACGTGGACATTCAAGGAGAAAAACTATCAGTTTCCATTCTTACAACTCGATCCTGATGTCACTTTAACGTGCAACATGAAGGGAGTATTTATGCAGTACGGGATGTTACTTGCTACACTAACAAACGCATTCGTATCCCTGATGACCCTGACTCTGCAGTGCAACCTCACTGTAACTTGTGTGAAGAAAAGATGCAGCGACATAATGGAGTCATTGATGAATGATGTTCAATCGAAGGATGTTAAAGTTGCACGACGAGAAGGAAACCTACCGGAAGAAGCAGGCTTTCAAGACGATATCGACACCTTGAAGAAAGGGAGCGACTTTTGGCGAGAGATCGTGAAGATTTTCAAATTTCGAGTCGTGTCGAAGGGAAACAGACCGGCTAAAGTCTTCGTCACGAGTCACTGGCTCGTGTCGTTCATCGTGGTGGCTATTTTATACCTTGCTGAATACGATGACATGAATGCTGTTCGATATACAGAGGATATCGAATGCGCGTTCGACAGCAATTTTCCAATGAATGACTTTTATATATTCTCCGACGTCGGAAATGATTCGAAGATTGGCGATTCTATTATATACACGACGCCGATGGGAAGCGAGTATCTCGAAGAGTTATCGAGTAAGATAAAACCGAGCAGGGCGGAAGTGGATGATGTAGTTCTTAAGGTTCAGAAAATCGTTAAGAACGCGTTAAATTATACAAATAATTCCTCGGAAAATGCGAAAAACAATTTCCTCGCGAATTCGCCAAGTATGACTGATTATGTGGCAACTAACGATATAATAAACTACATAAAAAATAATATGAATAACGTCACTGAACGACTAAGTAATACATTAACGGGACAGAATATGAGTATCCTCGACGCATCTTCAAGCACGAATAATAGTGTAGACTCCAATCAAGATCCTCAAACATTCTCATTGTTCCATGATACGTTGAAGAATTTATCGGAGGAATTAGATGTAGCTACATTCGGGGACCAGAATGATGTGCACGACCTGGACAAGGATGACGTTCAGATGAATCCTGCAAGTACAGAAGAGAGTCAGAAGGTTGCCAATATTGTGACAAATAAACTGTCAATTTCCAACAATCAAATATACAACAATATAATAAAACGTATTCAAGCTGCGATAAAAAATCAGAATCGCACGATGATAAATCGACACGATCGCGCAAAGCAGCCAGATTCGAATTCGATCAGGAAACTATTTTCCAGTAAGAGCGATGATTTTAATAACTACATCAATACAGAGATGCGAAATGGTACGCGACAAATGATCAACGAGTGCCTACTCTCAACCAAGTTCTTACAATTGTACCTGTTTGTCTTACTCTTTACAATTTATTTCCTATCAATTCTGTTGTCCTGCATCCTGCAAATGCGAGGGAAGAACATGTGCGCGATATTAAGAACCAAAATTGATCTTGCTTCCACTCTGCTTCGCGACAACCCCAAAAAGGACAATAATACAACTGTCATCGATGAATCTCCACATCTATCCTCTCTGGGTGACAAAGATAATCGTTATCATGATGCAACCAAGAGATTTACTGCGGCATGGAAAGCAAGGGAACAAAATATCAGTGGCAGATCAGATATAGAGGTGGTAAAAGAGGACCGCAGAAGTGACAGGGATATAAAGAACGAGAGTCTGCTCTTAGAAATAGATTGTGCAGTAAGAATATTTAATGCCATCCAATTATCTTTGATTCTATGCATAGTTCTCTGGACACCAATTTTATTAGAAACTTTACTCAGAGTACTCTTATGCATCCGTTCACCTCAGTGGTTAATTGATGCAACATTTCTATGTGCAAATTCTTTCGGTATCATAAGAAACATCTTCAATATGTATATAATAAAGATTCAAGAGATCTGTAGCAATGCTAAAACAAAAGTCAACAGGATACATCCAGTCAAATAAATGCATGCTCTCAAAACAGCTCCTATTTGTTCAATATATCCAAATATTAATCAAATAAACAATAATAATCTTGATTCAATGGATATATGGATACATCAATAAACATGTATATATTCATCAACTTTCACAGATACGTCGCTTTCGATATCGATGGGGGTGTGAGAGAAACTCTTATCACAAGATACTTAAACATTCGCAATTAGATAATCGCAGTTTTTAATTGGATTTAAAAAAAAAAAAAAAAAAAAAAAAAACCGCGACACCAATACCAGTGTTTTACGTATAATCGCCAAACGATAAACAGCTATTGGCTTTTACAAAAACGTGTGTGTCCCACGCGTTACGCAAAATAAATATATATTAATTTTTAACAAGATACTGTTTGCTTACTGTGTGTACGTGCACGCTTATCGCTTATCACTAGTAAAAGTTCCGCATTCGTTGTACAGGGAATATATAAGTCGACGATCGTCGAACAAGAGGGGGCTTCGCTCAACGCAACCTAGACGTCTGCTTCGCGGAGAACCGCGTCGAGTGTCGCGAGTCAAAAAAAATTTCTCTCGCGAGACTCTCCGCTCCTCCCCGATACTCCGCGGACGATGAACGACGTAACGTTAATGACGAATTAACGTCAAAGACGCGAAGACACTGTGCGTGTGCACGTCACAGACCCGAGCCGACCTAACTCAACCTGCGACTCGATGCGCGCGCAACTTACGTAATTGCATATCGACATTTATCCTGCGATTTCGATTTTTTTTAAATTTAAGTAAAGGCGCGTCGAAATTTCTTAATTTTTTAAACTGCTTTTCTACTTTGAAAAATTCAACGCAGCTTATTTGTTATATATATAAGCTGTTTCTGATCAAATAAAACTAATATAATTGAGATTTGTTATTAATATTTCTTTCAAGAATATCCTTATTAAGGATATACTAAATATTTAAATTTATACATGATAAAATATGTATAACATGAGCGTCTGCAAAGAAGGGCAAAAAATTAAGCATTTGCTCTCCTTTTGAAAATAAAAACACTAAAATTTATTTACATATTTAGTAAATATAGAAAAAAAATTAAAATATAAAAAATTTTAATTATGGCCCCCAGGAAAAAATCCTGCAGACGTCCATGTGTATAAATAGTTAAAAATATACCTAAATAATTAAACATATTCCTGTTACGTATATCTTCAGCCTTACAATATGTAATCATGGAATAAACACAGCGGATGAAGAGAGAATAGAGGATGAGGGATTCGTTATTTAATATCTTCAGCGAAAAGCGAGATACTTATTCAGGCGAATCCTCCCACAACGAGTATAAATACAAAATAGAAACTAGCGAGTATCTACATATATGTATATACAGTTAGTCAATCATCACCTATCAACTACATCTAGCTCTCTCGATTTTAGTTTGATTAGCGACGAATCTAATCATGCAGTCCCAAGTAGCAAACTGACGTCATTCAACATAAAAATGCCGTCATTCGACGCAATTAAACGTACGTTTTGCTACCTGGGATATCACGCTCGAACGAGAAGCTCTAACGAAACTTCAGGATCTGTTCCAAGTTATGCCGCAAATCCCTACCGTCATCCCACTGGACGACCCTCGCCTTCGTCGTCGAGTCACGGGGCAACTTGCTCAACGTCTCCACGAGGGCGTAACCCTTCCGCGGACAGGCCAGGTCGGTCTGCGAGAGACGGAGGATCGGACAGAGGTCATTCTTGCCATCGCCAACGTAGACAATCCTCTCGTAGCGCCTGCCCTGCTCACGCCTCTCGTCGATGTAGTCCATCAAGATCTGTCCTTTGCAGAGGTTGACGGTGCTCAGACGACAAGTGTGCTGGGTGTGATACATGTCTACCCTCATTCTGCCCGTGTCGTCGTAGTAAGCCGGATTCGTAAAGATCCGCGAAACGACGTGCTCGAGTCTCCTGCTTCTCAGCCAACGATCGATGAACACGCTGTTGGAGTCGCTGATGATGATGATCTCGTGACCGTTGGCGTGTAGGGCGAGAAGGAGCTCCTCGATGCCCGCGACTCCGGGTATCCTGACGATGGCATCCTCGATCTGCTGAATGTCAATGCCGTTCTCGTGGAGGAGTTCCATGATCCTGCCCATGTAAACGATCCAACCGCTGGACTTGTACAGCCCCTTCACGTCCTCGGGGATCCTCTCGTCCGGCAGCAGCTTCCGCGCTACCACGTCGGTGTTGTCGTCGCAGACGGTGTGGTCGAAGTCGAATGCTGCCAGCACGCCACGATGCATCTAGAAGAACACAACTGTTATTGCAATTGTATACAAGTAATCGTCTTGTGGAAATCTACCCCAAGTCGAATAGTCGATTATAATCAGTGTTGTGCTTAGATTTAAAAATTAGCTAATGATGATATAAAAATATGTAAATTTATCTTAGATAAGATAAAAATAATTTTGTTTATTTTAAATATATCTACATAAAATTATATAGCAATTTACCTAGATAATAATTATTAAGACTGCACAGTTATAAAAAAATGTAAATTATAAAAAGGATATAAAATATATGTATTCATTTTTTTTATCTAAGATGCAGACATAAATAACACATATTTTTATTATTTATATAAAGATAAGATGAGGCCAAAGTTTCATCTAGATAATCATGAATATAGTTTTATTTACAGCAAACACTGATTATAATATACCTTGTAACATTGGCATAATTTTAATTAAATTTGCATTTTCAAATTCTTAATTCTAATTAAATTTGCATTTTCATATTCTTAATTCTTGCTCTATACATTATGTCACATGTATATTTATATATTCCTCTAAATGTGTGGACTTTCTTCTTGGCATATCATCAATTCAGAAAAAAAACAAACTTTTGAATTTGTTCATCGACTTGCAAATAGTTCAATTATTTTCTTAATATTATAATCACACAATATAATGGATATTGTAATTATATCATTAAAAAATATATATAATTATATTAACGTAAAGGATACTCACTGTTGTTTTGCGTATAATACTTGTGTAGAAGACTTAAGCTCAAATTGGTCTTTCTTGCTTGACGTTACTGTATCAAAATTTTCAGGCACATAATTTGTCCATCTCTTCTGATGCAGCTTACAAGATAGATTGATATGCTTCAAATAATTGTTTGCTTTGACTTGTTTTTCTGTTGCTATGTGTTTATCTGACGTTCAAATGCATTCCTGCTGTGATGTCTTCTCTCTTCGTTCCTGGTGTTCTGTTCCTTTTCTTCTCTATTTTATCTCTTTCTCCACTGTCATCTCGTCTCCTTGCTCTTGGAAAGGAGAAATGATCGAGATTCGGGGGTGGTTGCACTTAAATAGATTCCGAAGAGCCAGCTATTTATGTACCTACTGACAGACAAAGTTATTGAGCAGAGCGCTTTTATAATAGACCAAGGATAAATAAACAAGGAAGAACAAACAACAACGAACATCGTAACGCGACATTGTATTGTGATCCCGAAATAATCAACGCGATTGCGTGAAAATGTCACTTGGCCAGAAATCAACGTAGTCGATTGTTATTGTGGCCACTAATCAACGTCGCCTCTAAACCGGCTCTCTTTCGCGAATCTGAGACACGTGGTCGAGAAATGTCAAAGAAACGTCAAAACGCTGGAATGATGTAAAAATTTGCGATATCGTACCTCGACAAACCTGCGTACTTTTCAAGCGTCCTTTCCACTTGACATTCTCTCCTTCTCTCTCTCTCTTTCTCCCGTTATTCGTAAACAAACAGATCAAATTAGATAAGGTTAGGTCGGATAAACATTCAAACGACGCACGCGTGATAGAACCGGCTTGCCATCGCATAATCCTACACACAGGAGCGTAATTCATTTTATTGCCAAATAAATTTTTATCGCGTCATCGATAATGTCGAAGTATAAGTGTCTGAGACCCGCTGGTATGTCCGATGACGATGATGATGATGATTATGATGATTATAATAATGATGATGTTTTTTTCGAGAAGGTAGGATTGATAGATATAGCTGTCAAACTACGATTTCGTATTTTTTAATTCTTACTTTGTTCTTTTGCCGGATCATCGAAAAGCATGATTTCACAAGAAAGGAGGCTTCGAAAGATTCGAGGACGGAGAATGATTTCAATAATATACTTGCTCATGAAGAGCTCGATCAGGAAAATGATCTGATGAACGCATGTAGAATGGGAGACCTGAAGATGCTACAAGATCATCTGAAAAGTAAGTGAAGAATATTTTTTTAGATTGTTTAAATTTTGATCATTAATTATGTGAAATAAAATCTATCGTTGAATCAAGTCCATATTATTGAAAATTATATCATATATACTTTTATATATATATACCCAGATATAGCCACAGTAATTATTATGACATCATTTTGATCAAAATGATGTCATAATAATTACTGTGGCTATCTGGGTATATATACATGTTATATAAAATTATTATATATCATATATATTTATACTTAATTATTATATCATATATATATCATATACATAAAAATTATTACATTACATTGTCTTTAGATATAGCGTTCGATATTAATAAATTTTTGCATACTGGATGGACTTTGCTGTTGTATGCCACTTCATTGGTGCAACCAGAGATAGTAGAATATCTGCTGATACTTGGTGCAGATCCAAATAAAGATAAAGGTATGCATCAATTGTTTTATTTTTCTTCAATTTTATATAAACTTTCTATATGTAACTTTGTATATTGCTTAATTTTACAGAAGGATTTACACCTCTTATGGCACTGTGTAATTCCACAAAAGGAACATCTGAAAGAGCTCTGAAATGTCTTATAAATTTAATACAAGCAAAAGCTGATGCAAATCTTACCAATAAACAGAGGTAAAATAAAGAATATAGATAATTCATACACACACATATAAGAAAACTGATATACTTTTTATTGAAATTATTATTATCTCTAGTTGTTTCATTAATACAAATAATTTCACAGAGAAACAGCTCTAATGTATGCCTGTATGTCGCAAGATGCAACATTTGTCGCCGAACTTATAAAACATGTACATGACATCAATCTCCATGACAGTGATTGCAAAACTGTAAGTTTCAATCAGTAATTAATTCAATAATAATCAAAGTATTTCTCCTGTAAATCTTCAATTCGGTTATAGGCATTGAACTATGCTACTGTAACTAACAAGCCTGATATCGTCAAAATTCTTTTGGAATACAATGCAGATATTTCATTCCAAGACAGAAATCACCTATCTGCCAAGGACATCGCGGATAAAAAAGGATTTACAGAGGTAATTGATGTAATCTCTGTATTACTCTATCATTAGTAACTAATTTTTTTTTACTTTCTAGATATCTGCTTTGTTGGCTAGAGATGAAGAACATAAAAAAATAATCACTTGTAAAGTATCCACTAGAACAACTTGGGAAGATTTATTTCCAGATTTGTATCCTAGGGGAGAAGACATTTTAGATGATTATATATTAAACATGCTGTCTGGAATGAATTTGGAAAGTTATAAGAGTCTGTTTGTGGGACTAAATCTTAAAACTTTCTTACAATTAACAGAGGATGAAGTATGTCACTTGATCGATATCAGTGTTCAGAGAGAAGAGTTTTTAGAAAATTTGGAAAAATTTCATCTTAAAAAGTGGAATGTCAGCCTTCTTGGCAGTAAGAAGGACATAAATCCGTAAGTTTCATATTTTCTCAATATTTTGATTAGAGTATACAAAATAATTGTATGTGTACACATAGTTTCAGTGTTTATGATAATGTAATATTACTGGCAAATGTAAAGGATAGGATTGCTGTAATAGGTGCCAGCTTTCAATATATAAAAAATAATTTGATAAAAGCTGCAAACGAAAATATTCAACTTTCTCCTTCGCTCACATTACAATATGAGAAAGAACTGAGAGCAACTAAAAAAAATTTGAAAAATTTGAAGAACGAAATAATTCGCTTCAAAAAATTAGCACAAAAGGTATATAATATAAAGCTAATATTTAAAACTATTTTATCATTATTTAGTGTTCATTTATATTTTTACTTGTAGATTGATCAAAAAGATGATGTCAGTGTACCGGCAATTTATATTGGTCCTAAAGAAAATAAATCCAATTGGACTGTACCATTAAGCGTTACACTAATAGTAGGGTTGTACTTGTATAAATCAACATATGTACATGCAAAGATTATGGAATATTTATAGTACATAGAAATATAATATTTTTTTCAATATCTTTTTTCTCTTTACTGAACAAATTTTATATCAGTGAACATTATATTATATTGTTTCATAGCATTATTATTTAGTTTATACTGTACAATGTATACAATGAATATTAAAAGCTTATTTTATATAATTTGTACAGAATAAAAAAAATTATTTTTTTATAGAAAGGAAAAATATATGTACATTTTGCTAATATGATAATGTATGTGATATACCTTTTATTGACTCGAAGGTTCTCTCAAATTAGCCAATTTCATCATCTGTGGGAATATAGGATGGAATGACGGAAGGTTTTGTTGTCGAACTATCAATTGATAACGTTCCAATGGTCCACTGCATAGAGTTAATCTATCTCTTTCGCTCGGATGATTGTCCATCCACTGTGATAATCGACCTATAGACCATCCAGCGCTCTGTGAAACAAACGGAACGATTATTACTTCATTAAAGATATCTTATAGAATGAATCGTATATTTAAGGCTCTTGACTCCTCGCACGTTGGAATTGTTAAGTATTTCATCGAAATACCTTTTATTTTAAAAGACATCTAAGAATTTTCAGTTTTCTCGACTCTGATATCACAATCTAACATAGCTGTGACAAGGATCCTTAACATAAAAAGTTTCCATTCAAACCTGATGCGGCGACGCTAGCTCGGGCGGTGCACCGGAAAACAGATGCAGAAGAATAAGGGACGGCGGCACGCTGCTCTCACCTTGTCCTTCCAAAATTTTGTCCACCATCTCCTCGTGATTGAGAGGAATTAGGGTTTTTAGCGCTCGCAAAGTTCTGTATTGCTGTTGCTCGAGCAGACTCATCTGGCCACCGCGACACAGTGGTGTCACGGCTACTTCCATCTAAAATTTTCCATTTGTTACATCTCATCTACTCGAGTTACATTTATCTTTTATGCAGAAGTTATATATACCTGAGCGAAATCTGCCAGAAGTTTTGTTCTCCCAAAATCAGTCAGAGGTCTTAATAAGCAGGCATGGCGTACAAATAACTCTATGCATCTTGATGCGACGGTTTTGCAGCTGAAAGAAAATTAATATTCAATAATTTATTATCAATATACAAAATGAACAGAGAGAAATAATTTACCTTTCTGCTACAACTATTTGATTTTTGTATGGTAATAAGAATGTATTCACAGATCGTATAATGAAACCTTGTAATTCTCGAATGTAAAGGGAACAGCCGATTTCTTTTCCTAGAGGGCTACTCGTGCTAAAAAAAAATTGTATTAATATTATTTAAGATTAGATCAAACGTAGATACACAAATAAAAAATAAAAAAAAGTAAAATAAAAATTTGAGGATTTTTTTCAGCTGAACTGTTTGTACTAGTTTAGAACTTATTTCTTTCCTTATGATGTGGAATAAAAAAGAAAACTACTGTAACCAGTTCAGCTGAAAAAAACAGACTTATGATAACTTACTCTCTGAATTCAGGATCATCGTGCATCGTCAAGATGATGCTTTCGATTGCATCGCTAATGGAAGTCAACAACGGAGCGAGGATATTCTTCGTTAAAACGTCTGTTTCTCTGAGTGCTGTGGAAATAATAGCGCTTCCTTCGGAGGATAATCCTCCGGATAGATTCGCTATCACGCGATTCGTCTGGTTCGCGAGATAATACAGCAGATTCGCAAGCGTAATATTTGTCTGCTGACCAGGAGTAGGAGAATCTATTACTTGACTGGCTTCGCCACCAGTCACAACACTCTGCTCGCATTTCAAACAGAATAATCTTATTGCTTTTCCTACATTACGAGATACTACGGTTGAGAGTCCATCGTCCACCAGTGATACACTTAATTCACTGCAAAATGTATCTTTATATAGTATATAATATCTATATATTTTTTTACAAAATAGTAAAAATAAGATATATATATATATATATATATATATATATATATATATATATATATAAACTTACTTTGTAATCGTACGAATAAGACTGTCAATTTCATCATGCGTAGGTAAACCCTCTCCAGAAAACATATTGTGCACTGGATCCAGAAGACGAGATACCGAACGCGATAAATATGCATTTTCAAACGGTAATAAAACATTGCGACTATATTATGAAAGTATACATGTGTTAATATAAAACTTTTGTATATCATTACATTAATTTATGTGAGAATATTTTACTTACTCAATACCGTAAATCCCAATACTGTGAGATCTTTCTTTCAAGCGCTTACTCAAGTCCAGAAAAATTCTTAAAAATTTTGGATATTCTCCTTCCAGAGCCTGTTTGACAAATGACGATCCTGCAACACATAGATTACGCTTTTATTTATAACTACATGATACTTAATCTATTTGTAATTAATATACATTTATAATATATTATATTAATATATCTTTATTTACTATTAAGTACAAATAAGAAAGGCCTAAGAGCCATATGCGGATGTTTCTTGCGTACATCTCCAACGAAAATTAATTTTTCGTTGGAAATAAACGAAATGTGCACATCTTTATTTACCTTGAGCACGTTCAATCAAGACTTTTGCGAGAAGAGCGTTCACATTGTCCCAAAATTTTTCAGATAAATTGTGGAAACCCTTTGCATGTTGTTCCAACAATACTCTTTGTAGCAACTCGATCTAAATATAAAATGTTTTCTAAAAACTGTTGGCTTCAAACAATTAAACGAATTATATAACATTGCACAATTTTTGTTGACACACCTGTAGACATTGTGTATATAAAGTATCTTGAAAAAGACGTTCGAGATTTTCCCAGATTTTAGTACGTAAATTTCCAGACGATCCAGGTGACGGAATCGCAGCTCTGCCGGGCGCTCCACGTTTACCAAAATCCTGATTTGTCATCAACGATACGTCTAGTGATTCTGTAGAAATTCTTTCTATGTCGAAAAGAGTAGACTCTATAGTTGTGTCCACAGCTCCATCAATTATTCCCAAGTTTTGAAAGACCTGCACAGCTGTGCTTACCTATTCATAAAGTCATACTTATACATATTAATACAGATATAGTTATAATTCAAATGAGATTAATCGACTATTCAAATCTTGTTTTGTAAATTTAATATTCATTATCATTATTTGTTAAATTAAATAATCAAGCAACATACCTTTGTCCTGTCCATCGCCTGTAAACCTTGCGTTAATGTATGAGTGGCTATTCTTTGTACAGTAGCTCTCTGAGCTTTTACAGCTAGTTGGTCATCCGCGATTACATCTAAGCCATTAAGATCGGTGTCTGCCATTAATTGTTCTGTGCATATAAATTTGACATTATGTAATGTCGATATAATACAATAGTAAAAAAAAAGAATTAGAAAAGTACCAAGTTCATGCAAACTGTTGGCAGCTTTAACAATATCTGGTCCTTGAGTGATACTGCTCATTTGAGAATTCAAACGCTTCGATAAATGTTGCATTCTGGCGACTCTTCTTAGAAGATCAGAAGTCTCATGAAGCCGTGCCAGCACAATTGTTTGCATCTCGATTCTATTAAATGGATCAACAATTTTCCCACGTAATCTTTCAACTGCCGACAAAAGACTCTAAAAAAAAAAGAATTTGTGCCTTCTGTGTCACTTTTTTATACATCAATTTTATTTTCTTGCACAATATTCACCTGTATGTGAGACTGTATTATAAAAAGCACTCCTTCCAACTTTTCAACCCACGTTGCTTGAGATAATAAATCCTCATGATTGGCGAGTACTTGTCTTTGTAACTCGGCATTTAACACCTCAATAGCTAAAATGAGAAAGAAAAAATATAATTATAATTTACTATTTCCGAATTCTTTTTACAGCGTAAAACAATTTGAATTTTACCCTGTCCTAGCTTGTTTAATTGTTGAGCTACTGATAACAGCTGACCAATGTCAGATTTTTTGGAATCAGCTGTCAAAAGTTGTTTGAAAAATTCTGTGAAATTAATATATATTTTGTTAGTTGTGTCAATATTATCACACACAGACATACAAATTTTACTTGCAAAATACATATTTTTCTACTTGCCATCATTTTCTATATCTTCCCAACTTGACAGGTCCCCCATTTTTAGGTTACAGACACATCACAAAAAGACATGACGTATTCTTTAGGGTGCGTTCAAAAATTTTACTCAAGAGTGTCAAAATGAATTGACCAATCAGAATCCTCCGTTTCTATCTCAAAGATATTTTTATCGAACATCGTACGCACGAATTAAAACAATTACAACAAGATTTAATTAAAACGCACAATCAAATTGATCGAAATAATCGAAATAATTAAATAATAATGCGCACTAGCTGCGACCTTCCTGTAATTACTGACCTCCTACATTACAAAAGTGTGCACTATGTACACTTTTCGACGCCATTTGAGTGTAAATGATGTGTGTATTGTATAGTTGTGTATAAAACTCTTTTTCGATTATTTATATACAATTACTCGGTTCCGTTAATTTAGAATTTTCTCCGAATTGTTCTTTTCTTTTCACGAAAATGATACACAGTCTCTTTATCATAAATTCCTCGGGGTAAGCATTTAGAGAAAATAAAGTAACATATTTGACATAAAAACATATTTGACAGATCATAATTTTGTACTTTCCGCATACGATAAATATTTCCTGTCATCAAATATATTTTTTCGACATTAATTATGTGACATGTAATTAGTCTCATATGTACCATATATGTGTGCAGAGATGTCTTTATGGAGAAACACTGGAAAAGTGCAGTCGCACGTTCGCTCTGCGATTATTTCTTCGATCAACAGCGGAGAGTCCTATCACCTGAAGACACTCCACCAGTGATAGCCACTCCGCATCATTATCTCATTAGTATATATCGATGCAACATGTTCTTTGTAGCGGTATGCATGACAGAAGGTAAGTTTGATTCAATAAGGTAACATTGTTTGCCATATGATTTATATATGTGATGATATAATATATTTCTTAATATATTTAACATATTTAATTAATATTTATTATATTTATTATATTAAATATATATTTAATATGTTTCCCTCTTTTCAGTTCCCCCACTGTTTGTCATTGAATTCTTGCACAGAGTGGTGGACACCTTTGAAGATTATTTCAGCGAATGCACAGAAACAATCATAAAGGAGAACTATGTGGTTGTGTACGAATTGCTGGATGAGATGTTGGACAATGGTTTTCCACTGGCGACAGAATCCAATATATTAAAAGAATTGATCAAACCACCTAATATCTTGCGCACTATAGCAAACACTGTTACAGGCAAATCCAAGTAAGCATATCACTCTGTGTTTAAATATTAATACTTTAGAGAGACAGGTGTAAAGGATTTTCTTTCATATCCTGTAATTGTAAATTTAGTGTTAGTGCAATTCTACCCAGTGGACAACTGTCTAATGTTCCTTGGAGGCGAACTGGAGTGAAATACACAAATAATGAAGCTTATTTTGATGTTGTTGAGGAAGTGGATGCAATAATTGATCGAACTGGAGCTACTGTATTTGCAGAAATTCAAGGCTATGTAAGTTTCATAGTAAATACCTCTCACACATACATTAAGGTAATTATATAATTATTTTTTTTAGATTGACTGTTGCATAAAATTAAGCGGTATGCCAGATCTCACACTTTCATTCATGAATCCGAGATTATTCGACGATGTCAGCTTTCATCCTTGTGTTCGATTTAAAAGATGGGAGGTATACATAAACATATGTAATATTATGCATAGTTTTATTTCCAATAATTAGTTTCTTAGCTTATATTCTTTTTTCAGTCAGAAAGGATACTTTCTTTTATTCCACCTGATGGCAATTTTCGTCTTCTTTCATATCACATAGGTTCACAAAGTATTGTAGCAATTCCAATATATGTAAGACATAATATAAGCCTAAAAGAACCAGGAGGTGGTAGATTAGATATAACTGTTGGACCAAAACAGACTATTGGCAGAACAGTGAGTTGTCTTTCTGAAAGAATATAAAGTAAAAATTTAATATATTATAAATATTATAATACATTATTATTATTATTATATTATAGGTTGAAAATGTAACTCTTGAAATTCCTATGCCAAAAATAGTCTTAAATTGCACTTTAACTCCAAACCAAGGAAAATATTCATTTGATCCTGTTAGTAAAGTATTGTTATGGGATATTGGAAGAATTGATGTTTCTAAATTGCCAAATCTTAGAGGATCGGTAAGATAAATAGTTTTAAGTATAAGTTTAACAAAATTGTTATAATAAAAATATTTTGTTATATAATTATTGTTAAATAATAATTGTTATATAATTTTATATTTCAGATCACGATACAAAATTCGGCAACTGTTACTGAATCAAATCCTGCCATTAATGTACGTATAATATATCTAACAATAAAAAATTTTTTTGTGAAACTAATAATTTATAATTGAATGTCAATTTTAGGTACATTTTACGATTAATCAATTAGCGGTATCAGGTTTAAAAGTAAATCGATTAGATATGTATGGCGAAAAATACAAGCCTTTTAAGGGTGTCAAATACATCACTAAAGCTGGTAAATTTCAAATAAGGATGTAAATACAATGAATGACAAGATAAAACAAAAATTATTTCTTGTACATTATATTAAAAAACGTAATATATATGTGCTTTACATAATAAATGGGTTTAATAAATATAACAGGGATATATATACATGACATTAAAAATATATTTATTCTACGTAAAAAATAAAAGCATCAATATAGAGAATGATGTTAAATTTTAAATATTCCTATTTTAATTGACTCATGCTTATTTTATACTTATATATTTACGAAACAAAATTAAATATAATAGTTAATAAATATATTGAACCATTTTATCTAATTATAATTAAAGACTGTTATACATATATTACAAACAAAACGTTTATTAAAAGGTCCTTTATGTTGAAGATTGACATAATTCTTTCTTTGCTTCCAAATCTTCCCATGTTGGGTGAGTAGCATATGTGTACAATCGCTCCATATTAGTAGCATATATAGTGTGATTACTAACTAGATTTTTATAAATCTGTTTGGAAAAATAAAAACCACGATTAAATCATGTATAATAATTTTAGCAGAGGATTAGATTTTTTTAGTCTTACCTTTAATGCATATTGTAAGTCAGCTGTGCTTACTGGTTTCAATGCTGATCGAGTGGTTTGAGTGGAACAAGCATATGAAAAAGCAGTAGCTTGTTCAGCTTCTTCAAAATTGGGTTTTAGTGTAGGAATTTGACCATAAGGATCTATTACTTCTGTTGGTCTGCATTGTAAAATATCAAAATAATTAATATACAGCATTAATTATGTATAATATTAAAACCAGAAGTTGTAACCGACTTACTCTGAATGGAATGGATTTATATACATAGAGTTTCTTTTCCATGAACTAGGTACTGGTTCTCCTATATTGTAGATGAAGGAACCATCGCAGACAGCGTATCCTTTTCTCCGTGTGAAGACAGCAGTGAGGATATTTTTCAAGAAAATTTGTGTAGCGGCAATAATAATATGAGCAGTGTTCTCTTCAGCTCCATCCATATTATTTTCCCACGCAGCAAGCATTAATCGAGCCAGCACAAAAGTCCGATCCGGTAATACAAGTTCCTGGGCACTGGAACGATTGGCACCTATGGGTTCATCACCGACAGGTGACGAAGCTTGACCCAATACCTCCACATACATATCTGCTGGCTGTTGCAATGAAACAAGATCATATATATATATATTTGTATAGTATTGTTATCTCTGTAAATGTGTGTATATAATGATCTACATGGTCACAAACCTCAAAGTTTGATTTATCAGTTTTGTATTTGCGTTTCAATCTCAGTCTTTTCTCTTTCGAAGTTTTATCTCTATCTATCTTGTAGGTTGGCGTGATAGTAGCTAATCCACGAACTTTATTGAAAAGACACAACAAGAACTCGTTGTGTAATCGAACTTGGTCCTCTGTCATTAGATTACGTGCTTCGCAATCAAATTCTTCCTTTGTGGTCTAAGACAATATTTTCATAAGAAATAAGAAAAAATAAGGCAATTATATAAAAATTAATTATTAAAATTATTATAAAAATTAATTAAAAAATTTACCTTCATTTGAAACCATAACTTCATCTTCTCAAAATACCTGTTAATAAAAGAAATAATTATAAAGATAAATTTAAATGCATAGGTTAGTTATTTCCTTTATCATATTTTTGTATTAAATATTTGTACATTTTATTTTTTTAAACGAGAAAAAAACTTACGCCTTTGCATTTTCGCCAAGCGAAGTTACAAGACTCTTCCTAGCTAAATTTAATTCCTTCGAAGTAGTCATTCTTGCAATTTCTTTCTGTTTTGGATACAGGATGTTTTAAAGTCAGTTTAGGTTAGAATAGAAGGTTAGTTTAAGCGGTATTTTAAATAACTAATTATAACAAGATTACATCTCTGGAAATCTACTTATCAAAATAAAATAGCTAATTATATTTATTTATACAATTTACAATATTTTATTTAAAGCAACATTACCAATTGCTTTATTACATTTTAACTGTTTAGAAATAAAAAAATTTAATTTAGATACACCTATATTCAAAATTTTATAAAATCTTTTGATGTAAAATTATAAAAAAAAAATTGCGCCAAGTGAAAGTAGAAACTTGTACCAGTGGAAAATTAAAGTTGCAGACATATATAGAGTCGTATAATGAATCAATAAAAATTTAAATTTGCAAATGTAGAATTGTACCATAAAAAAACTTATCTTTAAAAAAAAAGATAAACAAGATGCCAAGTCCATGCTCCATGTGAAAAAGTGTTAAACAAAAAAGTATTTTTAAGTAAAAAAATCTATCAATTGACAAAAATTTATGTTCTAAAATTAATATTTCTACAAAAAGTAATGTCCAATTATTGCGCGAATAAATAAACATTTTTATAAAAAATTAAAATTTAAAAACTTATGCAAATTTAAAATTAATATAAAATAAAAAGAAATAAAAAAATTTTAGTTAAAAAAACTGGGCGCGCTGCAATGAGTTTAAAAGTAACAATTTAATTTTAATATTATTAGAATATTATTTAGCAGCGCGCCCAGTTTTTTTAACTAAAATTTTTTTATTTCTTTTTATTTTATATTAATTTTAAATTTGCATAAGTTTTTAAATTTTAATTTTTTATAAAAATGTTTATTTATTCGCGCAATAATTGGACATTACTTTTTGTAGAGATATTAATTTTAGAACATAAATTTTTGTCAATTGATAGATTTTTTTACTTAAAAATACTTTTTTGTTTAACACTTTTTCACATGGCGCATGGACTTGGCATCTTGTTTATCTTTTTTTTAAAAGATAAGTTTTTTTATGGTACAATTCTACATTTGCAAATTTAAATTTTTATTGATTCATTATACGACTCTATATATGTCTGCAACTTTAATTTTCCACTGGTACAAGTTTCTACTTTCACTTGGCGCAATTTTTTTTTTATTTCATTACTTTTGTTACGATTGTACATTGGTTTATAATCGATAATTTTTCATACAATTCTATTGTACATGGGTTTGCAATGGATAATTTTTGTTAATGGTGTGCCCTTAACTGGTCGCCTTTTTTTACCTTTTTTTAAAGGTGAGTTTTTAGAGATTATATCATTCATTTTTGTATATGATAAGCATCTTTAAATAAATAAGCAAATTCAATTTTTCTGGCATTTTCTTATTTTAGGTACATATATATCCAATAATTAATATACAAAATTAAATATTATTCATCACACAATTTGTATCAAAATAATATATTTTTAAAAATTTATTTTAAATTTATTTAATCATTTTTATCATTGTGATTGTAGTGGCAAGGATTTTATTGCTCAGTGTCATTGCAAGCATCTGGCCTGTATATACCATAATATATTGTGTAATACATTGGCTAAGTATGACAATATGGATTTTGATAGATTCCCATGGAATATTGGAATTTTGTCGGACTTGCAGTCATCCACCACATATGCAGCCTACAATTAAAGAACGCATTTATTCCATATTATTTGCTTCCGTTATTGGCATAGTGCACATTTTTATATATCTCAATGCTGTAGATAGCAAAACATTTTGAAAACATCTATCTTTCTATGTTATCTGTTTTTTTGAAAATATTGCAGCAAATTTATTATGGCAATATGCTTGTCCTCCTGCAGTTAAAGAGGCTTAGTACTTTAAATATATTCTTTATTATTTGTATCATTTCCTTTTTCTTGGGAATTACAGCAATGCTTTTGTACTATATTGTCTTGCATCCCTCAAAAAGACAACATACTTCAAACGCACCAGTTCAAGCAATGTAACTTTGATATTTATTTACTTTAAAAAATGAGAGATAAATTATACAATATGCAATTAACCTTATCTTATGACTTTTATAAATCTTATGATAAAATCTAACTCTCTCTTAATCTTTATTATGAAAAGAATCTCGGTATTATATGAAATAATTTCATTGTATAGTTTAACTTTCAAAAATTTTGCAAAATAAAATAACTCACATTGTATTTCTACCATATATATAAAAAAAAGATAGGTAAATATAAATAAATAAATATATATTTATGATATACAATAAATAATATATATTTATATTATATATATATATATATATATATATATAAAATGTTGGATTTTTATTATATATATATAATTTCAAAAAATCTTTTTTATATGCTATTGAATTTTAATACATACAATTTTGATTATATGTATTTTAATTGATTATATTTATAAGTATTTTTATATTATCTTAAAAAGACTGCATAGAATTATTTGTGCGACACTCTTATATGTATGTATAATTAATAGGGACCAACTACACATTTTTTTTCCACTGAATAAAAACAATCTCAATATTAAAATTAAATTATAAAAAAGATACTGTGATATTTTATTGATGAGAAATGTACATTTATAATTGTATTAAATACAAAAATAAACATGCCATGAATTACTATATATACATATTTTCATAATTATCAAACTTAAAAATATAATATTGTTACCAAAGAAGAAAGCACTATTTAAAAACTCTAAAAGTTCATAATTTGTTAAATTAGTAATTAAATACTGCATTTTGTATAATTTTTAAGCTTTATTCTTTTATTTTTCTTTATTTAATTGAATAGATATTAACATCCACAATGTAGCATACAGATTAAATTAACAACCAAAGAAATAAATCTTAACTTTGAAATATATTTTTGTTTCTTTTAAATATCAATCAACTGGATTTTGTACTATTAATATGAATTCTTTATCTGGTGCCATCATAATTTTATGTTTTTGCTACGTATGCGCAAGAAAGTTAAATCATTTGTTGGATTCAAGTCACGTACGACAGAACGAGCTTTATCTGACAATTGACTTATCAAACCTGCGTATTGAACTGTTGTCGTATTATCTAATGTTGACTTTATAGGAATACCTAAAACAGATATAATTTTATAAATTTTTGTTTACAACTACAAGTAAATCATGTCAATGATCTCATGTAATACCTTCTGCATTCACCACTATTGTTCCAACTACCCTTTTATGAGACTGAATTTGTTTCATAGTTTCTTCAACCTCTTATAAATTATTTCATCGAAATTTATTAATAAAATTTTTATTTTAAATATTCCAATAACGGAAGCAAATCATATGGAATAAATGCGTTCTTTAATTGTAGGCTGCATATGTGGTGGATGACTGTAAGTCCGACAAAATTCCAATATTCCATGGGAATCTATCAAAATCCATATTGTCATACTTAGCCAATGTATTACGCAATATATTATGGTATATACAGGCCAGATGCTTGCAATGACACTGAGCAATAAGATCCTTGCCACTACAATCACAATGATAAAAATGATTAAATAAATTTTAAAAATATATTATTTTGATACAAAGTGTGTGATGAATAATATTTAATTTTGTATATTAATTATTGGATATATATGTACCTGCAATAAGAAAATGCCAGAAAAATTGTAAAATGGTTCCTATAGCACTGATATTAGATTTATCTTGTTAAGCTAATCGAATGCTGCGATGATAACTAGCCATTGCCCAACCCATGCTCACAAGTGAGCTGATAATGCTACCTGCTTGATGTACAACTGAAAAAAATATAGAAGCTAATTAAGAAAATTATTAAAAATATATGCATACTCATACATAGGCATTTATATAATTGAAATATTATTGAAATAATAGCAAAATATCTGATTTTGTATCACAGACTGTAAACTTGCACATAAATTATTATGACAATAAATTTGCAAATAATAACATTAAAATTGAATGTAAAAATTGAAATTGAAAATATCTAACCCCGCACGCTGTCAATATAGCGGAGGGCAACTATTATTAAAAATATATGCATACTCATACATAGGCATTTATATAATTGAAATATTATTGAAATATTATGACCATAAATTTGCAAATAATAACATTAAAATTGAATGTAAAAATTGAAATTGAAAATATCTAACCCCACACGTTGATTGATTGAAAATATCTAACCCCGCACGCTGTCAATATAGCAGAGGGCAACTATCGCCGTCTGTTGTAAAACGTGCGAGATGGACATTTCCAATACATGCATCTATTTATGTGTTGTGTACGTGTGATATATGTGTGCGCATGTGTTGTATACGTGTGAATACGTGTAGCACGATACTACTATGTTTGCGTGGTCGATGATGACAATGATGACGGGGACGTTTCTTAAAAGAAATTTTTCATATTTCGACTTTGCAATTATATATCTCTGCTTACAAATCACGTAGAGCAGAAATAAAGACACTTTTATTATATAATTCAAACTCAATCTATCGATTAAGTCTAGTATAAACTCGATTGCTTCAGCCGTTATTGAGAATTCGAAATATTATAAAGACTCAAATGTCTGACTCGCGTTAAGATACACGGTGTCTCGGCTACGCCCTTAACTGGTCGCGAGACACTACCGTGTCTCTTGATCAATACAAATTTATTTTGTAAATAAATTTATTCATAAATTTATTTTATAAATAAATCAGACCATTTTACCATTTTATTTCGTTCTTATTACATTATGTAAAAAATATAACAGAGAGCATTTTCACTCTTAAACTTTACATATAAAATTATCAAATATAAATAGAAAACTTAAACATATTTTTGTATACAAAAAAATTGAGAGAATTACAAAAAGAGAAAGTTTCTATATACATGGTTTTTTCTGAAGAGATTAAACTCCTATAATCAATTGTTTCAATACTTTCAATTGTTTTAGAGCTTAATTGGCTTCTTATTGTTTTCTAATAGAATTACCTTTTAGAGTTCAACGTATTAAATATTCTAATTACAATTATTTGTTGGATATATACAATTCATTATTATAATAGAAGCTACCATTTTCTTCCAAGCCAGTCTTCGTAATCCTTTTTCCTATTTTTACGACCTTTCTTCTTACGTCATCTAACTTCCTTGGATGGAATTCTTGAGCGGACGAGATCCCAAGTTATTAGCGACGTATTTGATTTCGTGCACAGATCCATGACTACTTGTGCATTTCTAGCATTGTGAGTGACTCCCAGACATGTTCCTGCTGCCATGTTGTAGATAGGTGTACCATTCTACGTAATAATAAAGTGTTTATAATTTACAGTGATTGTGGCAATTATATTTATTTTTTATTTTTATTTTATAAAAGAAAATAAAATACAATTAATAAAATTAAAGTAAAAATAAAAAAAATTAAATAAAAAATATAAATAAATAAACAATAAATTAATTAATAAAAATAAAGCTAATGAGTATTCGTTATGCAAATGTTCAGAAGGTAACATTAATAAAAAATCTTACAATGCGTTTATGACGCCAATCTTGATTTCCGCCCATTTCGTGACACTTTCCAAGTTTCGGAATCTTCTCAGCTCCTTCCATGCAGAGCATTTGACCAAGAACTAGTTCGTTTTTATCGGTTTCGTACCACATCTGTGTTGTAACGTAAATTATTTATAAGGCTAAAATCCTTTTTTTCATTAATATATCTAGCATAAATATTTACCTGTGATTTAATTCTTAAACACGGCAACAGGATAAATTTCGAGCCTTTAGTCTTGATATCTTTCTCGCTCTGAACACAGAGCACAGAATTTGAAAGTCTGATTTGATACTGATCTGTATAATTTCTTTTCCTCGAATGCCACGGTTGCATCGGCCTTTGCTCGAGTTTGGCCCATTTGTCCTTCAGTCGCTTCTCTGTATCATCCGGTAACGCTAATTCCGGATAAACCTCCTTCAAATACCAGCCGAAAGTCTTGCATTGCAATCTCTGACGCAGTGCTACCCGTTCCGAGACGTTGCCGTAATCAATTGCTTTAGCAGTTTTCAAAAAGTAATCTTTATATTCGTCCATCCACACGTACGCGACTCGCAACGAGTTCTTCAACATGCTGTCATGCGAATCGTCCGAACCATACGGTCTTCGTCTTCTAAACACATGACCCACTCTTGAACAGGGAATCAACTCGATACTACCACCGCACATCCATATCTGGAAGAAAAAACCGATCAATAATTTTGTCACATACATATATCGCAAATTAAATCGAAGAATAAAAAATAAGCAATTAATTTTTACTCGGAATGATATTTCAAGGTTTTCTCCACCCCACACGTCCATGCCAGTGTCGTATTCTCCCATCTTTGAAAAATATTCTCTATCAATAGCGAACAATCCTCCAGCCATTGTTGGCGATCTGCATTTTAACAAGACATCAATATTTATTTATAAAGGAATTGAATTATGCATGAAAAATGTATTTATAATTAAATATATTTATAATTAACTATATATATAATATATTGCAATAAGATGTATTTATATTAATAAATGGCTATAAATATAAAAATCTTACTTGATAGGCTTTACGAAATCGTCGTCATGTTTCAAAGTCCCAATTGGCAAATTATCCCACTTAAAGTGAAGACCCCAGTTAAATCCACCCCTCACTAATGGGCTGCCAGTGTATTGGAATGTGTCTGCATTTATAATATCGATTACTGGCATCGGTACGATAGTCTTAGAATAAGCGATCCTCGATAAAAGCGGCTCTATCCATATTTCATTTACTTCTATATGGCTGTCTAAAAAGATTAGGACATCGCCACTAGCTTTTCTCGCTCCAAAAACCCGTGCCCTGATCAAGCCCTCTCTTTTCTCTGTCTTAAACAGTCGCACCTTAGCGTCAAAATGATTTTTAATGTATGCCTGTACTCTTTCGTGCAACGTGTCGCTGTCGCTATAATCGTTCACCAAGATAATTTCGTGCAGGAGAGCCGCTGGAGTCCTCTCGATTATAGAATGCAAGGATCGCAACAACGTCGTGTAATGCTCGTTGTAAAAACAGATAATTATACTGGCATTTGGCAAATTGGAGGAATATCTTTGCGTCTTGCACAATTTGTGTCTTGTGTCTGGTATATTTCTTTGTATTCCAAGGTTGTCCGATATCAGAACATTAAAGGCAAAATTCTTGTAGCCAGTGTCTCTCTTTCGCTGATCCTCCATATTTTTTACCATACCCAATTCATCTAAACCTATAACAAAACAGTTTGTTCCATTAACTTGTCAACTTTGACAACCTGATACCGATTTAATCTAATGTTACATCTTATCCCAATATATATATATATTTAATTATAAATATATTAAACATGTTTAATTACTTTGTCAATTTTGACAATCTGATATCGATTTAATCTAATGTTACATCTTATCACAATATATATATTTAATTATAAATACATTAGATTAAACGTGTTTTGACAATCTGGTACCAGATTGGTTTAATCCAATGTTGAAGATTAGTACCTTGATCCAAGGTGACTGCAGGCTTGACTGGTACGGGTTGTAGCTGTTGCAAGAGCAGATTGTTAGCCCTGTAATCTTTCTCGCTCTTCAGATTGTAGGCCTTCTTGTCGGATAGAATATGCTTTTCGTTTCGAGCGCTGATAACGTTGTCCCGCAACATGATTTCCTTATCGATTTCTCTTTCCCCATGAACAGAAAAGCCAGGCACCAATATCGTAGGACTGGCACTGATGCTGTTCTGCGACAATCTTGAATAGAGGTACAGGCTGAAAGCCCATGTTATGGAAGCTATAACTATTCCCGACAGGAATGACACATATCTCGTCGATATCATCTGTCAAATAAATAAATAAGTAATCAATTTTGCACGACTAAATTTGCAAAACAATGAAAATATTAGACAATTTTCTTTTCAAACCTTTAATACAATATGTGCGAGAATCGAGCTTAGTTTTTTTATAAACACTTGTCGCAGATTCCAATTCGATCACAATGCACGCATAAGATATTTAAACAGCATTTTCAGACTGCATTTTTGCGATCAAAACATCAATCTTGACAGCCGGGCGCTAGCGAGCTGTCATCTTTGGTGGTCACGTGGGACATGGGAGAGGCAATTATTATTAATATGGCTTCTTTGGCGCGAAATTTGAACGCGCCCTTGCCAGTCCACTTTTGTCAGTCCATTTTGACACTCTGTTCGAACAACTTTTTTTTTTTAATGTAATACTCGTGTAATATTACATCTTCGACGTCAACATTATCGCTAAAGCTGGCCAGCGAATTAATAGAGGCAAGAGTAGGCCATTTAAATTTAGACATTTAAATTTAGCGATACAGAGACGCCATATTGATTCTATTGTCTGCTAGAGACACTTCTGTCAATAGTAGGGGATCATCTGTGAAGAGTGAACGATTCTGCATATACACGACTGTATTCGATTCGTTTGTTCCAATTATTCCCCTGTGACAAGTAAAGAATATCGTAATTACACCGGGAATAATCGTTTATATCGACAATTTAACGAGATATTGACATAGCACAGTAGGGGCATTTGACATTTTATTTATTGGTGAGTTGTGAAATTTTCATGTGACTAATATATATATTCGTCATAATATTGGTATGTGGCATCTTCCGTCTTATCACTTCTTGAAACATGAATTGTACATATATAATATAATATCTCTCCATCCTCTTATGACTAATTATAACATATGCCGTATTCAATGTGTGTGTGCATGTATGTAGGAAGTATGTACTTAGACATTGTGTAAAGAACACTATATTTTGTATGAATGACGCATGTACACTTTTAACAACAAGATATATACATGGATCTCTAAATTAATTTTATTCCTTGTTTTATATGTTATACGACACATGTTTCTCGCTGTCAACATTTAAGTGTGATGCGTGTCTGTGTGTATGACACATTCATGCATATTTCTGATTAGATTAGATTAGATTAGATTAAATTAAGAGCAGTAGCAAATAACTGTTATAAGATATTGTTGTTAAATAAGTTTGATATTTTATACTTGAATTTGTTAATTATGTTTATTTTTTACTTTTGATTGAATATTAAGTATTTAAATAAATATTAAATTTGATTTATTCAATTACATTTTTTAAATTGAATTATTAAGGTAATTATTAAATGATTAAATGATTAGGATAATTAAATTGTTATAGAGGGTAGAATCACATAATAAGACCATAATAAGAACAAAATCTATTTCTAAAACATTTCAATAAATAGATACAACTTTTTGATTAAAAGTGTTTATATCTATTTATTGAAATTTTTAAAATAGATTTTGTATTTATTCTGTTCTTATTCTATTCTTCTTAATAATTTAAAAATTATCTTAATAACTTAATTTAAAGATGAATTAAGTTAATAAATATAAAAACTTTGATAATGTAAAAAATTGATAATGTAGATTAAAGTATCATTATTGATTATATAAATACTAGATAAAATAAAAATCTTTTTGATTACAGGAAAGTATTTAAGAAAAAGAAATTCAAAATGTCTCTTTATCCTACACTAGAAGACATGAAAGTAGATCATATGATGAAGGTAAGTAAAAATTCTACGAACTGTATAGGCTGCAAAATCAAGAATATTATAAATTAATATCTTTGAAATCATGTGACAGATAAACTTATACTCCGCATCAAAATTATATTATAGGCTCAAGTGCAAGCAGAGTCACAATATTCCATTTCAATGCCGACCGAACGGGCAGTTCCCTCGGCTCCAGTTTATGTTCCTTCTGCACCTGGTACATTGTATCCATCCCTGGGAGATTACATGGGACTCGAGCTAAATGAAGATACTATTGCACAAAATATGCCCGAATATGCTCTTGCTAGACATCAAAATGCAAACGATGTATGTTAGCACATTATGTAGTATAGTTTTTTAAATTATGAATTTTAAATCTGAAAATGGAAAATTATATTACTTACTTTGAAATTATTTTATTAATTAGCTTTGTCCTAAAAAAAAAGCCAATTTTTAAAAACTTATTAATAAGAAAAATTTATATTATGATTTCAGATGACACTTACTTCAACAAACGTAACATACAATCCAATAGCAGGATTAGTCGCTCCTTTGTCACAACAGTCAGCAGCTTTACAGAAAGCTTATGTAACAAACGGTATTAGAGAGGTAATATATTCGATTGTTAAATACATAAAATTCTACAAGTACGTAGAAAAGCACCATACAATATTTCAAGTATTTTATCATCTCTTTGCAGTTGATATTGTGTAAAGATGCTGATGGAAAAGTGGGAGTAAGAGTACATGCAATAAATAATGGAGTCTTTGTATGCCTTGTGAGCCAAAATTCTCCAGCGGCAATGGGTGGATTGCGTTTTGGTGATCAAATTTTAACTATTAATGATGTATGTGTCGCCGGATACACAATGGATCAAGTGCACAAGCTATTGCGTAATGCAGATACAAATGGAATTAAAGTGGTCGTACGTGATAGGTCAGTTTATTTTTTATTTATAAACATTTTTTAATTCTAGTAAAATGTTTATTTTCTTTGTGAATTTAATCATTTTTATTGCAGACCACTTGAACGTACTGTAACAATGCATAAAGATAGTACGGGTTACATTGGATTTCAATTTAAGAATGGAAAAATAATTGCTTTGGTGAAAGATTCTTCGGCTGCACGAAACGGACTCTTAACCGATCATCAGCTACTTGAGATTAATGGAAAGGTTTGCATGATTTATTCTTTGTTTAGTGGAATAAATAATAATTATTCGATTATTAAACAAATTTGATATTTTACAGAACGTAGTCGGGATGAAGGATAAAGATATTACAACAGAGATTGAAAATGGTGGAAATATTATCACAGTGACCATAATTCCATCCTACATTTATGATCACATGGTGAAAAAGTATGTATTTTATATTACACACAATTTAATAAACACAATGTAATATTATGTTAAATGTGATATAATATTCAAATTTTTGTAGAGATTTAATATCTGTTATTAGAAATTTTCTCTTATAAATATTAATATAAAAAATATATAATATATACTTTTATAATTCAATATATATATTTTTTTGGTTTTGTGAAGAGAATTATTACCAACAATATTTTCTTCACAGAATGTCCAATAGTTTGCTGAAGAATTTGATGGATCATTCTGCATTGGATCTTTAAATAAGGAAGTAAATCGCCAATTTCATATATGCCATACAGCCAGTTATCAATGGGTACGTGCATTATTTCTCTGTAGCTCTTTATTACAAAGAAAGTAATACGAAGATATCCTACAGATACATTATATTATAAACTCAAGATGCCAATCATATTATTATTGCAAACATGACATATGTGATACCTATTTAGAATGTAGAGCCTAGTTCCGTGTCAATCTCGACATTAATTGGCTAAAAATTATGGAAAAATATATATCAAAGATTATTTTTTTATACAGAAGCACACCAAAGCTTCCTACAAATATATAAACTTTATCATTCAACTCTATACAAGGAGAAAATTCTTGGTTGCATTTATCCAAATAGTAAAAATAACTTTACTTAATGTTATAAGATAATTGTAGTTTTCCTTTTTATTTATATAAAAGAACAAATTTATTGCAATTCTTTGATCATTGCTGTAAAGTGATAAATAGTTAAAATTTATTTTATTTTCTAATTTAATAACGAATTAAAAATTTTTATTAATGCGTTTTTCATAAAATATCTTACAATTAATACACTTTTATGTGAAAGATGCAATTTATTTTTTATATTTCCAATTGTAAGAAGCTATATTGTAACCATATTATAAAAATCATTGGTATGTTATTGTAACTTATGTATTGTTATAGATAGATTTTATTTTTATTGACTTTTGAATGTATTGATGTGTTTACTTGGTATTTGTAACTTTTTATTTATCACATTGTCACAATGGCAAAGAGATACAATAAAATATAATTAGTAATATGCCAATATCTTTCAAAAATAATATAATCGTATGATATCGATTTTTCGATGTAAATTTTCTTGATTATTTAGAAAAATAGATTAGTATGTATTGTGTATTATTCATTTTGTAATTATAATTTATAAAATATTTCACAAATATATCTTCGCTATCCTTAAACTGTTAGTGCTACTCTATTTTAGATAAGTATATAAAAATTTAAAAGTTAATATACTATAAATAGTTTCATTTCATTTAAGAAATGAGAAATTCAGATAAGTTATCAACAATTAATGGATATGTATTTCAAGAATATTTGAGAAACAATTTGTGCAACTTTAGAGTGTCAATATTACTTTACATGTGATATAACTAATTTATAATTATTTGATTTGTTTAAATAAAGGATTAAGAAAAAAATAAAATGTTTAATAATATGTTACATAGAGCACTAATTGTAAGAGAGATTCAAGCTTTCTATCTCAGTTTTTGCGCACTGAAAAAAGTATAAATGCAATTACATATGTAATTTATGTATTATTTCCTTTTATAATAAATATATATATACAGTTTGTCCGGAAAGTAATGCGTCGCATTTTTTTAAAAAAGAATTTATTGATCGCATAGGTAAAACAACTTAAAATTGTTCGAAGTATGACCCTTCTGCGTCAATACATTTTTGCCAACGCGATTTCCATGCGTCATAAGATTTCTGGAACTCCTTGACTGGGATGCTGTTCAGGGAGGCCGTCGAAGTAGCTTGTACGTTGTCAACCGACTCGAGCTGTTGTCCTTTGAGCTCCCTTTTCAGCCGAGGAAATAAAAAAAAGTCCGCCGGGGCCAAGTCGGGACTGTAGGGCGGCTGCGGCACCGTTGCCACACCGATCCGGGTCAGGTAGGCCGTAATAACAAAGGCGGTGTGAGCCGGCGCGTTGTCGTGATGGAGTTTCCATGAAGCGCGGATCTCCTTTCGGACGCGGGCGATCCTGTGATTCAGTCTCTGAAGCACTTCCTTGTAAAATTGAGCGTTGACAGTCTGGCCGGGAGGTACGAATTCATGGTGCACTATCCCCTTTGCATCAAAAAAAACAATGAGCATTGACTTCACCCGGGACTTGCTCATGCGAGCCTTCTTCTGGCGCAGCGACGACGTCGTGTGCCATTCCGCACTCTGCCTCTTTGACTCCGGATCGTACTGAAAGACCCATGACTCATTCCCAGTGATAACGTTGTTCAGGAAATTGGGATTATCTGCACAGAGTTGCTTGAGTTCTTCACAAACTTCCACTCGGTGTTGCTTTTGCGCATCGGTCAACACTCTGGGCACAAGTTTTGCGCAAATCTTCCGCATGGCCAAGTCTTCCGATACAATCTCGTGAACAATCGTTTTCGGCAAGTTCAATAATTCCGACATTAAGCGAACATTCATTCGACGGTCTGAATTCAATAATTGGCGCACACGAGTCACATTGTCGTCCGTTCGCGATGTTGACGGGCGTCCTGCGCGGGCCTCGTCGGCGACCTCCTTCCGACCTTCTCTAAACATCTTGTGCCATCTGTTTGACTGCGATTTGGAAAGGCAATCGTCCCCGAAAACTTTCTTGAGCATTTCAAAAGTTTCCAGCGGCGTCTTGTCCAGCTTCACGCAAAACTTTATCGCATAGCGTTGCTCTATCGTTCTCTCCATCACAAGTTCGACGCGACCACTAAGCAGAGGTTCACAGAATAAGCCGTCCTAACCCTCCAAGCGCATGGAAACAATTGAGCGACCTACCGTTGGAAAGCTAAGGGTACCCCCCTTCCTCCCCAACCGGTCCCATCGCTCTGCGATGTATAGTCGCGTCACAAAAAAATGCGACGCATTACTTTCCGGACAAACCCTGTATATATATATATATATATGTATATGATATATAGGATATCGGCAATTATGGTATAAAAATGACACAAATATTTCCTATTATATCTCCCTATTACAAATAGGCTGAATCGATAATGTATATTTTTTCATGAATTGTACAATTATCATATAAAAGGGATCTTTCTTTAATTACAATTTATCAAGTTCAATATTGTTAATTCTTCGAGCTATTAAATGGATCTTCAATCTATCTCGGACATCTAGCTCATATTATGCAACAGTAATACCAGCTGTTTGGAGATAATTTCTCAAGTGATTTGCATTCGGCTCAGGAATCTGACCCAACAATCCTGGCAAATGTCCCGGCGATAGTCTCCCGAGACCTTGCGCCAAATGCAAACGTATATCACCGATATCTGTCAACATATATACATTTCTCAATTTCCATCTAAAGATACTTTAATATTTTTTATGAAAACATTGCATAAACTTATGCAAAATTGAGAAAATAATTAAAGGAATAAATATTTTTCAACCAATACTGGCAAATTTTTTATTAAATAAATCTTACTTAATTTTGGTCCTTTTCAAGTACTTTTAGATTATTAAAAAAGAGAAAAAAAGTATACTTGGAAAGGATCAAAGTTATGGTCGAAACGTGGTGAGATTTATTTAATAAAAAAATTGCCAGTTTGGTTAAAAAATATTTATTCCTTTAATTTTTTTACTGGCAGGAGTAAATAATCCAATTGAAAAGATAATGTTGAGAAAAAAAATATTCGTAAAGTAGGATCAAAAATAAAAAAACATACTTGACAAGGGATCCTTCCGAGAATTTCTCGCACAGATGAGTTGACTGTAGCCCACTTGATACCCGACCGTGTCATCAACTTCCGGGAACACATCGTCTTCCGGTAATGAAGTTTGATCCTGCGGCAGCTCAAAGAATTCCACCAACGCGGCCAATAGACGAGCATAGTACGAATGATAGGGAGCTTCAAGCATCGCGGGACAATCGATTAGCAAATTTGACATTCCGACAGCCACCACTTTGCGCTCTATCTCACCCGATATCTTCTGCAGATCGGTTATGAACACGCGCTCCACCACCATTCCAAACATTCTGAGAAAAAGATTCGTATTTGTAGTTTCTCACGTCTCTCAATATACATTTATATATATATATATATATATATATATATATATATATATTTTATATATATTCTTTATATATAATTTATATATATATATTTTTATATATTTTATATTTATTTATTATATTTTTATATATTTTATATATAATTTCTATATATTTATTATATATTTATATAACTTACTGTGGTTGAATCTGGTCAATAATCGCGATCAAGTTCGACGCTGTGTATCTAATAATATAATATGCAAAAAATACTATTAGACCTTTTACAAACTTCGTTGTCTTTGAGGTAGAAAGTCTTTGGAAGAGAAGCACGAAGACCTGCCTCATGTATGGCTCCAAAATGGTCCTGCAATATTACGCTAATGTTAATAATTGATGCATTTAATTGTGAGATACGAAATTGTGGATAAAAGTACATGCAAATATAAGAAAATGGAGAGAGACAAGTATTTTTACGGTTCAAAATATTCAATGATGCATTGTATCAGTAGAAATCCTTCGTGATCGTTTGCTTTCGATGCAATTAACTTCTGAAATACTCCTAGTAATGCACTCGTCTTATCTTGCGCTACAATCTGATGCGAACCATGACTAATAAATGCTTGTAATAAACGGTTCAAAGGATGAATGTTGGCCTGACGTTCAAATAATACGGGTGATAACAGACACGGGAACAAAGCCATGTAGGTCTCTGGTACATCTCGACTGGTTCGCAACTCCAAAAGTAGTGCAAGAATTTGAAAGACATAGGGAATGAACTCTGAAAAGTAAATACATGAATTTATGAGCTGCAATTATATAATTTGTGATATTAAAATAGTAATTTTGATAGTAGAATAATTTACCTGGTATATCTTGTTGTAAAATTTCTTGGAAAATGGGGAATAATGCTTGTTCAAAAGATGACACTGCCTCAGAGTTTGTTTTACAAACAATTCTGAAAAAAAATAATTTTATTAATATAAAGTATTGTAAAGTGTCAAATAAAAAAAGAATAATCTGATAGCTTACTTGATAGACAAACTTAAGGTTTCAAAGAGATAATGATTAAAGTTTGGCCGGCTTGGATTCCTAGACACGATCGCAAGTTTCTCGGTGAGTTTCGGAAGTAATTCGGCTAAGAAAGGCACTACAGCTTCTTGCAAAATACCGAAACTTCTCATAATGGCCTTCATGACATATTCGTTCTCCTCGGAGCCCGTAATGTTCATGCACGCGAAAAGTCCTTTCAACAAATCTGTTGCTAACGGCGACAGATCGACACCTTTAACTCTGGAAAATTTTAAGATATTTTCAATCATTCTGAATATTTTCATAGATTACAATTAAATTATAGAATAAAATAAAATATAGAAAAATAGAGAACAATTGAAATATTTGTTATTTCATACATGGACACATTATCAGCACCCCTCATCGCCAATATCTTTTCAATTGCACAAGCAGCATAACTGTGCACAACGATACTGCTGGCACTGAGATGTCTTGTTAATTGTGGTAAACTTCCTACTACCATATCACGAGGTAATATCGATCTGAACGTCATTATAAATTTTATTCCATCTGCCTTAAGTACCGGAAACTCATTCACTGAAATTTGTTATTATTGTATTGTAATTTTTTATTTTATATTGTAATAAACCATATCAAATTATTTTTAATTTTTTAAATTTTTATATTGAGTAATTTATTTTAATTAAATTTAGATCTAGAAATAATTTCAAAATTAGTTTTAAACTTGGAAGACAGAAATTAAAGTCTAATTAAACTAAAATTAATTTTTTAAGATATTTGATATACCGTTTGGTTTTGATAACTCAGGTTCGATATATTGTGCAGCGAATTGCGGTAACGAGACCAATTCGCTACTTTGAGTAACTCCGTGCTTCTGCGTTTGTCCTTTGCTCGCACTACTTGTGACAAGATAAATAGCAGCATCTTTGCTGCGCCAGTTTTCTGACGGCTTATCGGCGTAACTTTGCAACATTATCTAAAGAAGAAAAAATGCACAAATGTAGAAAAGATATATGTATTGCAATATCTATGTAACAAAAATTCAAAATAAATTAACTAATATTTTTCATATATATTTACCTGTATATATGCTCCAAAAATTTCCATTATTTTCGCTTCAAAATATTTGGACAATACTTTAACTAAATCACACGCAGCACGCCTTCTGGTATCGACATCGCTGCCTTCGATATCCCGTCTAATATATTCTTCAGGATTATCCTCAAACAATTCATTGTCTGATTCTGCAACAGTTTAACACATTGTTAATATAAAAATTCATAGTGTATTAAATTTTTAATTAAAATTTATAGTTTATTTTTATATTTAATACATATAATTACCTCTAAATTCCATGTTAGGGATAATAACTTTTTCACATATACTACTAAGAGTTGTCGGATCTTCGAATAAATGCCTATATTGTGCTCGATCAGCTACTGTGGCCAGGAATTGCAATGCATTTGAAACTAACTGTAATCATATCCATAACCGTTATACATTACATTTTTTTACAACCTTTAGAACTTTTTCTTCAAGACTTTGATGGAACAATATTAAATTTTATTTACCGCATCATATTTGGGTTGTTGTCCTGTAGATGTAAGTAAATTCCAAACTGCTGTAACAAATTCGGGTAAATATGGTTGGAACTCCTCATCATACTTTTGAGCATATAGGCCTACATTGTCACACACTTGCGATTTTAATTGTTCTATTACACCTGCTTCTTCCTCGCCCTTTAAATAAATTTCAAATTAAAGAATAATTTCGATTTTTGTACATTTAATTGTATTATAGTAATATTTTAATATATATTACTGTAGTTTGCAAGGAGGGAACATCTGCATTCAACAAGGTGTGAAAGTTTCTCATCCATGCTTCCATATTATCTTCAAAAAATTCTGGTAGATCCTGTGAATACAAATCATATAACTTTTAGCAACAATTTCTCATTCACATTTTGCATGCAAATAGACATAATAAAACACACTTACTTGAAAATTAAGGGAATAAAACACTTTACACAAGATAACTAAAGAATTATAAATGACTCTTAAAGCATCCACATTATTGGCGTGTACTTGCGTTAAATTCATTGTAGCCTGTAAAGTACTTTTTTTTAGAATCACTCATCTAATGAGAATACACGTACTTCTAATGTATACAAAATAACATTAAATACTTACTAAAAACAAATCTGTTAAAGGCTTCGCAAACTTATCCAACACAAATTTTATTTCTCTCCATAGAGTGTCACTTTTAAATTCGTATCTATATCTTTTGAACAAGGAATGAGCGGTGTGTAAAACTCCATTAATTATATGGAAATCACCGGTACTGAACTTATCTACCATCTGATCGATCAGTTCCGGCCACTTATTTGGAAAATCATATTTGCCAATAATGGATACAGCATCTGACAATTGTTTCTGTATCGAATCTGGCGAGTGTAACATTAGATTAATAATTAACTTCTTGATAGCGTCTCTGTCCTGAATATGTATGCGATCTGCTGAATCCTCGTCCTGAAAAAAATAGCAAAGGATTCTATAGCATGCAAATCTCTTATTATGGTCTACCATTCTGCGTAAACTCTAGGTCAAATAGAACAAAATACCCACCACTTTCCAATTACGCTTAACATAATTCTTAAACGCAACAGCACCAGCGATTCTGATAGTGATATTAATTTCAGATTTGTCCACCAAATGGAGCAGCAGTAAGGGATAGTTTTGATTGACTTCCACCGATTCTAAGAATTTCTCGGCTGAAATAAAAATCGAGATATATTAACGTGACGTTAAAAAGATAAAAAAAATAGCGACAAGTGAATTTGAAGCAAGGTTATACCTGGACGCCTGACGTTCACATCCGGACTGAGGGTGTGCTTGAGATACTCGCTCAACGTCAACAGATTGTCATCGGTGAGATCCATTTTTGTGATTTAAAAAAAAGTTTCGTTTCCCTGCGACTTACAGCTGTTCACTCTCTCCCTCTGGAAGATACTATAAACGACGACAGGGAAATCGAAAAATTCAACGCCGCATCATCGGCGAGTACATCGCGACAACCGGCTTCGGCGGCGGCGAATTTACCCTCCCCTCCACCTACCTCCGTCAACGTCCGCTATTGGCTGTTGGCTGCGCTCGGCAGAATTGGCGGCAAAGTACATTGCAAAGAAGAGAACAAAATACGAAATATAAGATTCCTCTGCGCACGCGATCAAATATATATATATATCCGTTTCAAGAAATTTATTTTTATTAATTATTACATGAAATGGAGAGATACATATCTATATTTTTTTAATTATATATGTATACAATCAACAATAATAATAAGTTAATATCTAGATGTGTTATATAATTTGGGAATTTATACACTTTGACAAATTAAACTCTAAACAAATCATTAATAACATATATATGTACTTTATATATAACTTAGAATATATATATCAATTATATCTTTTATCATAAATAAATCTATATATGAGTTAGTTTCATAGATATAATAATTTATCATCAAACTTTTTTTATATATATTTGATATTATAATTTAATTTCTATATTCTTTTAAAATATTTATAGAGAGATATTATATACAATGAACAAGTTTTATATTAAAATGTATTAATTTATGAATTTATACTGAAAAAAATTAAACTCTAAAGAAAATAATTGATATATATATATATATATATATATATATATATATATATATATATACATACATATACTTTACAACATAATTATCTGTTATCAAAATAAATTACATAAATTATATATGAGTTAATTCCATTTGTGATAAAACTTAACTTTTATATTTTATATATGTTTAAATCAATTTCTATGAAAACAAGTTTAAATAATTAAGAAAAATAAGAATATATAATTATATATATATATATTCAATGAATAACAATTTTTATTTATTGAATCGTCTTTTCCTTCATCTTATATTCGTTAAGTATGATTTTTTTCTGCTTTAGCTTCCCTTGTATCCTGTTTAACGTGTCTTCTGTAGATCTAACATTGTGCATTGACTTACTGTTGCTCGACCTGGCGGATTAATAAAAAAATTGCGATAAGTTTTAATATAATCTTAAATATATAATAATATATATTGAATAATATATATGAATATTATAAATCATATATATTTTCTTTTTACTTGATATCAGAAATTACGCTATCAAAACTCGGCAAGTCGTCAACGTCCACATTAGCTTCAATATAATTCAAATCGTATTTTCTTATCGCATCATCGACTTCTCGCTTCAGAATTGTAAGCTCGTCACTAACTTTTTTGCACTCTTTCTGATAACCTTCGATATGCTTCATCAAGGTATCTCTTGACTTTGAAAATAAAAAAAAAGAATTTACTTACACGATTTATAATTTTCTACAAATGGCAACACGCACAAAACAAATAATATTTATTATAGGAAATATTTATACATCTATACATTGATTTAAAGCAGCATAATTTATAAAAGTTCTTTATACGAAACATACGTATTCCGTTATCCACTGGGAAAAACTATCTGCGTATTTTCCTATTTTTGATAGGCAATTGTCCCTGAAATAAAATAATTATCTTTATAAATTCTTTCATTTTTTGCGTACATTTTGTTCTATTAATAATTATTAAAACAATATTTAAGACTATTGTGTAACTAGTATAAGTAATTTTAAAAATATTAAAAATATATATTATATAAACTAAAATGAATAAATTAATCTCTGCATTTGTATTTTTATCAAAATTTTACCATTCTTTATGCGATATATTCGCCTTCGCATTTTGCAAATCCATCAATTCCTGCTTCTTTTCGACATGGAGCTTCGCAGTCGTCATTATTTTTGCGTCATGTTTGACCATGTTTTGCTCCAGCTTGTCCACGTTCCTTTCAATGTTGTGATTACTCTCGACTAAATTCAACGTATGCTTGTTCAATCTCTGTGCCTGTCTATCGAACATTTTAATCGAATCTCTTAACGTTGCAAACTAAAACATATCATTTTTCGAATGAAAATTCAGAGTTTACATTACAATGAGCTGAGAGAAATTTATATATTATTAATTAAATATATATTATTAATTATATATTATTAAAATTATATAAATTATTGTATGTATTAATATATAATATATATTATTAATTAATATATATATATATATATATATATATATAATTAAAATTACATATATATATAACACATTCTTTATAATAATGAATAATCGTGCGTTTATTTTTATTATCTCGAGAAGTGACTTTGCAGTATCTTTGCTTCATTCTTTTATATTTGTGATTCGATTTTGTCACAAATATAAAATTGAAACAAGTTGATATATTGTGAGTGTGCTAAATGTGGCAAAATCAGTATAATATGTAAACTATATCGGTATATAAATATGAATTACTGTTCATTCATTTCACCTGTTTGATGTCAGAAATAATCAGATCTGAGCTTTCGGCATTCTCAAGTTCCATCTCGTTACTGTTTGCGGATTCCTCCATTTTTTTCGTTTCTACCAATAATAAAGTAACAGGACGCTTATACGATACTTTTTATCAGATTGGACGAAATAACTTTTAACGTTGTACAAGAATTTTTTAGGAATTTAACAGTAAGAATTTGTTGCCGCAACGAGACAAGTTTTAGTACGAAGTGAAATATGCATTTATTCGAATTATATCGATTTATATCGATACAATTATATTCGATATATATCGACTGTTTTTAAAATTCGATACAATTTCAAATTGACCAATCGCGACGCGACTCGTGAGTTGCGCAATAGATAGCCCGCGATTTTTGAGGAAGTTAGAAATTATGTATAATTACTTATAATTAAGTGTAATTAAGTATAATTGCGCACAAGCAAAAACATCACAGAAAGTCCGAAGAATATGAAGTAAAATTATTTTGCGTAGTAAAATTTATTTTTTTAGCAAGATAATCAAATTTTGTGAATTAATAAAGTTGAGAAATATATATATTCGTAAAATTATTGCGGATACTTTTAATGCCGATCGTGATTATTGTACCAAACTCGTCAAACAATCGACAGCATCATTAAAGCAGAACGAATAATGTCAATCAAAAGCACTTCAGCTGTATTTGCGTCATCCTCGAGCATTATATGCAAGACTACACGTTGCATTTAATATGGGGGAGAAAGAGGGAGATATCTATTCTTTTTTTATTCAATATTAATGTACCTTTTTTTAAAGAGTGAATATGAAAAAAAACGAGTGTGGATTTATCAACTGATTACATTTGCAAGATATATACATTAGAATAGCGAATAGATAAAATTATCATGGACATCCGCAGGATTTTTTCCAGAAGAGACATAATTAAATTTTTTATTTTTTGTTCTTAATTTTTTCAAAATTAATTTTTATCTTATTTTTATTTCTTTTATATTAAATATGCAAATAAATTCCAGAGTTTATTTAAAAGGAGAACAAATGCTTGATTTTTTTACTGATTCCAAGGGAAACAAATGCCCCTTTTTGCCTGCGTCTGCGGACGCCCATGAAAATTATAAATAGACTTCTGTTTTGAATTTTGTCGCCAATTATAAATTGTTTAAAGGCGGACTAACTTTAAATTGTATACATATCTACTTTGTAACATGACGTGTAGATGAAAAGGACAAAAATGTATCCTTTCTCCCCGACATTAATTACATATTAAATCTCTAAACTAATTGTATTACATATCTAAATTAATTGCATTAAAAAAAGTGACTCAATATCCGATTTTGATACGCGCATCAATGTTTCCAGGTTGTGTGTCTCACTCATCCATACGTCAGCTGATTTTTCCTATGACGGCGACTGTCCACGACAGGGGCACACATTAATCGTGCGCGTTTCTGCAGTCTTTGGCAGTCCTCGAGCGGCTGTTGCGACGTGCGTATGCGCGGCATGCGTCATCCATTCTTTCCCTCTGGTCTTTGAATAGATAAGTGTGTGTGTGTATGTATGTGCAAGCTATACACTCCGTACTATATCTCCGAAGTAGTGCAAGATGTTTTCAGTGTTACCGATTAACGCACGTTTTCTTCACGTATGACGACTTCACGGTGAGTAATTTACTTTGCAAAGACGCCGCGCCTATAACAAATAAAATTAATGTAGAAATAATTGTACATATATCACATTTCATTTCTTATTTATTAATTATATGTCTAATTTTTTAAGTTAAAAAGAAATCATATATAATATTTAGAATGTGTTCAGAATTCTATTTATACTTGTGATTCTTATAATTTCTAGATCCTAGGCATATACTGACTTAATAGCAAATATAAAGAATATATTGATACCATAAATAAATAAAATAGCAGATTAAAAATTGATAGCATAATAAAATTAGCGATAAATATATAAAGGAGCAGATTATCTCAGAGGTTCAACGATTTGATATAAATAAAATAAGAACTTTTAAAATATATTTTACAAGTTTAACAAGCATAAGATATGATTAGCTCAGGTCGCTCTATTTTTTCCGTGTATATCTGTTCTTTAATTATCTTATCTTTTTATCACGCTTTTGACGAGTCTCAGTACTTTATCATTCGATTCGACGTGTAATCTTTACATGTGCGAATCTTACGTGCTAACTCACGTAAACGCAACTAATGGAAAATTATGAAAAATGAATATAACAATAAATATATTTATTCTGTAATATTTCACCGTATCAATTGAGAGAAACCTAATGTTCTCTTTTTTTTATTAATCGTTTCCTTTGTGCATTTGAAATCTCTTGCTCCTTTATTCGCGTAGCTGCGTGACATATTACAATTTAGATAATTCTGAGATAATCCACGCCAATTTCTTAAACACATTCTCATTTAAAAGAGATATAATAATATAATATAACTGTATTAAAGAACATTTTTATATTAGATTTTTTCGAGGAATTTTCCGTTTCATATTTTATCTTTTAAATATAAAATGTACTTAAGATCTTTAAAATTAAATAACTATAAATCATATTCAGGTGTTCATAAATTATACTAAATTGATTTTATTACATTAAAATGTTGTTAACTTTTTTTTACTATTTTATATTATAAATTCTATGTCAATTTCTCTCAAGAAAAATTCTTTTATTTTAATGCAAAAGTGTCTAATATATAATTTTTAATTCAACTGCTATGGTGTGTAATTTTGCAGAATATTCTTTACACATAATTTTCCTCTGTAAAAGTCTAATAGAAAAAGGTTTCTCAGAATCTTGTGCGAAATAGGACCACGAACTGATAAATAACCGCGTACCGACTACCACTCTATCCTGTCACAAAAAGGATGTAGCAATCACATTGATTACGCGATGTTTACACACTCGCTTCTGTTCAGTGTTTCTTTTTTGAAAAGAGTATCTTGAGAAAAAAGCGTAAATTATTTTAAAAAATTTCCTATTTTCCTTTATATTCCTATATATTTTTCGTAATATTAATAATAATTAATTGTTAATATTTAAAAAATCTATTACTAAATTATTCATACATTTTTGCCCATACTTTATGGATGATCTGCTTTCCAATATTGGGTCATGTCATTTACAATCGCGCTGATTATAGCCTTCACATTTTGCTGAGAGGAATGCGTGAATGATTTTATGCGCATTCCTTTACCGCGTTTTATCTCTGTATCAATATTTTCCCCTTCACGCAAATTTCTGCTGGTTTAAGACCACGTAACCAGTGTTTACATGTGAACCGCGCTTCGTTAGGTTCATTACGCAGTCAATCGATCGTGCGTGTTATTTAAGTTCAACACATGTGTGGAAGAAAAGATAGATTGACAGATATAAGATCGGGGAACCGATCATGATTTCCTTCACACGCCCTGGCATTCATTCTTACATATATAATTATATACGCAGGATGCTTATAATACATAATTTGTATAAGAGAAAGAACCATTTTTTAGAATATTTAACTTTAGAATAATTATTACGTTATATTAATATTTTTAATTCTACTCTCTTCCTTTAGTAAATAAAAATTGGAAACATATATTTTTGCGTTAAAAAAAAGGAATCGAGAGACCAAGGAAAGAGATAGAAAAGTGAGCTTTCCTCGCTTCTCTAGACACGCAAACTGAATTGTCACAAGAGTATATTGACCCCGATGTCATCGGGGCGGGTCGTAACACAAATTAGGAAACATGACTCCAGTTTGCACACGCGTGTTTTAATTAAGCAATTGCTACATCCTATAACATGATGAGTCAGTCGGGGCAGATACCTTCGTTTTCGCTAATATTTCACTCGACAATCGTAATCTAAAAAAAATATCGCTCTGATTTAGATTATATAAAATGTTATCGCTTAATTATGTTATAATTTATCGAAATAAATCGAATACGTAAAGTATATTGACAATTTTGAAGTAATAATAGAATATTATATCGAACAAAAAAATATATAAAACCTGTTCCGGTTCAGTAATTGCTATTGATTGAATAACGATTAATAATAAAAAAGAAAAGATTCATGTATAATAATAATATTAATAAAATGTCGAACAAAATATCAGAGAATTATCTTTGATGGTATAATAAAAAGTTTGAATTTACTTAACATCAAGATAAAGTAAGATTACGATTCTCGGTTACTGCAAGATATACCTGCGCAGAGTGAGAACACAGGTAAATCTATATTTATATATGATTAATTAATCTTACTCAATCTTATTGTAAAGTCACATTTTGGGCGAATTAATTTGAATATGGATCGCGATAACGATTATCAATTTATCGCAGTTTCTATTCAGGCAGATCGTTGTTGCCGGAGAGTACAGGACCGGATGGCGGCGATGATAATGACTCCTACTCGATAAGAAGCGTCAGCAGCGAGTTTCGTTAACCCCGATGTACGACGAACCCTCGCGAATAAATGTATATCTTCGTGCAAGCGAATTCATTAATCGTGACAGAGGATCCGCGTGTCCTTTGTAGAAATTAGAGCGTTAAATTCTTTCCTCCAATTCATGTTTTTAAAATCTAAAATCATACAGTTTATATTTTTTTAAATTTATATAATATATATCAAACACATCGCGTATCAAATTATTTATATAAATAAAAATAGATTTACTCAGACATTGGACGATCTTTGGGCAGTAAGATGTTGATGCTAAATACAGCGACAGGAATGAAACGGTCGACTCATTTCATTGATATGCGATACGGCGTGTTTAACGACAGGGATAGTCGTGATGCCATAAGTCAGTGACTGAATGTGTCCGTTGCCTTCTTTTCACAGCTTAAAAAATGCAAGTTGCATCCTCGAATATCCAGAGAGCAGAAGGATAGGAGAGAATGGAGCTTTAACAAAAGAGAAAAAAGAATTAGAATTTTTATTTTGCGTGCTCTTAAAAAAAAAAATGTGAATAAAATTGTTGCGTCAGAAATTGCAAAATATATAATTTAAAAATAATAAAAGCTTCTGAAAATTCATACAAATCATACTTTTTGTAGAGGAAACGAAGATGGTGTCTCGAAACAGGCCGATTAAAATTACGACCATCGGCGATGGCATGGTCGGGAAAACATGCATGCTCATCACGTATACGATGAAGGAATTCCCAACGGAGTATGTACCTACAGTGTAAGTATCGTCTCATAATATATAACGTCATAGTTTACAACAACCGTTTTTTTGTGCCAACAGAATATATCCTATGGATCTATACATTTATTTTTACACACGCTTGCTTCTGTCTCATCATTGTATATCAAAAAAAAAGTAAATAATGTTTCATTATATTTCATTTTAATTTGAATTTCATGAATAATCGTAATTTCTTCGATTGATATGTATTTCTCCAGGTAGAAAATGACATCATTTTAACATTTAATAACGTCAGTTTGCTATTTGGGTCACTTTAAATTATAATTTGATGTATCTTTTTTTCAGTTTTGATAACTACGTCGATAACATATGTGTGGGTGGACAGCAATTTGAAATGACATTATGGGATACAGCTGGTCAAGAAGATTACGAGCGACTTAGGCCGCTATCGTATCCAAACGTGCGTGATAATTGGAGTGTTTTCAATGACTTCAATTCAAGAAGATTCATCTTTTGATTATTATATATATATATATATATATATATATATATATATATATATGATATATATATGATATTCTTCGAAAAAAAACTTCTCTTCGAATGTGTTGCATAATCTTGTAATTATTCTTCTCTTTTGTAGACTGACTGTTTCCTGATCTGTTTCTCCATAAGTGGTCGTAGCTCCTTCGAAAATGTAGCGAGTATATGGCATCCGGAACTCAAACTACACTGTCCCAATGTGCCGATTATACTCGTGGGTAAATACATACACATACAATAAAAATAAAAGATTATTTTGTATGATAATAATCAGAACAAATCTTTCCCCATAGCTTTTCAATCGTCTTCTACATGTGTTTAAATCCTTATTGTTATTACAAATTATAAATACTTCTTATGCTTCCTTTGCACGTATCATTTATATAATGAACAAATTCAACTATGTCGAAAAAGTTCACTTACAATTAGTTATTTCATTTTGTTATTATTTTGTTATTATTAGGTACCAAGGGAGATCTCAGGACTCAAGAAACTATGGATATTATCAGTTCGCGAGACTGCAACAAAATGAGAAAAAGAATCAAAGCAGTTAAATATGTCGAATGTTCCGCTATAAAGCAGGAGGGTCTCGAGGAAGTCTTTATGGAAGCTATTAAAGCTGTATTGAAAAAACCCCGATCGAGAAAACTCTGCTGTATCCTTTGAAGTGTCAAGTACTGACATTAAAGCAAATAGTTTTAAATGAGAATTATAGCCATTAAGACTAATGTTAAACCAAAGATTTTCTTTGCGTGATTCTCTTTGTGCCTTTTATATTTATGTACATTTCATATAATTCTAATCATTCCTAAGGCACATTATTTTCTTTTTATGTACAGACGAGAGTTTTCTTGCATTGTTAAAAAAAAATATATATATATATATATTTCATTTACTTCTTTGTTTATCTAGCAAATGAAAAATATTTTCTAAACTTCATCAAAAACTTTTTATAAATGTTTATCAGCACATCTTTCAATTGAATAAATTTATTATAAATGCATTTACAATATATGATAGATGTAGAAAATTATAAAGCTGAGATTTCCCCAAAATGCAACAAATTCTGTATAAAAATTTCTATTATAACGCACAAACAATAACAATATATAAAAATTATTAATATAAGAATATATCACTGAATTATATTTCCCTACCCTATAAAGATACCTCCACATTTTGTTTTTTTTAAACATAACAACAATATGAATGATCACAGCTTTGCCTTGCTGGTCTCCATAAGAGTTTTCAATTTTTGCGCGAGCATAATGTTTCCACTTATTTTTAATTTTCCACGCATAAATGCGACTTGCGGATTTAATTTTCCTAATGCCTATAACATACAATCAATTAGTAAAAAAAGAAAAGAAAAAGTATTCTGTTTTCATACAGCTAACTTACAATTTCAACCATATCTGTATCTTCTATAGTAAGTGTCGCGTCTGCTTTCCCAGATTTAGGTTTTCCTTTATGCACTTCTGCGTTCTTTAAATCAAGAGCTGTGGCAAAAGTTATTTATATAGATAAATAATTAATATTAATTAATATTAATTATCTCTATGTTATTGTCGATATCATAAAAATTAAAAATATTTGATTCGTAGATATTAGCAATTCTTAAATCTGATTAACTTCTGAAATTACTTACTCCATTCGGATGTTGGTTTCCCACCAACAGTAATATTATACAGAAAGACTGCGTTAACTTTCTTAGCTTCATCCGGATGTAATTTGACCTGTTCACCCATAGTTGCAAAAATAGCATCACTCTGCAGATTTTCCTTCCCAGAGCACAGATTTGCTCGAGGCATTCCCGTTTTAACGTCCAACAAATCAATGTAAGCACCTGCAAAATAAAATTGTTTGCTTTTTATTATTTGCTCTATTTTTAAAAGTAATAAAAATTATTCAAATAGAAAGAAGAATAATTTATAATTTGAACTGTGGCTGATTAAGATAATATTAATAAATGACAATTTAAAGATAATGTTTACAATTAAATTCTGAAAGCTTTCAAAACACTTATAATAACACACTTCAAATAAGGCTTTATCATCATATCATCATTTCTTATCGTATTATACATTACGTAATATAATATAATAATATGAAAATATTTCAAATATATGAGTTATTTTAGATAGAAATCCAATTAAACAGTTACAATTTACAGTGTATCTGAAGATGCGTGTATTTATATATATATTAATAATCATATAAATAAATATATATATATATTATATATACATAATTAAAAATACTAATAAATCATATTATATAAATTTTATGAAAAATGTCTGACCTGTTACAACTGGTACGCCAGTCTCGACAAGAGATGTTTGGAAATGTATTCTGTTACTATTACGCCACATATCAGTGCGTAGAGTCTGGCCTGGCAAAACTGGCTTTGCAAATCTCACCTAGAATTATAATACAATATTATATAAACGGAAATATCTATTCACTAGATATTATTAAGATGACATCTTGTGTATACACACAAATAATACAATTACATAAAATAATACATTAATTATGTTAATTAAATCAAGATTGATAATTATGCACTGCACTCAAAAATACTGCCGTGATAAATACAAATTATGCAGACGTATGTAATTAAAATAAAGAAATACATATCAGTTATATTAAATAAAAATGTTTAATTATCCAAAATTAACAATAACTCATGTAGATACACATAATACTTATTATACTAAAGAAATATCATTTTATTTTCGCAAGAGTTAGAATAATTTTTCCAAGTTGCTCATGTTGAGTTTTCACAAGCTTTAATTAAGTTTGTTTTTTATAAAAGATATATTTTGTATAAAAGATACTTTCTCTCTTTTCTTTTTCTAATCTGCTATTGATTCTGCCGAAAGAACTAAGTTGATGTATGCAAGTTCTTCACTATATACACACTCACTGCTGATTGTCATATCACACTTTATTTATCTATATTTTAAACATTGTATCGTTATCGTTATCGTTATTACCATACTGCTATTTTGCAAATATTTCGAGTTCGCGCGCATCTTGTGTATATCATTATGAGACAATTAAAATGTAAAATAATACAAAGATTTGTGAAGTTCATTTAAATGAAATTTGGTTTAATGCCAAGGTTTATTTTTATGCTTGCGAAAATTTGGAATATGGAAATAATTTTAATTTTGTTTTTATAACTTGCAAAAGTATTATATTAGTATATTAATTATTATTAAATTCTATAATATTATTTAAAATAGCAAAATTATATCTCATATACAAATAATGATACTCTTGTTTCTAAAAGATTTTATACATATACATATACATATATATAATTTAAATTTAAAATTTTAATTAATTTCTCTCACAAAATAATCTTAAAATAGAAGTGTAGAATATTGTATAACTAGTTGGAATAATTTTGCATTTTTAAATTGTTAAATTTCACTCTATTCAACTATTGTACATAGTATTCAACTACTATGCACATCTGGGGTTCAAATTTCAAATATTATAGAATTTACTATAAAATAAATTCATAATTTGTTCTATTTTAAATCATCCAATAATCATACCTTAATTGATTTGAATAAAGATGGATCTCCAGCAGCATAAGTATGAAGAACATGACGGGTGGAAAATCCCAGCGAACATAATCCATGCAATATTGGTTTTTTGAAACCTGCTAACGCGGCCACATTAACGTCGATGTGCAGAGGATTAAGATCACCGCTCAATCTGTATAAAGCAGCCTGAAAAAGTCACACAAAAATTACCCATACATTTAGATTATCATTGTACATTTATATCAACTCAATATACATAGACATTTAAAGTAAAATTGCATATGAATATTTCAGTAGGCCTTTCAATATGTAAAAAAATTTAAATAAAATTACTGAATTTTAACGAGGACATATATAACAATGACAGTTTACAAGATCACAAATAATTTTTTTATATACTTTTTAAGACTTTGTAAGAAAATTTTAGTTTGGATGAAAAAAAAATATATACTTAACATATTTTTTATACCTGATCAACACTAGTCTGCTGTGTAACTGTTACATCCGGTTTTCGAGCAGGAGGATCAACAGTTGGAATGGTATGGGTGGATGTTCGTTTTCCTTGAAAACCACCTGCACCGACGATAAATATCGATAACTGTCCAGTCGACAGTTTTTCTCCATCTGCTACATTATAAGTGTCATCTAGAGAAATACAAAATATTACATATAGCATTTAATGTAGATTAAAAACATATGTTACTGCATATAAATATTTTGCATAATTATTAGATATTGTTATATTAATGATATTAATATTATAATATTATAAATTCTATCAATATCATACAAAAATTAAAAATTAAGATTAAAGTTTGTATTATGTAGATGTAGTATGTATATATATATATATATATATATATATATATATATATATACTACATCTACATAATACAAACTTTAATCTTAATTACATATATATTATATATATATATGCACAGGGTGGACCATTTTAATCAATCCAAATATCTTATAAAGTAAGCAATATAATAAAATGTTTTATACAAAGTTGCAGGGTTCAGAAGGGATACCTGATGGTAACCTTGGTTTGGACCTTGATTCAAATTTGAAGGTCATTTGAAAGTCAACTTGATTTTCTTAAATAAAACCACCAATTTTTCATATTATATTTTTGCTGTTGTTGAAACCTTTCCAAAATACTATAATAAAACATTTTTTCATTAAGTACTTTTTGAGTTATAAAGGTATAAAATCAACAATTTTTTGACATAAAATGTAAAATATCTTGCAAAATATTTAGTTTTCAGTAATCATATCTTAATACTTTTATGCACGGAATAATGAAACCAATTAATTCATGTAAAGAAATAGTTGACATAGTTGCTTTAAAAAGGATGTTTGTAATTTGCAACATATTTTTTTAAAAGCATTTTATGTGAAAAAATTGTTAATTTTAAACCTTTATAACTCAAAAAGTACTTAATAGAAAAATGTTTTATTATAGTATTGTGAAAAGGTCTCGACATCAGCTACCAGAATATGATATGAAAAATTGGTGGTTTCATTTAAGAAAATCAAGTTGACCTTCAAATAACCTTCAAAGTTGTCATAAAAGTCAAAGCCAAGGTCACCCCGTCAGGTGTTTTCCTCTGAATCCTGCAACTTTTGTATAAAACATATTTTTCTATTTTGCTTACTTTATAAGATATTTGCGTGGATTGATTAAAATGGTTTACTCTGTATATATAATGTATAAAATCACTTTATTTACTTACGTTGAATTAAGACAACGACACCTTTTCCTTTGTCTAAGACATCCTGTACTTTGAAGCGCGTCTCTACCGTAGCTTCTGTAGGTAACTGTTTATAAATTTCTAGATATTGCTCGCCATGAAATATCTGCAAATATCAAATTAGCATAAAATAGCGATATCTCAAATAAATATGTAAATTTGGGAATAAAATCTGCAAATATAACAAATTAAAATTAAAATTAAAATATTAAATGTATACTAAAAATACTAAATGTGCGAAACATTAAAAAATCGAAGAGTATAAAATATAAAATAGATAATAAAATTCAATCTAGTCATACTCGTGTTGGATCAATTTGTGCATTTGGTAGAGCATCCTGCAGGATACCATTGGACATACATCCTTCAGGTCCGTACAAGGCGTAGAAAGTAGGCAAAACGGCAAACTCATCAGCATTCTCATACAAATAACGAATATCATTTGGTTCCTGAACTGTAGCTCCGACTAAAATACAAAATCCAATAAGATAAAAGTTGAAATAAATCTATCAAGTATTCAATCTGTTTAACGTACCTCCAAGCGCGTATAGTATAACATCGCGATAATTATAATTACTCGACAGGACCAGCTGCAAGTAACAGGAACAATAAAGATGAAAAGCAAGTATAATTAACAAGAAAAATTTAAAGCATAACTTACTTGATTTGATGAAGAAGCTGTAGTTTGCAAGTTCTGGATAAGGCCCATTAATTCCCCTGTTGCTTCCTAAAAAGATTGCAAATATTGTAAGAAGATCAAATCAAATAAATACGCAAATTTTTTTTTACCTGAATCGAATCGAGTCGTTTTGCAAATTTCATGTCAATTACTTTCGACCAATTTTCTTGAACGTTTTCTGGTGTAACGTCAGCTGATAACTTTTGTCGCAAGACACAACCCGAAGAACGGATTAAATGACCTATAAATTAAATAATTTGTTATATTTAATATTCTAAATCTATGGCTCACATAATCTCATCACAAATTCATAATCAATATAATCACATAATCAATATAATATAATTACATCATAATCATATAATATAATCAAATAATCAATATAATATAAAGGAAACAGGATGGTAATTAGTATGCTAGTATAATTTTTAATAAATCTAATTTTTATATTTGCTAAACGTTTGCATGGTGCATATTTTATATTTAATTCTGTAATATATTTATCTCATCAATTTGACGAGTTTTAAAAGACTTAGTTTTGAAAATTTGTGAAGATATGAAATAAAATGCAAACTTATTTTAAATATTTTAAACATAAAAAACTTGAAAAAATATAAGATTTCAAAATTGGCTATCAATTATTTCTCAATACTTCTAAAATTACTTAATTATTTTTAATTATTATTTTATTAGTTAATTAATTATCGCTCTGCCGGATTGATAAATAAAGTTTCTTTAAATACAAGGACCTCTGTGAAAGTAAGTTGATTAGACAATTATAATATTTAACAATCAGCAACTCACATTTGCCAGCCCAACCTAATGCTGCTTCAATTATAGAACCATTTTCTGTACAATTTTCGTGGCTCAACCAAAAAACAACGGGTGCTATCAATTCGGGCTTTAATTGTTCATGTAAATCTGCAAATATGAAATAGTTTTCTAAAGTAATATATTATTAAAGTTAATTTATTTCAATAAGTTATAAATATTAAATAAGTTAATTTATTTCATTCGTCAACATGTGTACCAGGAGTTCATTACTAAGGAGTAATGAACATTGCATTGTGTATAAGTATTTGATAAGACACTGGTAAAACTTGACAACATAAGATATAAATATGTAAATTAGGCAGATAACTCACCCGATGGAAGAATATCTTCCGTTAAACGCGAGCCAGCTGTAGGCACTATTACATTGGTGTAAACATTCTTTTTTGCACCTTCGATGGCTAATGTGTTGGCTAATCCGACGAGGCCCAATTTCGCTGCGCTGTAATTAGCTTGTCCAAAGTTTCCGTATAAACCGCTGTTGCTTGATGTAAAAATGATACGGCCATATTTTTGTTTAAGAAAGTACGGCCATGCTGCTTGCGTCGTTTTCATCGCACCCTTAAGATGAACATCCTGTATTGCATCTGAAAACGAACGCGTAAACATGCATAAATTTATTATAATTACAAATGCAACGCAAATATAATAAGATATTTTATCTTGCATATATACCCCATTGTGCATCCGTCATCTTCATGAACGAAGTGTCCCTCAGAATACCAGCGTTATTTACAACTACGTCGACACGACCGAATGCCTCGATTGCCGTCTTAATGATATTCGCACCATTCAGCACGGAATCGTAATTTGCGACAGCTTTCCCTCCTGAAGAATTATTATTAGTCTGTTATTTCATGTAATATACAATTAAATAAAGTTAATTATATGTAACATGTATAAAATTCGTGCATTTACTTATGTAGAATTTTTTTTAGAATATTAAATTAATTCTATTAAATAAATCGACAAACTCTGTTTTATTAAAATAGCTCAATTAATAAGATTGAATAAATTATATTTATATATATATATATATATATATATATATATATATATATATTATTTTGTTCATTCAATATTTTGTGTGTTAAAATTATGCACAAGATAATTTCTAATATAATTGTGCTAAATATGTAAAAGTTTCATAAATTGCATTATCAAAAGGAGTAATGAACATTGCATTTTTTTTTAATTTGAACAAAAAAAATAAGGTATAATATATAACATAATGCAATAAAAAGATGAAATATCAATCCAATAAATAATCCAACAAAATAAAGATAAAAACAAAAGAGAAAAATTTTTGCAAGTATTAAATATCCTCATTTCAAATTTTATAATGATATTTTATAAAGATATTAGTTATTAAAAGATAATTAATTTATGTATTTAAAACATTAAATTAAAAAAATATTATACTTGAGACTTTAGACAAAAATAAATCCATGAACTTCCCTTAAATTTTATTTAAATTGATCGCTAAAATAGAAAAGTAAATGTGTAAAGTATTAGAAGCACAAGAATTCTAACATTTTTACAAATAAAAATTTTGTACAGAGAAATAAATAAGTTAGAAATTTCATACTATTAATAACTTGAATCAGATAAGATATACAATAATTGATTCATGCCACACCATTTTGCCGAATCTCCTGAACTACAGCATCCGCGCTGGTGGTGCTACTTCCATCTCCATGTCTGCTACTTCCTAAATCATTCACAACTACATTGCACCTCTATACAAATCGAATTGCATTATTCGCATAAAAATCTTCTTCTTCTACGTATAAATTGCATTTATTCCCTAGATAATGCATAGATTAATTAAAGTCACTAGATTATCTAGTGACTTTAAGATTGATATGTTGAATAAAATTCTGGTTTTTTTTCCCCCGCAAAATCTAGGAACTTTAATAATATCACTCAGTGACCGAGCATAAAGATTTTCTAGACGGTAGTTTGTCCAAAATATGCTAGTGACTTTATAAATTATTGCGCGTGCGCGTCATTTTGTTAAATTTTTGCACAAAGTTTCGCATCTAGATAATTGTGCTTCATGATTGAAGGTAAAAAAGGGAAAAAAATACAAAACCGCAACGTAGCGAGAATGACGTGAAGCAAATAATCCACGAAATTTTCGATAATTATACTGGCTCAAATAAAAGTTTCTGCTAAATGCTTTACTGAATCTGCTCGTTTCTACAAATTCTTTCGTCGTTTTGCCCCCATGCACAATCGATTTACTCGACATATGTCGGACATTTTACTTTCTACGCCTATGTATACAGTAGCCCGATCATAATAGATAAGAATTGCGAAGCAGGAAAGAGGGAACTTCCGATATATAGGGTGAGATTACAACCTTGATTTGCGTAAACGCTATCTGTTGTAAAAAAAAGAAGAAAAAGTGGTATAAAAGATATTTTCCTTAATCTCTGATAATTATCGAAAAATACTTGACGAAATTATCTCGTCAAATATATCTAATCTACATATGTATAAAATAAATATATAAATGTACGAAGCCAGAAAAATTACGACGAAACTCGATTTCCTCCGAAACATGCGAAGCTAATTAATCCTCGTGCCCGAGCAGCGATTTTATTTGGAACAATGCCGACTGTAACACGTCGACACCATGTAATTTTTTTTAGACCGACCCATTTTCCTCTACATAGACGCGATACAATATATACATATATATATCGACGCAAATCAAGGTGGTGTAATTCCAAGTACCTTACCCTATATATCGGTCGATTCACTCTGATGGGCTCACCGTAATTACGACATTACATTATATATATATATATATATATATATATAATATATATATATATACACGCCTTCTCATGACATACGATATACGATGAGTCATCACTCTTCGTTTGTCATTTAAAACGGAGAGAGAGAAAAAAATCATTAACCAGGAGAAACAACAGATTATTATCATTTACACCTGTACTCCGTTTCGGACGCTGAGAATAAAACGGATCGATAATAAATATAATATTTATTCCCGAACGCAAATATATCTCCAAATATACAATATATATACATACATATATTCTCAACCGAGGGGGGAAAAAAAACGCGTCTAATTCGGCGTGAAAAAAATGCGAGAGATCGAAAGATCCGATTTCTCGAGATACGCCACGACGACGACGACGAGAAAGACGGAGGCTCCCGGCCATTGGTGAGAGCGTCGCGTCACCGAGCGCGAACCGACGCGAACCGCGGCGAAGCCGAGAGCGCGCTAATGGGCGAGGCGGGAAGGGGAACGTGACGTTTCGGTTGACAGCCAAGTTCAGACTGGTGCGCGTCGGAAGGGGCAGAGCGGCGCGCTCCGATTGGTCGCGGCGCGCGGGAGTGGGGAGCCTTCGGGCGCGCTCGGCCGCCAGATGGCGCGTCAGTCTCTCCTCGGCCGGGAGTGGGGGTAGGAGACGATGCATGGGCCGCGACTAGGAGGCACTCGGGAGGCAGGGAGGGCATGCGAACGACGGTGGAGCGCAAGCAGTTCGGTAGTCGCCATTTGCGAGTTCCCTCGTGTACTCTCGCGACCCTCCATCAGACACACTCTTGCGTGGATAAGCGTACGGATTAAATCTCGAGAATCATATTAATATAATACAGACAACCACCCCGTCACGCGGGCCCACATGCGCGATACCCCGATGCAGAGATATTGCAGCGAGCTGACCGAGAAATTGTTGAAATCACTTGACAAGGAATACAATGTAAGTAAGAGGCGGAGGAGTGTGGTGTGTCTGTCGCGGCGAGATGCGCCGCGCCGTCTCCGTGTGTCCGTACGCGCAAACGGCTATCGGGCCACTCTCGATCCCCCGTGCGCGGTCTCGCTGCCGCCTGTAACCAGTGACGTGCGCGAGTGCCCGCTCTACCTACGTGCCCGCGTGTGAGTGCGCGTGGATGTGTGAGTGCGTGTTGTAGCGTGGCGGCCAAGCGCCTCTGCGTGTGTGAGTGTCACTGCCGCCGCGGTTCCCTCCTCGTCGATGACGTCCCCGTCGTCGTACTCCCCGTCGACGACGTCCTCGTCTCCGACACTCCCCGCGAGTGCACACGAATGCGGACGATAATCCGCCCGTTACGTATCACGACACCTCTCTTTCCCCTCGAGAATGTGTGTGTGTACGTGTATGTGTGTGTGTGTAGATGCAGGTGGAGAAAGCGAGAGGGTGAGAGAGGAACTCACCGGCGATGACGGGGAGGATGTGTATTACGTGTGTGTGAGAGAGGGGCCCCGCGCGTTCTCAATTACCTGGAGACATAACCTCGATACCTGGAGGACGCGATGAGTGACGTCGACATCTTCCCCGGGAACTTTCCGCGTTCCCGAGCGCGATTACGCGCTTTTTCACCCGTCATATGTCGCGGAAATTGCGCGAATCGCGCGAAATCTGTCGTCGTCCATCGTGACGTTGGCTTCTTCCTCGAGGCCGAGTTTTCTCGTTTTCCTTCCTAAAAATAAAAATGTATGACATATTTTTCGAGAGAGAGAGAGAAACATTTTCTCTTCCTGGTACCGGAACTTCTTTCTCCCCTTCGACCGCGTTTTGTGCTTCCGTTACGTACACGTGTGAAACGGTTTCTTCCTCCATGCATTTTTGCAAAGTGCATTTTTCGGTCATTCTCGACGTTTTCGCGACGTGCTTCATCGCGCGTTTGCTATTGTTTCATATCCCGTGTAATTGAAAATTCACCTTTTCCTGAAATATCTTTATCATTATGCATGGAAAATCCATATATGCTATTTTGCAGAATAAAAAATATATAGGTATATATACAAATATAATTTGTATATGTATGTAACAAAGATATATATACATTAATAATTTGTATATGTATACATATGTAAATTTTTGTTAAAATTCTCTCCTAAAGTTGCACCTGTAATAATTAATGAAATTTGATAATCTCTAATTTTTATCCTTATAATTGAAATAAACGTATGTTATTAATTATGCATATTTTTATCCAGGTCGTCGATATGCGAGCTGTTGTGGATGTCATTACGGCATTGGAAAAGACGACAATCACTAAAGAGGTGCTGGAGGTAATGACAATTAGTTGTACCTGGTTTGAAATTGTATTATATATATATATATATATATATATATATATATATATATATACGTTTCAATTATTGTCATAAATATAATACTTGTAAAAAAAACATCTAGCATTTAATGTACATTAGCAGTATTTTATTTTGGATTAAAATAATAATACCAAAATAATAAACTTTCTGTTTTTATTACAAATACTTTTGTTATAACTCATTATTACATGCATTGATAGTATAAAAATATATAAAATAGAGAAATTATGTAAAATAAAATAGAAAAAATAATATAAAGATAACAATTACATATATATATATATATATATATATATATATATATAATATAATATATATATATATATATATATATATATATATATATATATATATATATGTAATTGTTATCTTTATATAAATATTTTTTTTCTATTTTATTTTACATAATTTCTCTATTTTATATATTTTTATACTATCAATGCATGTAATAATGAGTACAAATACACAAATATATTATAACAAAAGTATTTGTAATAAAAACAGAAAGTTTATTATTTTGGTATTATTATTTTAATCCAAAATAAAATACTGCTAATGTACATTAAATGCTAGATGTTTTTTTTACAAGTATTATATTTATGACAATAATTGAAACGTTACATAATATATTCTATAAAACATAATGTCTTATAAAATTGTAAGCATATAACAAACAAATCTGTTTATACATTATATATTTTTGTATATTTATATATACAAGTTTTTCAAACATTTTGATGTCATTACAATAAATAAAATGTTAAAAGAAAACTTCTATACCTTTTTTGTGTATTAAATACCGCTACAATGTAATTCATTGATCAAAAATTATTATTCTTAAATTAATAATAAATTACTGTACAAATTATCACAATGAGATAGATAAAATATCTAACTGTTCAAATATGCATGTGTACTTTCATATTTTATTTCTAAATTATTAAACTCATTTAATTTAACCTATAATAGGAAATTTCTGCTACATGATAATATAGGGAAAGTAGCAATACTATGATAATGATGACGATGTTTTGGCAGATTACAAGGCTTGGAAAACACATCAATGAGCTTCGTCGAAAAACGAGTAATGAAGCCTTGGCCAAGCGTGCAAAGGATTTGGTACGACACTGGAGAGACATGGTTTTACCATCGGTGCATTCTACAGCACAGCCCACCTTGGCTGATACCCTACCACCAGCTCTCAATGGCGCGAAAGAGGTGGCCTTGAGGAATTTCAAGCCACATAGCCCTGCATTAAGGGGACTCAAGCCTCACAGTCCTTTATTAAAAGATGCCACTCCCCTTAGAGTAAGTTTCCTTTTACGGTACAAGTAGGACTTTACTCATAAAACGTTTGACTATCTTTTATAAATTTGCTGTATATTATCTTGTGCAATGCATGTAAATATTAAGTCATTTTAGAGATAAATAATGAAAACAATATTTACAGTTATAACATTAAGTTGATTTGCCATAAGTATGAGAGAAACACTTATACCTTGTATAGCGAAATGAAGAATCATTGATCGTAATGATAAATGTATAATTATAGGTGCTCAGTCCGGCGCTATCTGTGCACAGCGACCATTCGCGATCTCCTAACGCGTCTACAAATAGCAAACAGTCAATTACACCGACCAGCAATCACAGGATAAGTTCCTGCTCGAGAAACGCATCACCGGTGCTTAGTTCCTCGAGCCAGAATCACACGATAGAAGCAGTGCCGCGTACACACAGTTCCAACAAACGGTTGCGGAAAGAAGAGAGCGTAAAGGAGCAACACTACCAATGCCACAAATCGCCGCACGGAATTGAGCCGACAGTGGAGGAAGTTCCTGCCAAGAAGCAGCGGCTCAACGGCGAGAACATAAGTGGTAATTTAAATTCGCAAGTGCCTAGCCCCACGCTGAAGGAACGAATCTCCACCGTTTTCACGGAGACAGATTCACTCGAGGTGACGGATGAGCCGGGTCCGAAGAAACGCGGCCGGAAGAAGGGTAGCAAGGCGAAGCGGCAGCCGTTCCTCGAGGACAGCGTGAAGAAGAAGCTGGCCAGTATCTCGAGGACTCCGAAGCTAAAGACCACGCAGGAGATAGTGGCGCAGCTGCAAGCGGGCCGAAGCAACTGCAGCCCCATCGGCAATGCCCTACCTAGTCAAAGCGTCGTCGCGGAACCGCCTAACACGGGGGACGTTCTGCGAGGTGGCAGTAACGAGCAGGTGTCCAAGTATCTGCACTCGAGCCAGAATCTCCACAAACGTCTGGTTTCTACGGAGACGTCGGCGTCGTCCACCGGGAAAACGCAAGCGGGACGATTCGCGGAGAGCTGGCCCGAGGACAGATGCCAGGACAGGCTGCACGAGGACGACAGATCGGCGTCAGGCGTCGATAAGCCGTCGACATGTCGGTCGCCGTCTCGCCGGGATCTCACGGTCGAGGAGATACTGGCCAAGTTACCTCCCTTGGATCCCAGTTCGATAGACTGGGGCGAAGACGAGGAGCAGAACTATGCCGAGTGCTCGCCACCGCCGCGAAACGTTACCGCCGAGGATCTTGAAAGGTTACACGCGCAATTCGTCGAAGGACTCAACGGCAACTTCCAGCCGGGGTTGTCGTCGACGACCGCGTGTCGTTCCGATGGCGACGAGCATTCGAACCCTTCGCACGAGAAGAGTAAAGTGTCGTCTGGACTATCGAACGTGGATAGTGTAAAAAGTGTGCATACCAACCAGACCGACGATGTGGAATTTCGGGAGTGGCATCAGATGCTTGCGAGGCCCAGTTACCAGGGCGACATCCTCAACATAATGCCTTATGTTATTATCGATTAGTGATTCTATCATCGTATTCTCTATTATTATTCTTCCCCTGGAAAAAAAGAAAAGAATTGTGAAGAGAATCTGCCGATGATTAAAAACGCAGCCGACTGGCCGGTCGGTTGTCTATTAAAATTAACGATTTCTATTGCGATTTTTGAGATTGTGCTGTTTATTTCTATCTACGCCGAAGCGTCTACACCGCCATTCTTCCCCTGTCATTATCATTCCCCCTCCCCGTTGTTATATAGTTATTATTATTTTGCTGATCGACCACGTGCGAATGGCCATTCTTCATATCGTCCACCATCGTTATCAACATCCTCACATTATTAATATTATTATATATTAATATATTAATATTAATATTATAATTAATATAATATTAATATTATTTTTAATATAATATTAATATTATTTTTAATATAAAATTATTTTTAATATTATTGTTATTAATACTACATTATGTCAATTATTATTATTATCATCATCTCTGCTTCTATTCCTCCTCTATCAGTCTCGTAACTTTTATTACCATTATCATCGTCGTCATCATCATTATCATCGTTATCGTTGTCTTTATGCTAACGCGGTAAAGAAATTAAGAGATCACGAAAAAAGGCAAAATCAATGCTGAATTATAAATGTCAGAACAAAAGCAGCCGTGCAATTGATTTTGTAATTGCACTGTACGGGATAAGTTGTTGGGTGTGAGATATAAATTATGTAGATATGAAATAGTTGATATGCGCGCGAGACCCGATACAAAAGCGCTGCTTATTATTATTATTATTACACGGTATTAATAATAATAATATTTTTACACAATAATAAAATAGATTGTCGTTCGATTTTTCATCTCCGAGTGCATGGCAATGTGGCTCGCTTTTCACGTATTTTTGTGATAATTTTGAGGAAGAACAGAAAGCGATTAATTGACGTGCGTTTTATGCCCTATACGCGAAACAAATTGATTTGTAATTTCTATATTTGTTTTTCTCCTTTTTTTCATTGCATATTGTGTAGTTTATTATATCGCAAACAATCTTAAATTCGAAGAAGATGAAATGGAAAAAAAGTAAAACAAATGAATGCAAGCAGTACTCTTGAAAATATTGGGAAGACATGCAAGTAACACATATAACACAGAAATTCATAAATCAGATTCTGACGGTTTACTGTCGGTTTTTTGAATTATTTTTCAAGTATTTTTTACAAAACTGTGCGAGAATGCAGAGAGCAACGCGATTTCTTCAATCTAAGTTAGGTACACCGGTGCCTTAATTGAGCAATGAAAAAAAAAAAAGATATATTTGCTAAGTGTGCGTATAGGAGATTTTCTACACAAAATTTTTTCTGCTCATTTCGTGTGTAACTTTTACGACATATGTGTTGAAAAATTAAATTATAGACGAAACAATCGTGTAACAACATTGCAACGCGATACGTAAAATTTCTTCGTAAGTGCAATATCGGACAAAAAAGACGCAAGTTCAAGTTTGATCGAATATACAAGGTGTGTCCAAAATGTTGCGGAGGGCTGAGTGAATTAAACAAAATAAAGAAGAATTATAAAAAAATATCGAAAAATATGTGTCTTGGCTTGTCTCCCTCGAAGTGATTCCTTGTTGAGCTCAATGTTATGATAAGACATCTAGTCCGATAATCGAGAAAACGTGGGTTTTGTAGAGTTGCGTTCAATACATTTGTTAAAGCTATCTGCTTTGGGCGAAAACAATAAGTTGTTTAATTTAGCCAAACCCTTTCATCCTTGTCGTCCTTCAAAACTCGATTAAATTTTTTTTCCTGAAATTAGAGAACCATTAATAGAGAAATTTAATTACATAGTTTTTTCTTATAATAAACTGAAAATTCTCTTACACGAAAAGGAAGAATTTAAGACATTTGAAATAATGAATATAATTGTATATATATGTATAAATTATCCTGACTCAAAATTATGTTTGAAGAGCTTTGAAAGTCACAATTTCTTTTGAACTTTATTTTATGATAATCCATTCAGTCTCCAAACTTTCTCGACGTCTCTTGTATATTTTATGCGAAATAAATTAACTGGATACTTTTATTCGTCGGAACACCACAGTCACTACTCGAATATAATCTTTTTCTAGTCGTTTCCCTAAAAATTTAAAGCAATATTAATATTATCGTATGTTATGTACAATATGAGATTGCAAAAAACAATAACAAAATTCGTCTTTATGTATCATTATTTTTAAACGAATTATTTTCTAAATATTTATTTTCCAATCATTTTAGTCTTTTCCCAAAGATTCAAGCGTTTATAAATATCGAGACGTTAAATAATTATAAATGTTAAATTCGTTTTATTCATAAATCGTATTTTATCGATGCTTTGTAAAAAAAAATGCAATTATAGAATTGTTTATTTCCTCAGAATATTCTAAAATTGAAGAAGAAAATATAGATCGCGTTCGCATCTTAATGAGTTGTCTCTAAACATGATACACAAGGCGAGATGAATTGGTATTTCAAATCACAGATGTCTATTTCGAGATTTTAAGCTACACGTGTTTATGTAAATTCAATTTATTTACGCCGCGATTAGTTCGCATATATACTTATATATTAATTGTTTCAATGCATCTGACGTAAATCAGCTGTTTACTACACATATATACGATTTATGTTTGTTGTTCGTCTGTTAGCCGTTATCTTTATTTTAAACTTTCGCAATGTCTCTCTGCCTCTATAGTTTTCCTTCAGCTTTGTATTTGAAAGATCTCTTTTCAGGCTTTATATCTTCAAACAAAATGAAAAAACCCTAAAGAAAGGGATGTTATAATAATAAAAAGAAATCCCTTTTTTTGTCCAGGAGATTAAAAAAGATAAATGACAAGGGATTAAAAGCCCCGTAGATAATCAAGCATATAATTAATCGCAACGTTTCAATAAAAAAAAAAAAAAAGAAGAAATCTCATTTCTCAATCATATATATAAATAAAACGAATAGCGCGTTTAAAATAAATTCGAATCCTTTAAATTAATTATTCCAAACTTCTCATCAAGGCTCTAATCAGTCAAACTCGTGCGAAACAATTCGGAGTCGCTTTGACGACACATATGTTACAAAAACACGTGCTACTCTCAATTTCCTGCATCTCTCGCTCGCTTTGATCTTTTGTCATTTCTTCCTCCCCTTCTTTCGAGAGTTTTCCCCCCTGAAAATCTTAGCGCCGCGGACGGCTGTCTTGCGAACCTTCGCTCTCGCGTCTCGTTGGAACCCATCCATAAAAAGTTCGCGAGATCTCCGCGAAGCCCGGGTGGGAAGAGAGAGAGAGCGAGTCTCAGCCTTGGCTTTTAGCGAGTCCGCGGAAAAACGTCCGTGACAGCCCACGCGACGACGTGGTGTATCGCGTCCACACATACAAATACATATATATATATATATATATATATATATTCTCATTTCTCGACGTGGGGGCGACGACGAAGACGACGTACGCTACTCTCTCTCTCTCCCTATTATCGGCGGCGCCGTCGATCACCAAGCACACGCGTGTTCGCGAGAGATGAGCATTCGTTAGTTTCCTCCGTAATAAATAAAGAGGCTCCGAGAGGGGACGAAGAAGATGTCGAGGACCGCTGACAGACAGAGCTACGCGCAAACTTACAAGCTCGTCGTCGTCGGTGGCGGCGGTGTCGGGAAATCGGCAATCACGATACAATTCATTCAAGTAAGTGCGTCTCTCTCTCTCTCTCTCTTTGTCGCCTGCTGTTATAATTTCTCCCAATTTTTTTTTTTTTCATCCGGGCTCGTCTCGCGAAGGACGAGCGAGTCTCTCCCTAAGCATTTGTTGTTGGCATTTTGTCCCTCTTTCGTTTTCCTTCCCGAAATCTCGATCTCTGCAAATGCGAATGACATAAGTGCGCACGTAATTTTCCCTGGAGCGAGATTTATCATTTTATTATCGTGCAACGCGTGCGCGAGGAGCGTCGCCCGTGCAGGCTGGTCGATAGATTATAAAGCATTATGTCATACCGTGTTGTGGACGCAATATATCGCGTCATATATGGTCATCCGCGAGGCAGCGCCGTCTTGGAACGTCGAGCCTGACGGAGTGCGCGAGAAACGTCGCCGTCGTCGTCGGCGTGCTTGACGGGTAACGATGTGCGTCCATCGGTACCGATGACATTTTACTCTCCACCATCTGTCACTCGCGACTCTCCCCTGCAAAAAATTCCGGTGGAATTCTATTTATACATTACTCTTTGACAGACGTTTTATTTGATTAAGATATGATGCATCGAAACGAAATTATATATGTAAACACTGCCAGAGTTTCATTTCAAATCTGTACATTTTTTTAACTGACAGATTATATTAATAAAAAATATTGTATACATATAGATATATACATATGTTGCAAAATGGAAAAAAATGAATTATAATATATGATGTCTTTTTTAAAATATCGACAGTATCATATTATCTCATTATGCAGTTGATTCATTAACGCTAAATTAGATAGATGTTTAAATAAGATATAGATAATAGATAGATAAGATATAGATATTTAAAGTTAGATAGATATTTAAATAAAGAAGATACATATTTAAATCGATAGATATTTAAAGTTTAAACTAGATAGACTATTATTTTAAAAAGTATTAAATATTTCTTATGTAAAATTAATAGAAGCTTTTTTAACATGCTTATTCATTGAAATGTATTTCATTCATCTCTTTGCTCATAAAAATTATTTATATCATTATCATGTGTTATTTTTATTATAAAGATTTTTTATTTTTTTAGAGTTATTTTGTGACCGATTATGATCCAACAATCGAAGATTCTTATACAAAGCAGTGCGTTATTGACGATGTGCCAGCTAAACTCGACAGTAAGTAGGAAACAAAAATATGCGAGAACCGTTTTTCGACAATTTTTGAAATATCATGAGTGTGCCTTGACTTTTTTCAAGTTCAAAAATTCAAAGAAAAATTTACCATAAAGTTAAATTGCGAAATCTCATACAATATCTTTTGTATCATAAAATATCTTTTAAATAAATGTGGATTTTTTATACATTTATTTTAGTATTGGACACCGCTGGCCAAGAAGAATTCAGCGCGATGCGAGAACAATACATGAGGAGCGGCGAAGGATTCCTTCTAGTATTCGCAGTCACCGATCATTCTTCTTTCGATGAGATATTGAAGTTCCATAAACAGATACTTCGGGTGAAAGATCGAGACGAATTTCCTATGCTGATGGTTGGAAACAAAGCAGATTTGGACCACCAACGAAGCGTGAGTATTATTGCTTTCTTTCGCCATTCACATTTTTTACCTGCGGAGAAAATAAATTCAAGTTAAATATGGAAACTACATCCATAAATCTTTTAATCTTTACAGCTATTTTTTATCTTAATATTTTTATCTTAAGCCGCATTTTTTCTATTGTTAGTTCTCAGCAGGAGCTGTTTCCCTTTTTATACAATAGACTATTCTTTTCTATTATCCTCACAAGACTTTAGGCTTTATAGTTCTATTTTCATTTTATCTTTAAAATTCTCTTTGGGAAAGAATAACTCTGCGTCCTTAAATATTGTATTTCAAATGTTTTTAGGGATGAGATTTATGTTACAATATAAAAATGCTTACTTGTCTTCAGAGAATTGTTTTTTATTCCGGAAAAAAATTCTCTAGTTTAAACTTTAAATATCGATATCTTATCTATCTATTATCTATATCTTATCTATATCTAACTTTAAATATCTATATCTTATTTAAATATCTATCTAACTTTAAATATCTATCGATTATAAAATTCGAAGAATTCAAAATACCTGTTTAAAGTATCTTAATCTGTTTAAATCATTTCAGGTATCAGTCGAAGAGGCGCAAAATATAGCACGTCAATTAAAAATTCCATACATCGAATGCAGTGCCAAGTTACGGATGAATGTTGATCAAGCCTTTCATGAATTGGTGAGAATCGTCAGAAAGTTTCAATTGTCAGAACGACCACCACTGAAACCAAATTACAAGAAGAATAAGAAGAAATGTTGCGTGCTGTAATAAAGAAATTATCTTGACAGATGATTTCATACTAATTGGATGGGGGAGTTCTAATTCCAGTTAGAAAGAATGGTAAATTTAAAATGGCAGAGAGATATGAATTTTTATAATGTACTTTGTCGACGACTTTTTACACTTTTTACACATGATTCATCATATAATCAATATATATGTGAACATTAAAACAATCGCCAAATATCGAATATATACAAGAAAACTTAAGCACAAAATAATCAAATCACATGTAAGTTGTAAGATATTTAAATTCTTTTAACTTTATTATGTTTTTTAATTAGTAATTTATAAAGTTCAATAGAAAGAGTATTTTTTTCTATATAGCAATTTTTTCATTGCACAAATAGAAGCAATATCCCAGTGACAAAGAAACAACTTTTTTAAATTAATAGAAACTGTCTACATTCAACTATTTTATAGGTTGCAACAGATTAAAATTTTATTTATTTTCATTATTATGTGTAGTAACAAAAGTTGAATTTATTGGAAACAATCGTACATGTCAAATGTTGTAGAATCTTTTTATAATATAACTGAAATTTGTTTATGTTAGATCTTAATAATTTGATACATTTGACATTAACAATTTTGTACATAGTAGTAAATATGATTATTCTGAAAAAAACAAAGCAACACAAATTTTATTCTGTAATGATAGAAGTTTCTAATATATGCTTCCATGACCAATATTTGAAAATATATATGGGATATAAATATATAGGATTCATACTGAACGTAAGATATATTTTATACTAAAATATAGGATTTCTTCTTTGAAGTTCTCATTTTTACGAAATGCTCTTGTACGAGATTTGTCGAAACACTTAATTTCAATAATATCGTTGGTGGTAAAAATTAAGGCATTTTTAAAAATATAAAAAATTAATAATTTTATACTACTTAAATGCACTCTCTGTACTCTCTGCCACTTTTCGAAAGTATTTCTGCTATTATTAGCAGTGTTCTAATTCGTCTTCCTTTAGGTTGAGTCATAATACCTAATTATGAAAATCAAAATGGCGTAGTATATTGCCAAATGAACGAATTATTAAACGCAAATTGTTTATGTTCATGAGTTATGAGTTTATAAGAATTGTTCAAATTGTTTAGAGTTATCTCTATATATTTACACATAGCACTTAGTGGTTGAAATTTTGTGCTATTGTTGTTATACGGAAGTCAGAATGGGGCCAATAACATTTTTAACACAGACGAACCTGTAATATTAACAATATTTTACTAGCATATACTCCACAAATTCTTATTAACTGCGTAACATTTAATATTCTCAGTGGATTGTTTTTTTGAAACTACTCGTGTATTATATGTTGCACAGACAAAAATAGAAAGGATAAGTTGTTTATATTCTAATATATATATTTTTTAAATAAAATTAATAATTTATCTATTTACTTATTTAACATATTTTTGTTTGTATCGAAAATTAAAAGTCTTCCAATATAGTTAAATGCATGTATTTTATTCTACGATGTTATTTCTATTTTGCGAAAATTATTACAATATACAATAATATTTTAATTCTTTATAATTTGACTTAAATACTTTGTGAATTTATTTCAATGATTTATATGTTTATATCAGGTAGTAATAATATAATGTTGTTTAAAACGTCATATTTGTGGAGATATGAAAATGTGTTCAACAAATTTCGGTTTCACCAGCAACCAGAATATTTCAACTATTTCAAATATTTTCACATCACATTTTATCATAGTTCTGTTGTTGGTGATACCGGTAACGAAATATACTAATAATAAAACTAATAATAATATACTAGCTTTAATATTATGTAGTTAATAATAATAATATGCAATCTATATATAATTCTACAAACAATATTATACGATGCAAATTACAAAATCTTACGACGGATATATCACACTTGACAGTAAATCAATTTATATATACGAACGTGTATCTTGCAAAATGTAATTTGTAATAATTTGCGAAGCGACAGAAATCGAATAAAAAAATTCCATTTATTTTTGTAACCGAGTATATTTATGTTTGTAAAAAAAAAAAGAATGTCTATATATACATATGCAGACTGATTTTTAGATTCAATGTATATGTTTGTTAAATAACTTCTGTAAACCAAATAATATGAATATACATTAATTGTTACTACGCTTTGTTATTTCCAACCTTCTGATGCTATTTTATCTTAAAATGGAGTTAGAATTTGTAGATTATATTTTGCGAAGAGATAGTACAACAGTAGGTGTATTTTAATAGTCCGAAAAATGTTTGAGGCAATAGGAGAATATATTTACAAAGAATTCTCTTAAAAATGACGGTCAGTAAATTAATTGTCAACGTCGATAAATTACCATCGCCGATAATTACCGACGTCTATTTTCGACCTTATCTCTTCGTAAATATATTTTCCTAATAGCGACCTCTTCGCAAATTATATTCTCCTATTAACTCAAATAATTTTTCGAACATTTTAAAGACATTTATCGCTGCACTATCGTTACTACCTCTTCGCAAAACATATTCTCCTATTAATTCAGACAATTGAAAAATCGTCTGAATTAATAGGAGAATATGTTTTGCGAAGAGGTAGTAACGATAGTGCAGCGATAAATGTCTTTAAAATGTTCGAAAAATTATTTGAGTTAATAGGAGAATATAATTTGCGAAGAGGTCGCTATTAGGAAAATATATTTACGAAGAGATAAGGTCGAAAATAGACGTCGGTAATTATCGGCGATGGTAATTTATCGACGTTGACAATTAATTTACTGACCGTCATTTTTAAGAGAATTCTTTGTAAATATATTCTCCTATTGCCTCAAACATTTTTCGGACTATTAAAATACACCTACTGTTGTACTATCTCTTCGCAAAATATAATCTACAAATTCTAACTCCATTTTAAGATAAAATAGCATCAGAAGGTTGGAAATAACAAAGCGTAGTAACAATTAATGTATATTCATATTATTTGGTTTACAGAAGTTATTTAACAAACATATACATTGAATCTAAAAATCAGTCTGCATATGTATATATAGACATTCTTTTTTTTTTTACAAACATAAATATACTCGGTTACAAAAATAAATGGAATTTTTTTATTCGATTTCTGTCGCTTCGCAAATTATTACAAATTACATTTTGCAAGATACACGTTCGTATATATAAATTGATTTACTGTCAAGTGTGATATATCCGTCGTAAGATTTTGTAATTTGCATCGTATAATATTGTTTGTAGAATTATATATAGATTGCATATTATTATTATTAACTACATAATATTAAAGCTAGTATATTATTATTAGTTTTATTATTAGTATATTTCGTTACCGGTATCACCAACAACAGAACTATGATAAAATGTGATGTGAAAATATTTGAAATAGTTGAAATATTCTGGTTGCTGGTGAAACCGAAATTTGTTGAACACATTTTCATATCTCCACAAATATGACGTTTTAAACAACATTATATTATTACTACCTGATATAAACATATAAATCATTGAAATAAATTCACAAAGTATTTAAGTCAAATTATAAAGAATTAAAATATTATTGTATATTGTAATAATTTTCGCAAAATAGAAATAACATCGTAGAATAAAATACATGCATTTAACTATATTGGAAGACTTTTAATTTTCGATACAAACAAAAATATGTTAAATAAGTAAATAGATAAATTATTAATTTTATTTAAAAAATATATATATTAGAATATAAACAACTTATCCTTTCTATTTTTGTCTGTGCAACATATAATACACGAGTAGTTTCAAAAAAACAATCCACTGAGAATATTAAATGTTACGCAGTTAATAAGAATTTGTGGAGTATATGCTAGTAAAATATTGTTAATATTACAGGTTCGTCTGTGTTAAAAATGTTATTGGCCCCATTCTGACTTCCGTATAACAACAATAGCACAAAATTTCAACCACTAAGTGCTATGTGTAAATATATAGAGATAACTCTAAACAATTTGAACAATTCTTATAAACTCATAACTCATGAACATAAACAATTTGCGTTTAATAATTCGTTCATTTGGCAATATACTACGCCATTTTGATTTTCATAATTAGGTATTATGACTCAACCTAAAGGAAGACGAATTAGAACACTGCTAATAATAGCAGAAATACTTTCGAAAAGTGGCAGAGAGTACAGAGAGTGCATTTAAGTAGTATAAAATTATTAATTTTTTATATTTTAAAAATGCCTTAATTTTTACCACCAACGATATTATTGAAATTAAGTGTTTCGACAAATCTCGTACAAGAGCATTTCGTAAAAATGAGAACTTCAAAGAAGAAATCCTATATTTTAGTATAAAATATATCTTACGTTCAGTATGAATCCTATATATTTATATCCCATATATATTTTCAAATATTGGTCATGGAAGCATATATTAGAAACTTCTATCATTACAGAATAAAATTTGTGTTGCTTTGTTTTTTTCAGAATAATCATATTTACTACTATGTACAAAATTGTTAATGTCAAATGTATCAAATTATTAAGATCTAACATAAACAAATTTCAGTTATATTATAAAAAGATTCTACAACATTTGACATGTACGATTGTTTCCAATAAATTCAACTTTTGTTACTACACATAATAATGAAAATAAATAAAATTTTAATCTGTTGCAACCTATAAAATAGTTGAATGTAGACAGTTTCTATTAATTTAAAAAAGTTTTTTCTTTGTCACTGGGATATTGCTTCTATTTGTGCAATGAAAAAATTGCTATATAGAAAAAATACTCTTTCTATTGAACTTTATAAATTACTAATTAAAAAACATAATAAAGTTAAAAGAATTTAAATATCTTACAACTTACATGTGATTTGATTATTTTGTGCTTAAGTTTTCTTGTATATATTCGATATTTGGCGATTGTTTTAATGTTCACATATATATTGATTATATGATGAATCATGTGTAAAAAGTGTAAAAAGTTGTCGACAAAGTACGTTATAAAAATTCATATCTCTCTGCCATTTTAAATTTACCATTCTTTCTAACTGGAATTAGAACTCCCCCATCCAATTAGTATGAAATCATCTGTCAAGATAATTTCTTTATTACAGCACGCAACATTTCTTCTTATTCTTCTTGTAATTTGGTTTCAGTGGTGGTCGTTCCGACAATTGAAACTTTCTGACGATTCTCACCAATTCATGAAAGGCTTGATCAACATTCATCCGTAACTTGACACTGCATTCGATGTATGGAATTTTTAATTGACGTGCTATATTTTGCGCCTCTTCGACTGATACCTGAAATGATTTAAACAGATTAAGATACTTTAAACAAGTATTTTGAATTCTTCGAATTTTATAATCGATAGATATTTAAAGTTAGATATATTTAAATATAGATATAGATATTTAAAGTTAGATATAGATAAGATATAGATAATAGATAGATAAAATATCGATATTTAAAGTTTAAACTAGAGAATTTTTTTCCGGAATAAAAAACAATTCTCTGAAGACAAGTAAGCATTTTTATATTGTAACATAAATCTCATCCCTAAAAACATTTGAAATGCAATATTTAAGGACGCAAAGTTATTCTTTCCGAAAGAGCATCTTAAAGATAAAATGAAAAAAGAACTATAAAGCCTAAAGTCTTGTGAGGATAATAGAAAAGAATAGTCTATTGTATAAAAGGGAAAACAGCTCCTGCTGAGAACTGACAATAGAAAAAATACGGCTTAAGATAAAAATATTAAGATAAAAATATGGCTTTAAAGATTAAAAATTTGACATTTATGAATTTATTATTTTTAGACAATTGAAAAATCGTCTGAATTAATATGAGAATATATTTTGAAAAGAGGTAGTAACGATAGTGCAGCGATAAATGTCTTTAAATTGTTCGAAAAATTATTTGAGTTAATAGGAGAATATAATTTTGCGAAGAAGTCGTTATTAGGAAAATATATTTACGAAGAGGTAAGGTCGAAAATAGACGTCGATAATTATCGACGATGGTAACTTATCGACGGTGACAATTAATTTACCGACCGTCATTTTTGAAAGAACTCTTCGTAAATATATTCTCCTAATAGCGACCTCTTCGCAAATTATATTCTCCCATTAACTCAAATAATTTTTCGAACATTTTAAAGACATTTATCGCTGCACTATCGTTACTACCTCTTTGCAAAATATATTCTCCTATTAATTCAGACGATTTTTCGAGCATTAAAAGATCCATATGAGAAAATGAAAAATTTACAATTTTAAATTAAAAATGACAAATATTTATATTCAATAAATTGGTATATCAATAAATTTATATTTTTGTATGAGTTAAGTAATCTCTCTCTATGTAAATAATTAAAACAATTAAAAAACTAATTTTTATTTTATATACGTAGAAACAAGTAATTCTATTCTTAACCATTGAATAAAAGCAACGTGAAATATTTTATTTATTTATATATTATTTTGATATATATATATATATATATATATATATATATATATATATATATATATATATATGTACATATACATATAATATGTAAGCCTTCTTTTAAAAGCAGTTCAAGTTTCGATTAGTTCGGTCGCTAGTTCATGTGTCATTATTATATTTTTCGTAAGCGTGTATTAATAGACAGCCTCGTCCACCGTTCATTATCGGACGATAAAATATTAAACAAAGATATGCGATAAAGTTGTGAGTTAAATTGAAAGAGAGATTCCACGAATTGTTATGAAAAGTTAAAAAAAGTATTTCATAATCATGCTTTATCACGTGTTTAGATTTTCATCTTCAGCTCTGTTCCACGATCTTCCATACAGAAACGTATTTGTCGCCATCGAAAAATCTGAGCATGAGATAAAACATGATCGCCAAATGCTTTATTTAACTTTTATCGCATATCTTTGTTCAATATTTTGCCTCTCCATGAAAACGGTGACAAGATCTGCTATAATGCATACTTATGAAAAATGTTATAATGTCAATTGAACAATTGAATCTTGTATTGGTTTTAAAGTAAGGATTATTCTTCACATTAGGCGCTACATCTTTAATTTTATTATTTTTCTATATTTTCGCTTTGTTTCCAATTTATAGCGATATTACACGCAGCTCGCATAACAAAAATCGCTTATTAGCGGTCGCCAGTCGATAATCGAATAATGATAATATATGCAAAATATACCTCCAACGGCACATTCACCCTAATTTAGACGCCGCCGATCTCAGGGCGCAAGGTGGTCAGACGGGATTCCCACACCTGGGCTATTCTTGACCAGACCGCGGGGCTAATATTGATGCCACGCGATTACTTCCACCGATGCGTTGTCGTATCCGTAATAAAAACCATAAATATCTTGGCGGTTTTTTCTTCTTCTCTCTTCGTGTCCCTCGATACATCTGCGAACACCATAATCTGTTAATTAAGACGTCAATTTTTTTGGGGAGGGTTTTTCTTAGCTTTTTGGTTAACGGTTCTCCAAATCTGTTCCAAGAGTTTTCATCTTTGTAGATTTTACAATCTTTTAGATCTGAGTTAAAGTTTTTTCATTACATACATATTTTTGTATCTCTATTTCCTCTCTACGTATTTTGTTAGGATTTCTATTCCTCGCGTTATACATATACATTAATGCACTGCGGTTTCCTTGGACTTTAAACATAGGTGTAATACAGAAACTGATAGGAGATATAGGAAACTATTATTTATTACTACAATTAATTATTGCTGCATAAACAACTTTTTTTTTCATTTCAAGATATGGCAGCAAGTCCTTTATCCGCAGCACACTTCGTTCATCGGTCACAAGGTCGCCGTAACGGTATATTTTTTCTGAATCCATTAGAAAGATCGAAATTGTCTGTTTTAGGAGCTCGCTTTACAGTGTATTTGCGCTTAACGGTCGTCTCTTTCAGAGAGTGTATATATTTCTCCTTTCCGCAATTATATGAAGACCAAAGAAGAAGTGTTCGGCGTGGATTTTTCATTCGTGATGATCGCGTCCGGGTGCTCTCCAAGTAGCCGCGGATCATCGCAATGAAAGAATTCACGTATCCGACAAATACCTTCTTTCTCGGGAGAAAGAGAGGAAAAAAAGGACGTTTACCGTAATCAATGCCGCCTTCTTTGTTCGCCGACTCGGGTATTCCGCGGCAAAACCAGTTCTCGAGTTAGTGCTTTGCTTAGGCTTGGACGTGCGGCGCCGCGTCATGAAAGCCGTCCTCGCGCGAAAAGCGACCTACGATAGAAAACATTATGTTAATAATCGCACGTGGAAGGTTGCGAAGGTAGTGAAAGGTGTACGCTGCCGTTCTGGCGCCGTCGAAGAGAGAGAGAGAGAGAAAAAAAGCGCGAGAAAATACCCCTTCGCGGAGTCTCGATCCGGTCGCGAAAGCCGCGGAAAAACGCTGAGGAATAAAAATGAATAATCATATACATCTTCTCGATTTCTTGCTCGTTCGAAGAAAGGCAAATTGTTCCTTTCCATTATTTTTCATATGCGATTTGAATATTAATCGAGGACGAAAAGCTGGCGAGTATAGTATAAAAGGTCTTGATGAAAACAATTTAATATTCATAAATGTAGCAAATGTATATATAATAAGATAAATTCAATACCCCGAGTTAAGTTCCTTGAACTCTTCGATCGAGAAACCTTTTGGATCCTCGCCCCGATCTGCTTCGGGTGTTTCTTGGATTCAAGTTCCGTATAATAATAACGCTACGTGCGCGCAGGTAGTCTTCGAGAACGGGCGAGGAAGGACGAAGAAGACGAAGAAGAGGAAGAAGAAAAGAGGAGGAACTGCGTGGGATAAAAATAGCACCGTACAGTCGCAAAATAAAAACTAATGATGCGAACCTGCAGAATGACGATCCAGACTCGCCGAGCAAGGAGGAGATCGAAGAAGGAGAAGTGCAAGAAGAAAGGTCGTTGCCTAAAAGGAAGATCAGGATTCACCGTCCGAGAAGACAAGCGCAAAAGAAATTCTCCCCGTGTATTCTATAGGGCTCGCACAATCAGTAGAATAAAATATAGCGATTATAATATAAATTGATAGATCGTTAATGGAGCTAAAAATTACTAGCTGCGAATATGACAATTTTTTGCAATATTATTACATAGAAATGGAAGAGACTTAATTTGCTTCATTAACTAGTTTGACATTTGTTGATAGAATTGTATTACTCATAATAATTCTGATGATTATTATAATTATTATATATATGTAGCTAATCTTACAGAATGACGTCAGTTTGCTACTTGGGTATTAAACGTCAAAATGATGTATGCTTGCTGGGTACTTACAAGAATTATATCATACATGCTCTTCATTTTCCTGATAATATTGGGATTTGAATTGGAAGATGATTGATGTTCAGCTTTTATTAAGCGAAGAAATTTTTGAAGGTATACATCCTTGGAATCCTATATTCTGCGGTGTGCATAAAGTAATCTGCGATCTAATGTCCATTAACGATGGTGGGAGCCGAGCAAGCGGTGGTTGTGCGTGCAGCGGAAGAAATCTCCCACCCTCTCGCGCGCTGGATCACGCTACTCGACCTGTCTCCACCTTGTAGTCTCTCCGCGGTATACCGGGAGCAGTATTCCGTGTGGTGGTTCAGTTAAAAGTCGGCATTGCCAGCTAGCCGGAGTCAGTCAGCCAACCAGACAGAGAGTCAGCCAACCAGCCAGAGTCCACCCAGGCCGATAGTCGAGAGCTCGAAAAGGACACCAATATTTCTTACGTACTTAAGGTGCTCGCACCACCCGATCTCACGATGGCGAGGCGCGGTGACCGATTTGGCACGATAAAAGTCGAGGGCAGCCTTCGGGTGTTCTTGCGCCGGTTCGAGAAGAGCTGAGGAAAAAAGAAGAGGGAGAGGAACGGGTTCTCCAGTGCCAGTGTGCAGTCTAGTCCATGACACAGGATGATAGCGAACGTCCGATGAGCATCCTGCTTCCCGTTGCCTTCCTGCCAAAGAAAGAGTGAGTGAGAAAGAGAGAGAATCTCTGCGGGTGAAGTTGCGAGTTTCTGCCGCCACCTCCGTCCTTCCACCGTGGTGAGAAGAAGAGATGTCGAAACCAGAGGAAATGTCCAGCAGGTCAGTGTGCAATTATTAATTATTTAATTATTATTTAATTTTTATTATTACCTCGGATGAAAGCTGGTCGAATCCATTGTTTGATCAATGACTTTTAGATTAGTGGGTTTCTTCTGCTTCTCTAAAATATTCATGTCGCTCATTTGGTTAATCGTTAAATTCCTTGACCCTTAGATTTTCGTGTTTTATATGAGCCGTAGAGAATTTTTGATTCTTAGTTTACAAGATTGCCTTTCATGTAGAATCTGAAAAATATATCATTTATTAGAGCCATGATTCATGATTATTTCAACAGTTCATATTAAATTAAACTCATATTATAAAGTATAAACATATATGTAAATACATGTAAATATGAAAATTAAAATAGAAAACAATATTTCTTGACAAAATTATTTCTGTACTTTTTTATATTTCTTCATTATTCTGACTTGTTTTACTTAAACACAAGCCGATTTTCTCTTTCCTATATCAAATTATTTAATTTAAAAAAAGAAAGAGAGAGCATAATTGAGTATATATTATTTAAAATAATAAAATTAAATTTTTTTTAAACACATCTGTAGCATCTGTTTTTAAATGCTACATATTGCAGCATAAATAGAGAAAAATAAAATTATAAATATAACATAAATATTGGAAATGACCTGAGATTATAAAAATATTTGTATTATATAGCCAGACTTAGAAGATTCGAAGAAAACCATAAACACTCTAAGAAAAGTTACTAAGACATAACGCTAAGAAAGAGCATGTTAGATTTGTTGACTAAAAAGAGGAGACATAAAAAGAGGATGTTAGATTTGTTGACTAGTGTCATTAGTGCGTGGTAATCTTATGTATCGCGTGTCTTTCCTCACGTCATGCAATCATGCATATGTTTGATTTATGAAACCTAGCAGAGAAATATATATATATGTATTTGTTATATTTTGTGTACATGATATTATTGCAAGCTGCTATATTATATTTCCTGTTCATATTCTTGAAAAACGAATATGTATATGTACAAGGAATATATAAATTCCAAACAATGCATAAAATTTATCTACATTTCGTTTAGCGAAAAATGGAGAAAATGATCTAAAATATCGCTTAGATTTCAGTTTAGCTTAGATCTCTTCGCAATTGCAAAATTGTAAAAAAGTCAAAGCAAAAAATGGTGAGAAAACACAAGAGTAAATTATTTATTAGATCGGTTTGCAGTGATATTGCGAAATCAATTAAATAGCTTTAATATAAACACATGACGAACGCGTAGCATGTATATATCTGTAAACTTAGCCAAAAACAACATTTTTATTATTTAGAATCGAAATGTCATGTGTTTCTCTACTACATCTTTGCTTAGCTATGTTCTATATACAATATATTATATTTAAGCAGAATATTATAAATAAATTTTTTCTTTGTGTTACACTACATATTATTTAATTTAGAGAGACAAAGAGTGAGAGAGCATAATTTAGTATATGTTGAAAATAATAAATAAATAAATACATATAAAAGATATATTTTTTTATAATTATATATCAATTTTTTTCAAAATAAATATAATCTGCAAAAATCTCATTCCTTCTCCAATCAGGAGATTAATTAAAACGCGCAGGAAGAATATTACTATAATAAGAGACTTGTAAATAATAATAATAGTTACTATAATAAAAAAATATGTAAATTGAGCCTTTATAAGGGACAGATACCGGTTAGCGCGCATATGTGTGTGTATGTGTGTAATTTACATCTACCTTCGTATCGGAACGTGTTTCACCTTTCGGATTTTATTTGCGAATATTAATTCATCGTAATGCTTCAAGACCTTTCAACAAATCGTTTGTTGCTTATTGCGCTATCTCAAGAGAGAGAAATTAAATTTACATTTATACATAAACCTTTACAACAAAAAAAAAGACTACTTTAACGATCATCGGGTTGATATATAGAATCCAACTTTAGATACATAAAAGACTCGAATCGTATGAGAATACAATGTGTTCAAAACAATAGATGCAATTATCAACGTAACATGCATGGTATCATTGTAACAATGATCTGTAGGTATAAATGGATTTAGATATGAGATACATTGTTCAGATCATTAAATATTATGCAATGCTATATAAAAAGAGACTCAACCAATACGTCAAGTTATACATGAAATAAGCATAAGCCATTCAACTTCTCGATACTGAATATAACTTAAAATGACATAAACGCAACGAACCACCCAACTTTATAATAGTATAACGTCAATGTAAAATAGTTGGAGCTTAGATAATGCTTTAAGTCTCGACCAATATCTTACATAAGCTTTTGTCAGTATTTATTTTAAACGGTAGTTTAAGAATATAATAAGCATACATTTAAAATAAAAAAAATTAAAATTGTTTAATGTCATAACGACACGGTTGTTTTTCCTATCGTGAATAAACGTCGAGTTATACACGATATAAAGTATCTTGAGGATTTCTTGCTTTGCCGTAATAATCGCTGTTTATTGCCAAATAGGCAATCTGTGGGATCTGCCTGTTGAATAATATTTTTCCTTGCGACTATTTATATATATATATAGAAAGCTTGTAACTTTCTTTTTGCTATAAAATCTAATAACGTACATACACACACATAGCGAGCAGAACGTAATGTATCCAGAAATAAATACATTTTTCAATAATATACTAATTTATAATCCATAGATAGACAAATATTACTAGTAATATTATAAATGTAAAAAAATATTCTATATTTAAAATCTTTCACTGATAATATTCTAATAATATATAGTAATTTATTATAAAAAAAATTTAAAAAAATACAAAATGTATATAATTTTGATGCAACCTCTAATTCTAGATATACAATATTTCTTATGTTACTTTTTATATAAATAGCAATTATGAGATTTTTATTGATGCCTCTTAAAGTGCATGTAATGATAGAGTATATATGACAACATACTTATATACTCGACATAGTTTTGAATAATTCTTCACTATCGGTTTAAAACTTGAACAAATATCATCCCCAAGGCTATTAATATTTGATCAACTAATTTATTTAATAAACAAATAAAACGCGAGCAAAATAATTGAATTAGATGGCCCTGATTTAATAGCCCTTTTCCAATTTAATAATTTTTTTGTATCGTACATCGTGTAAGATTAAATGCATTTCAATTGATTTTTTATTTAATAATAAATATAGAATTGATACTCGATTAAAACAATGTATATAAGATTATTCGCAAACGTTAAGCTTTCAACAGTATACATTTGACATAATCTCTTGATGTAGGTAATGATATGTTCACATTTAAACTTCCGGCTTTAAGAACGCATTAACAGAACCGATAATTTTTCTACACTTTACGAAATAATGTACTTGACATAATCTCTTTGCGACATTAATCCCTAGCGCATATAATAATACGTGCACACATAAACTTCCGGTTTTAAACGAATATATTAATAAAACCGGTATTATTATTTGCTTTTCAATATATGCGTGTTTAAATAAAAAAAAAGTATTTAGCATAATCCGTCATTATATGCATACACATAAAATTATTGACTTTTCTATAAAGAAAAATCTTAGTAAAAAGAAGACAAATTTTTGCTCTCTACATTCTTAATTGTATATTTGTATACAAATAATATTAAGTAATTAATATAAACAGTTATACCAATTAATCATATAACTATATATAATAATTCATAACATTATTTAATTTTAAGTTAATAATATTATAAATTATTATCATTATTATTCGTTTTCCAATATATGTACTAAAGATAAATCTTTAGAGAAAAAAAAGGGAGAAAGAGTCCTGCTCTCTACACTCTTAATTATATCTAAATAATATAAATAATATAAATAATATAAATAGTTGTAAAATTAATCATATAATTGTACATAATAACTCATGATGCTATCAATTATAAAGTAATAATACTATAAATCAATATTATTGTTATCCTGTGTATTATTCATCGCTGACGAATCAAGGAAAATCCGGGGAAGAATCTTTGAATTCGCGATCGCGAAGCCGACCGTCCCACACTTCCCTCGCTCGCAATCGCGCTTTACGCATCCGTAGTAAATCGTATCATTCATATAATAGATACCTAGGCGTGATGTTTGCGAGCGATGCGTCTACCTGTCGCATAGTGTTAGCCGTGTAACCGCGCGGCCGATTACGGGACTTTTCTCACCGTTGCCCAGTACTACTCTGACGTGATGCCTCGCCTCGGAATAAAAGATGCAAATGCAGATGATGACCCTCGGCGGCGTCGATTAGCAAGATTACCGTCCCGTGATTAAGAGAACTTGAAAATACACGAGCACCTCCTCTCGAAGCGTTGAAATCAATTTTATTTTTATACTCGATTGAGATATCTCGATGACGTCTCTTTGACAAATTTACGAGCTCATCGGTGCTCGAATGTAATAAAAATATTTTGCAATACGTATCCTATTCGTCTTAAAATAGTGAGAAATCTGGCGAACGATCTGCTCTGAAATTTCTAACAGAAACTTCATGAAAGGGTGTAACAGAAGTCTAAGAAACATTTTTCAGATATTAATTATCTACATAGACATCACTCGCAGTTAAATTTTGAATGTAAAGTTCACATGTTTGGTATAACTAATTACGAAAGAAAAAAATGACGCTTGTAACGAGTCTGCGTTGAATAAATATTAATGCTTTTCGCTAGAATCTCTCTATTAAACTGTCAAAGTCCGGTTTTCAGTGATTCGTGGCTTCAATTAACGGGCAGATATGTGCAAAACGTGACGAAAGGTTCAAATCTAAAAGCCACATATTATAAGCCACGTGATTCTAAATGAATAGCTACGCGCCACGCGATAGCCGGATCTGTTAGGAACGATTGGTTGGCGACCGATGCGCGAATAGAGCATAACTCGCTCGTCATCGAGATGCTAATTAATACGACAAAGACACAAATCGCGAGCTGAGACGTCAATGCGAGTATACCGCTAAGTATTTTATTTTTATCGTTCGCTATATTTTTGTAGCTTCGCGTTAAGCTTTTAAAAGAGGACAAGAAAGAATTAGAGTTGGTCTAAAATTTTCAGAAAAAAAATCTCTTACTCTCTTTCCCTGATCAAAGGTTTACTCTTCTTTATTTCAAACCTCAACTATCAATTCCGAGAGATCTTTTTTTTCTCAAAGTAATACTCATGGGTCCATTAAAACTCTATTACAAGTCTATTAAAACGAAGGTAGTCTTGCGAGAGTCTTGTTTAACGACTTTCATCCTGTGAATTTCCGATGATTGCGATGTGTTCTACGATGTATAAACGATCATGATGTTAATATGAGTCTTAAATATACTCTCTCTTTCATACGACGCGACTGAAATAGTTTCCCAACTATATATATATATATCTCACGTGTTTATAATTAGAAACGCAAAACGTGAATAATAGCTCTAACTCGTCGCAGATGGAAGAGTTTTCCCTCGACCGTTCGCGGAATAGTAATGGGACACGTTTTACCTCACAATTCCAATAAAAATTGTACGTGCGTATTCCCGGTGCGTGCTCAGGTGAAGACACAAAGGCTTATCAGCTGTATATGCAGCTGAGTGTGAAAAGAGAATCCTTCTGGGGGAAAAGAAATCGGATGATCCAGGCAAAGATTTGTCCCTCGTTTGTTCGCAAATATCGTGAATCAAGGGACGCAGGAAGGATCTGGAAAAAAGGAATAAATGAAAACCTGAAAGAGCTTCTGCGCGAGAATCGGTGTTGCTAGGAAGACGCTAGGATAATCTCGTTGAAATTTATTGAACGTCGTCGATTTCTCTATCGGGTCGTTATGAAACAGCGTATAATCGCCGCCGTTCAAGGATATCGTCGGGATCTATTCTTTTAACGCCGACAATAATACTTGTTCTTACCTTCGCCCGCGGCAGAAAGTGTCTATTATAATCCACGCGTAACGAGACAACATCTCCCTCGAATGTTCGCAGCCGAGAGTCGCAGGAAACCTGCACGCAACCTCCCGCTTGCGTCGCGATAGAAAAAAGTATGCCGACGCGAAGGAAGGCGAGGAAGACGAAGATGGTCCCGCCGGACGGCGGATGGGGCTGGGTGGTCCTCTTCTCCGCCCTCCTCGTCAACTTCCTCATCCCGGGCACCGTCAAGTCCTTCGGCGTCCTCTTCGTCGAGTTTCTGCACGTCTTCAAGGCCTCTTCCACGGCGGCCTCTTGGATGCCGGCGTTATGCTACTTTCTGTACAGCTCCTTAGGTAAATCCCGGCTTCCGCAAGGATATCTTAATCGCAGATCTACAAAAATTTCATTCTTTTTGTGATATGTTATTCAGAGTTTTAGATCTCTCTAATTGTAAATCAATTAATTTTAAATTATAAATTAAAGTATTAATCTTTCTCTCGATGAGCTTCTGATTATTATATACGCGCGAAGGTTTATTTAATAAAGTAAAAATAAAATTGTGCTAGAGAATAAAAATCAAATGAATGAAATAAAATGAGTAGAAACAAGTAATTGCGCATTTTGCATAAGAATATACAATATATATATACTTTCTGCAGGTCCTTTATCTAGTATCCTGTCGACCAAGTACTCCTATAAAACCGTGACTCTAATTGGCGGCACCTTCGCGGCCAGCGGGATGATGCTGAGCTACTTTGCCAATTCGGTCTCTTATCTTTACGTCAGGTATGATGCTGCTCGATTGACGTCTGAAAACACGCAAGTGAATAAACAAATGCGTGAATTCTAATTTTAATAATTTTAGAACTCTAATTTCAATGATTTACGACATTGTACATAACATATTCTATTATTGAAAGAATTTATTGCGATTTAAGCTATAGATAAACCATCTAGACTACGTCGCATCAAAAATCTTGTTCTAAAAGACAAGAATTTAGAATTTTATTTCGCAGCACGGATGATTTTTTTTACACAAAGATTCAACGTACGCTTCTTTTCTATTTAGTTATGGAATTATGGTCGGGATCGGGGCTGGATTATCGTTTCCACCGACGGTTTACATCGTCACGCAGTACTTCGAGAAGCTGCGAGGGGTGGCAAACGGTTTATGCATCTCCGGCAGCGCAATCGGCACCATAGTTTTACCGCCGTTCCTGCAATATCTCCTGGACTGCTTCGGATACAGGTAACTTAGAAAAAATCTAGGAAATAATTAAAATGAAAAATAACATGTACACTTGATGGTTAAATCTTGCAAAATATATAAAGGCAATAAATATTAGAAGAAAAAATATCAATTATTCAGATGACCCGGGACAAAAGGTAAAAGTGCTGTGAAGCGGTTCGAGAATACATGCATACAGTCAAAGCACGGCTTGGGATCTTCGCCGAAAACTTCATTCCAAAAAGGTCTCAAGCAATTTGGACGCCTCGATTTGAATATTAATTAATTTATGCGATTAACGATCAACAATTGCATTAAATATTCAGACCACATATAATATTATGATATAAATATTAAAATTTTATAAACTGACTTGTTTTTGCTTTCCAGCCATAAATGTTTTTAAATTAATAAATTATCGCATAATAAATAAATTTATATGAATAAATTACTTATGTGTGTGTGTGTGAAATATTTTTTTCTTTTCAGGATTTTTTATCCGTTATAGAAAAGATATTAGAATAATAAAAAAAAGCATAAAATAAAAATTTTTTAATAAATATACAATTGCATATATCATTATACATTTGGCCAGTTTTAAAAATTAATATTAATAAAAATCAATAATAAATAACATTTTTAATTACAATTGTAAATAAATCATTCTTCAGAGTGCTTTGAATCGCGTGTGTGGTTCTCAAAAAAATATAATTATTTGACAATGCGCTTTCGTTAATAAAATGCCTATAAGAAAAGTTTCATAAAATTAATTTATGTAATATATTTTTGTATTTATTATTTTTTTTCTACTAAAATATATATATAGAAAATTTTCAAAAAAAAGAAAATGAAATATCTCACAAATGATTCTCCCGAAAAATTATAATTGAAAATATTTCGCATTTGATGTGTCAATAATTAATATAATCAATATAATTTTTTAAAAATTAAAACGTAGCATAATTCTCAAAAGTAAAACTGGTTATATATACCTTACTTAAATTAGATTTCTGATTATATTTCAGAGGTGCTGTACTCATCATGGGTGCTATCACGCTGAATACCCTAGTCTGTGGCCTGCTCTACCATCCGGTCGAGCAGCACATGAAAATCGTATACCTAGACGAAGGCATCGACAACGAAGCGTTGACTCTCGACGAAACTATCGACGGGAAACGCATGTTGAAGGCTGAAAAGACACAGGGTGAATCAAAGTACGATTCGAATCTTCAAACTGTTTACAATAATGACGATAAGCTTTCGGATCTCTCGCACCATGTGGTTCTAGAATCGATCAGCGAGAAGACGTCGTGTAATCCCGAGAAGAACGATCGGAGCACCGACACAGTTCTTCGATTACGATCTTCCGACGTCTCCGCGATCTCTCGCGCGCAGGATGACATCTCGCGGGCGGATGTCGAGAATGAGATTTGCCTGACGACTCGTCCGAGTCTCCCGAAGGAGGACGAATTTACGCGGAATTTATCGCGACGAGGCAGCGTTGTTGCCGAAAAGAACGGCAAACAGCTCGAGTCTTCGAAAATCGCGGAGAATTCCCAGAATGTGGAGAAGTGCGCGAAGGAATCTTCGCGGAAGACATCTTCGAGGAAGCTCGAGAAGAAGTCCGAGAAGACTCAGCCTTTCTTCGACTTCAGCGTGCTGAGGGATCCCATTTACCTGGTAATTCTGATCTCCAACACCACGTCGGCCATCAGCAACACGAACTTCATGATACTGCTGCCGTCCTACGCGATCGCCGAGGGTTTCGACAGGAACTCGTCGGCCCTGCTGCTGTCGATAGTCTCCGCGTTGGATCTCGTTGGCAGAATCAGCGGCGCTTCTCTGTCCGACATCGATTTTGTCCCGAAATATTATTACTTCGTGGTGGGACTCGGCACCAGCGGCATCGCCCTGGCGTTGCTACCTATGGCGACCAGCTACACCATGCTGTCCTTCTTCTGCGCCCTCTTCGGCCTATCCTCGGGCATGTACATCGGCATCACGACGGTCATCCTGGCGGATATGCTGGGGACCGAGAAGCTCAGCTCGTCCTACGGAATATCATTGTTCGTCAATGGAGTTTTGCAGCTCGTAGGCCCGCCCGTCTGCGGGGTCATCTTCGAGAATGTGCTTTCCTATAAGCCCATCTTTCTGGCCTTCGGAATCATCTTGATCCTGGGCACCGCGCTCTGGGCGGCGGTGCCAATCATCAAGAGGAACAATAAAAAGGACCTAGAAGCGATGTAAAGTTTCACGAACGTTTTTCAGTTTTAATTAAGAGCCAAAATAAGGCCGGATATATTATAAAAGACTTTTTTTCAATTACGGTCGCACACTAGCTTTTTTTTAGAATTTTACGAATGGGATTCAAAGATTCTTGGATACATAAACGAACGTTCAAATTCGTTCTATCTAGCAAATTTAATATCTATAATTATTAAAATATATATATTCGAAGAAGAGAATCTTTGGAAAAGTTTGTAAAATTCTCACATAAGTTTTTGATATCGATGACTCTCCTAGACTCTTTCATGTATATATAATTATTTGCACAACAGACATTTATCACGACAATAGTATTCCGCGATTTATGCCATTATTACTTAAGATTAATACATCATAATGTAATGAGAGCTTGTACAAACTGCTGAAAACAGCATAGAGATAATTTTATATTTTATCAAATACTTATATATTGCTTGAAATAAAATAAATTTTCAAAGAATGATATATTTTTGTATAAAATTTCATACTAGGTAATCTTTTGTAAAGAAGCACAATTATTAAATTAAAGCATAATATATAAAATGTACGCAAAATTACACGGAGACAACTAAGGTAATCAATTATTGTTTTCATCAATTTGTCAATCTTTATCGAATATTTAACAATTTGAACTTTAAAGATTAAAATATAATTTTTAAAAAAGATGTTTCTTCATATATATCATTTCTTCTAGTTTCTACAAGTCTCTCTACATATATATATACATACAATTCAAGCAATTTGACCATTCATTAGCCTTACATAAGTCTACTATTGTTGAAAATAATGTACTGCCAGTAACAAGATAAGAGTTATCTATAAATTAATTTAAAATGAAGAAATATGAAACATATCAGGAACTGACGTAGATAGGAACATATATATATATATATATTATATGTGTGTATCGTAAGAGTTCTCCGTTAGACAACTTTGTGCCAAAGCGATCAGGAAAGTTTCTAGTGGTTCAAACACATTAGCATTTTTAGTCAGACATCTGTCAATTATAAATCATATAATAAATATTCAATTATACTAAATGTTGAGTAGGTAAGATATATATTTAATGATATATTGTAAGTAATCGCGTAACTAATATAGACTATGTGGGGCCATAACTTATGCGGTTTAATACCTAAATAGATAGACTAAAACTCTTTCTCTTTCTCTCTCTTCATATAGATCTTATCTGCAATGAAGACTTCATTAATTAGACTCTAAAACTCTTAAATATAACTTGAAGCATGTAAAACATTCTTTGATTTTATGAATTCTAGACATCCTTTATTTAATAGATCCATGCATTCTGCATCTAACTTTTTTTACATTATAGTTTGTTTTACATTATAGTTAATTTTTGTTACAATAGCGATCGATATAAGAAAATAATATAAAGTATATGTGCTAATTTACAAGAATATTCTTCCTTTTTTTATAACAACAAAACTTTGATTTTTCAAATACTATAATACTTAGATTAATTGAAAAATATTGAAGTATAGTTTAAAATAATTTCGGATAAAAAGCTTGTAATTATTTCTACAGATGTTAACACTGTAAATAGAGATAAAAAACTATTCTAAATGAGATAAAGAAAAAATAACAAAGAGAGAAGAAGAGAGAAGAGCGAGGGAGAGAGAGAGGAGAGCGAAGGAGAGAGAGAGAGCGAGGGAGAGAGAGAGAGCGAGGAGAGAGAGAGAGCGAGGAGAGAGAGAGAGCGAGAGAGAGAGAGAGAGAGAGCGAGGAGAGAGAGAGAGAGAGAGAGAGAGAGAGAGAGAGAGAGACGAGAGAGAGAGAGAGAGAAAGAGAGAGAGAGAGAGAGAGAGAGAGAATAAGTAATAAATATGTTTTCTAATTTAGTTTTATTGTAATCCACTTAGTTCTAGGAATTTTCTGACACAAGTCTCATGTATCGAATGCGAATATAGCGACTCGAAGAAAACTAAGGATGAGAACAATATGGAACGAGATATTTCTTTTATAATTTTCTTCAAAATTTCGGCAATGCTGAGATTATGTTACGTAGAGCCATATATGCAAAATATATTTCTGTACATGTATGTGCGTGTCTTTTGCTCAATTCTCTTTTGTTTGATTTGTTGAAGATAATACATATCCTCTTTGATACTATACTAATTATACAATTAATTCATGTTACACTATACGTATGTTTCTAACATTCCTAATTCTTCAGTTCAGCTTTATTTACATGCATATGTACCTTTTTAAATTGCTCAAAAGTATATATGCTGCAATGTGGGAGAAGTTTTATAACAAAAAAAAATATATATATATAACGAAAAATATGCTTCCCACAAACGCAGCAATATTTTATAACTTGAAGTGATGTTCTCTTAGCAAAAATTTGATTGCACATCATGTTTTGCATGTTTTAATGTTCTTAGTGTTATTTAAATAGAAATTATGATAAAGTGAATGACATTTGAAATTGATAACAAGATCACAATTAGATAAATATCATGAACAATTGATGTGAAATAGTGGAAAAATGCAAGAATTGATTTGTAATCAATCCCTTTATTGTGTAATAAATTTGCGGAAAGCATACGACTCTACTTAATGTTTTAAGCAATCTCAACTGTTGTAGTTACCGACATAAAATATTTAATTGCAAGTGTGTCAAAGAATAATGAAAAGAAAGAAAATTAAATAGAAAATATTAATTCAAACCTCAAAATGTCCTTGTCACCTTTATGCAATGTTTAACAAAAGCATAAAAAACGAAATGGCAAGTAAAGATGCAAGATTTATGTGTAGCAAGCGTAAGAAACATTGGCAGATTATGAAACTGTAGTGTCTCTTCGTCCTGTGAAGGAAACGATGGAACGAATGCCTTTCACGGAAGTCTGAAATGTTAAAAATAAAGTAGCTCTGTTAGTTCTTGCATTATTGTTTAAATTATCATTAATATTTAATTACGATTCAAAATTATCTCTCGAATCATACGAAGGAAAACTATGCAACTAACCTTTTTCTTGGATCCGTTAAGAAAGTCTTTGTACATTTCCGAACGTAAATATCTCGAGTAACTATCGCTCTTCATTAGATGATATACATGTGCCTATTAATAATAATAATATATATGCATAAACATTATACATATATGAATTATATGTATATAAAATAGTTTGAATAAAATTATAATAACCCAGGTAGCAAGCGTGCGCCATTTTGACATCGAATGACGTCATTTTGACGTCAGTTTGCTATTTGGGAATTTTGTTTGAACCATAGATATTTTACATAATATAATATTAATATTAACATTATTATAATATATAATATAATATATAATATAATATATAATATTATATATCTAGAATTTTTGAACATAAAGTCTACTTGAAAATTAAATAAAACATGAGTTATTATCTACTGAGAATTTTTATGATTAATTCGCCAAAAACTGGTCGCAATCACTTAACAGTTTATTTCGAATAGTTTTATATTTCATTTCAGATAAATAAGATAGATAGGTATATATAGCTAACAATTTTTCTAAATTTTAATCCTTTAAATATATTTTCTCTTCTCATTCCTCTATATATGAAATAATAGAATTAAATTCATACCGCAGCAACGTCGAAGCACCATTGGTCCGGCTTTTCGAGATTCTTCTTCGTTATCTCGTAAGATCGAGAATCGACATTGATCGGACAACTTGCATCCGTGTCCAAAAATTCGCGCCATATCTCTTCGACTTTACTCTGGACGTCTTTCTGCGGTAAAGTTTTCAATTCCTGAACGGTTTCCCAAAATCTGCACATATCATAAATGATCTCGTCTCCCTGATGTAAATTTAACATTCGTTGAATGAATATGGATATAGACACATGAGCGATAAATCTCTTCTCGAAATAAAATTAATAATGATTTAGAGATGTGATGGTAAAAATTCGCGGGGATGATTATTATACGTACTTGAGATTCTCGCCGCTAAATTCTTTATCTAAGAAACGTATAAATTGTTCTCTACCGACGGGATCCTGCAGGAGTTCTTGTAAACTGAACGCCCATCTTTTTACTCTTCTGGTGGATATTTCTTTTCTGCATATCCGGAAATATATACATATATTTTGTAACGTCGTTTTCTTTTTAAATCTGAATATCATGAATATTAATTTTTTTCTCTACATACGCTAATTTCTCCTGCTCCCACATTTCTGGGCTGTCGGATATCCATGGATTTGTCAACTCGGGTTGAGTGAAGAAGGGATCGTATTCCATGTACTGCTCAAAGTATCCAATGAAACTAAAAATATCACATGTATTGATTAGTCTATAAACGTTTACATTGTTTAATACATATATATGTGTATATATATATATATATATATATTTAAGAAAGCTTAAATAAATTATAATATTATATCATCGAATAATACAGATAAAATGAAATTGGAAGGCTATCTTTTACCTTCTCTTTCTCTTACGAAGAACAATAAAATTAAAACTCGATTTAACTTTGATGCGCAACAAACGTTTAAAAAAATTATTTTAATTTACTTCGTTAAAGTAGATAATTCTAGCGACATACGCTTCTGCGACTTTCGAAATTTTGATGACCGGTCTGTCTAATCTATCTTTCAGGGTCTCGATCTGCTTCTGCAAAAATTCTATCGATGAGGTCGGATTCGATTCTGCAGACGGCGATATTTTGCCACCTGCAACGCCCAGATGCAAATGCTTACTTGGTTGTATAACAGATTTATAACTGCGACAAGCCTTCTTAATGTCCAGTTCCGTTGTATTTACGCATCCGGGCTGCAAAATGTAACTCGATACATATGCAGGGTGTTAAAAATCGTAGTTTATTTATAGGTGCAGATATACATAAATAAGTATTACCATTGGCCGATGTACATCCCAGAAGGCTCTCTCTTGACTATCCAAGACCTTTCTTTCTAATTTGTCTCTCTTCTTGTCAACTTTGCTCTGCGCTTCCGCCTGCATGAAAATAAATTCCCATTTTCGTGAAAACATCTTTTGTAATCTAGCCAAATTCTCCGCCTCATAGTCCGCCAATTCCAGTCGCGTTTTATTCTGCATCGTCCTCTTGCATAAATAGACAGCTGTAACATTTAACATAGTACGCATCAATGGATCATAATACAGCGGTATCAAATTAATTATAAATATATACATATACAAAAAATAAATAAATATAAGTATAATAAAACGATAACATTGATAATCAATTATAATCAATTATAATAAATTAATAACATTAATATGTCTTTGTACCATAATCAGTGTTTTCAGGTTCCCAACAATTTGATGGCCAAAAATAGGGCGTTTGAAACCTGTAGAATGTGTTATCATTCTTTACGGTAAGGCAGTGGTCGTCGATAGGAAAGAAATATCCATGGGATGCCATAAGATGAGCCACGTGAAGAGCTTCTGTGAACAAATATATACTTCAAATTAAATTTCAAATTAATCACAAACAGACTCTAAAAATTAACAAATAATTTTTACCTTGATCATCTATATCCATATTTTTCATCATCCATGCTATAAGATCTGTGCCTGAAATACAAACCATATAGAATTTGTTAATCTTTAAGATTACTCTAAGCAAATCTAATTTTCATATATATTTCTTTCACAAATTGATATACTTCACATATCATATCATATTTATTATATATTTATAAATAAAACATAATCGTTCTATTTTTACCTGTGAAAACAGAAGGCGTCTTTGTCATAAAAGTTTTGACTGTCTTTACAGGGACACCACAAAATTCGTCCAACATTTTTTCTACAATTGATTCCATCTGGAAAAAATTATGCGTGAATGTGTATAGATTATTTTACATAAAATAAAAAATATTTGGAAAGATTAACAGAATAATCAATATTATTATATTATGTTTAAAAGATAGAAATATTCTTATCTGAATAAGTAATCATTAGAGTAAAATAATACAGATAAAATCAGATAAAAATAATTTGAAATCTCAAGATTGTTGAATTTAATTAAGTCTATTCCTAAAGACTAAATCTGTGTACAAGATTGAAACCTTAATATTTCGTTAAGATTAAAGAGAAGTTTCACTCGATAAAGTTTTCTTTTGTTATCTTTCATTATTAAATCCTTTGAATTTTGCTTTCTCATTTATCTTGCGCATATATTATCTATTTATATTTATAATACATTCTATAGACTATTACTTTTTTGTAGACAAGGTAATTGGGGGTGTCTTCGGCGCAAGAGGCAGTGACGTTGTACGTGGGGGTGTTGGGGGATAAATCCGGTGATTCGCTCGTACGAACGTCCTCGTTTTTTTGTCCGCTTCTTCGACACTCTCGGACGTCTTTTTGCCGCTACAGCTGCTACTGCTCTTCTCCACTGGTTTTCGGCGGCAAGCCGATTTTTCGGAGTTCATAGTTACCATATCCACCCTACGAAAGATACAACGTTCCTGCAAAGAACACAAAAAGGGATTAAAAAGAGGGAAAGAGAAATACAGTTTCAATATATATAAAGACGATAAAATTAATTAGATAATTAATGATATAAATTAAATGCTATTATTAAATTAACAGAATATAATAAGTTAATAAATATAAAGAAAATAATTGTATGAATTAAAGCAAAATTAAAATTTAAAAATTATAAAATTGTGAAATATTTGATTTTACATTAAATCTGGCGCTCTTTTTTTTACCTTTAATAATTTAATAATCAAGTATGTATTTTTTAAATTAAAAATATACATTAAATCCTGGCCTTACAACGCAGATCAAGTTTAACGAGTAATTCGCTTGCAAAGTACCAGAGTCTTTTGAGATATATATCTCAATAGCCTTGTGCAATTTTTCTCGCGTGAGCGAAGTTTTTACGACATCGATCCACGACCAATTATTTATACAATTACGATACAACACAGAGTGTGTGTTCCAGTAACTTGATTATTTTTTTATCTGACAAAATTCCTCGATTCCAATTTAGAATCAATTTTTATCTTTCAATGAAAAGATAGGGATCCGCAATTTTCGAAGTCGTCAGTCAATGTTGGCCAAAATTGACACTCGAGACGATATTCTATATTTACTCCTTATTGTATAGCTACCCCTTCTTCACCATATAATCATTCGTCCTTCTGACCGCTCAAAAGGGATGATAGGTAGCTATGGAAGGGGAAAAGCGGGATAACGTCTCTCATCGGTCAATCTTGGACAACGTTGAATAAAAAGACGAAAAAACGAAGAGCAAAAAGGCTGAATTACGCACAAACTCTGTGATGCTCTGTCTCTCTCCCTCCCTCCCTCTCTCTCTCTGTTATAAATTGCAATTATTAATAAAATAAAAACATCCGAGAAATCGATACTCCGCTTCTAAATACAGACCTACCTCAATTGTAACACCTTGACCCACCGATTCGTTCTCAAATCACGCGAAATTCACGCGCTGTCTAGCACGAAATTTATCGACGCGACCCTCATAGTGTCCGTAAGGGTCGTAAATTTGCGCGATACGCTTCTCTTCGTCTTCTTGATGGAGAACAATGAGGTGACGATCAGGTGACAGTAGAGTATTTAGCAGTAGTTTACAGCATCCGACTTGAAAGTGTCCAGTTGTCCAGCAACCCCTTCATTATGCTTCATCGCAGCACAAAGCACCCTTCTCGGGGAGCAGCCAAAAATCCTCATAGTTGCATCCAAGATTGATCACAGAAGAATCTTCTCACTCCTCGAACTAGCGTTTTTTTTTCTCTCTAAACGTTCAAAAAATCATTCCTCTTCGGGATGAGGAGGCGAGGCGACCCCAGGTCACGTTTGGGCGCAAAACGATCGTCCGGACACTTTCCGAGGGGAAAGAGAAATCGCATCTACTCGACGTGCATATTCGCAGCACCTCCCGATGCTTCGCGTGTTGACCCGAGCGAAGATCAGGTCAAGATAGCTGACGGGGGATGGAAACGCGCGCGCGCGCGCTTTCATCATCTACGCAGCGGGTTCGCGCTTTCTAAAGGGGTGCGCGCGTTAAATTGACGGAGCCTCATGCCGAGGCTGCAAGTGCGCAGGTTTCGAATGTCGTTTCACTGCTGTCGAGTGCCGGAGGGCGAAGATCGAAATCCTGTCGAACAATGACAGGTAACAGTCGATAAATGAAAGAGACGCGGTTGCGCGAAGCGGAGCGTCTTTTAATGCTATGAAGGAAACGCGACCTGTTGAAGAGTTCTTGTTTTAATTTCTATTCGAAGAAATTTCTACTCTAGCAACATACAAAATATCTAAAACAAATATATAAAAATATATATAAATATATAAAATATACAAAATGCATAAATATTTTATACATACATATGTATATAAATATATAAAAAAAAATAATTTAGTTTTTTCAATGGAATAATTTTTACCTGCTATTTTAATTAAAGGATCTATATGGAATATGGATTTTTTTACTTTCCCCTATACGCAAAAGATTAAATACAATATCTCGTATTAAGATGTACGATTTATTATGTGTAAATAATCCATAATTTCTTTCTTCTCGCAAATCGTTCTTGATAAAACGTTTGTACACTTTTTACTACATCCCATCATCGCCTTTCCTTAATCTTTTTTATCTAGTTTGGCCGTTGATTTATCTTCCTGAAACACGTAAACGGTACAAAATAAATATAACATCTATAAGTGTGTAATTAACGTACAAGAGAAATTATTTATATAAGCAAGCAAATGAAATTACTAAGAATTAAAAATCAGAACGGAAAATGGAGCAGACACCTAAACTTGCTTCTGTCTGAATCAACTTCTTTGTGCATCAGTACTGTGATTTATCAAAGGCGCGGACGATGTTTCAACTATCGATTCAGAGAGTTCCTTGGTGTTATGACATGTTACGCAGCGAGCATCTTTTGCCATATCTTCATCGAGACTTGCATAGACTAATGTATATAGCAACTTTTTAAGAGAAAATATTTGTGACAATATTTAGTGACAAGATACGTTAACGTTGTCCGACAGTGCGTTTTTATTTCCCATTTTATTTCATAAACATGAAAGCTTAAATTTCATCACTGGGGAAAATTGGCACATTATATTAAACTTGGACAACGTTGCGCATGTATTTTAATAAATCTAATTAATCTCGGTATTAAAAAATTATTCTAAAATAATCACCCATAAATTCTTTAATAAATTTAGATTTTTCTTGAACCAAGATTTCGCGGGATCGATAGTATTTTAATATCAGCAATTGATGATGAAGTATATTCTAACAGCAAATTAGTTTTCCAGCAACACATTTTCAAAGATAAGAGCTATATTAAGCAATCAATGTGTAAGGCAGGGACGATGCAATAGAGAAATTTCTTCGTTGCATCCTACCTCCTTGTTACCACTTAAAGATGTATATGTGTTCTGCGCAAAACTACCAACAGCGGTAGCCACTGCCGAACCTGTGTCAATTGTTAAATCTACAAATTCCGAAAAAGATGTCGGAATTTGCAATTTTGGCAACTCCGGCAATGTGAGTTCCAGCTGTCGGTTGTCACCCGGCTTGACTGAAATTATTTATGATAAAGTATATAAACCGTCGACACACATTTTTACAAATCATTTTCTTTTTGTTTTCATTGACGGTATTCATCATATCTTGGTTATTTTGTGTGCAAAGTGTTTTATATGTTCCATCTATGATTCTTTGAAAGCTGATGATCTTTGTATAAGTATATATTTTTCGTTTATCCAAAAATAATGTAAAGTTTCTATTACCACCGTAAATAAAATTGTAGCCGACGTTTATATAATGTTTCGCTGTATCAAGTCCCTCTTCAGCTTTTTTAGGATAACAGATAGCTGCTGTAGTCAGAGCTCCCGTGCTAGAATATACCAATCGTTTAAATCGACCTCCTCTAAGTCCAAGCACTAATCCAGCCAATCCACCGATAGCTATGGCACCTACTCGTGGCATAACATTACTTTCCTCACGAAGATAGTCCAAAAGAGCTGCAAAGAAATGGCACTATGTTACTTATAAATAGTAAAGTAACTTTAATATTTCTAATATTTTAAATAAATGTATCTTGATCACTCACATCTGCTGTGTTCGACACCGGTATCAATAGTATCAGAAATCACACCAGTATAATGTTGATACTCTGACACAACTGCTTGAACCGACTTGCGAATTTTGGATATGTTCTGCTCCAATGTAGAGGGTGGACAATCTGTGCTGTTACATAAAATTATGACATAAGTTACAAAATGTTATATAAAATGACAGTTTGAATTAATGGCATTCTAAACGATGATTTAAGGATTAAGCCCTACATGTGAGCTTTCTTAAACATTTGTTTTGAAATTAAAGTTGTTTCTTAATTGTAAGTTCAGTTTCTTGTAAATATAATATTTAAGATATATAATGTGTTGGAATTACTTGTGCTTTACCATGGGATCTGTTTAGAATAATCGTCTTCGAAGGGATAAATCGGTAGCTCGGAGGGTCGAATTAGTTTCTTGACTCCTGACTCGTCACTGTAAGATGACATTTTGCCTTCTGATGGATTTGCTGGTTTTATGACAGGTATCGCACATAACCCGCACGGCATCAAAACTTTCTTGAAAAACTTGGCACACAAAAATATCGTGGCATATATATTTAATATATATCAGATAAAACTTCGCGTCATGCAAAAATCTCATATAGACTTAAATTTACATAATTACATAATTACCATTGTTCCTCTGAGCACGAAAACGTTTTACATAAACTATCTATTCCACGCTTTTATATCTCGTTGAATATCACGCAAAGATTTATCAATTTTCATAAACTTAACCAATTTTACAAGTCGACATATTAGAAGAAGACAGATATAAGATAACTCGCAAATACAATAGATCGAGTTGCGGTTACATACCCGCCATTACTCGAAAATTTTGACAGTATGATAGAATTTTATCACGCCTTACATTTTATATATATAATAAAATATATTTATATTTATCTCAGAAAATTCGCACTGAACAATATTATCCTGTTACTTACTTTTTAGAAAAATATCAGTCCTGGTGTCTTATAAAAATATGTATATTTCTTAAAGATATACAAAATATATTAAAGAATATGTAAACATTTTTAACAAATAAAAAAAACAAAGAAAACAAGATATTTTTCGTTTAGCTCTCTAGCTAACCATATTGCAAAATTATTGACATCTTAAAAATTTAGAAATATATATATATATATATATAATTATATATAAAGAATTATTGAATATAATTTATATAAGCACACTTTGTTTCATCAAATTTTAGAAAAAATGAAGCAAAAATTATAAGTTGTATAAATGTTCATTCGAGCTGATATTCTTCAACAAAATAGCTTCAATTTAAGAAGTCATTCATTATTCATACTTTAATACCAGTTCTGCCCAGCTCTACTAAAGTACCCGGTTGATAATCGTCGCAACGATGCACGGGTTCTCGACAAGTTATATCTTTACCAAATACGTTTCCAATAGTAAATTCGAGGATTTTATGTACAATATTATTCATATTTTTTCAGGAAAAAAAATCTCAATTATTTAGGACATACATATCAATGAATTGCTAAAACTAAAACATCGCGTCGATTGTTTGCATCGTGGCGCCTGCATGCACATTAAAACTCTGTCTATTTTTGCATCTTTCGTTTTATTTATACAAATTCTGCCGAATTCAGACTGATTTTCTTTTTGATAAGACGTGTGTTTAGATACAGTCGCACATGTATCACGTGACTGTAAAAAATAAAACTTAATATACATATATGTGATTTTCTTTTGAATCACAAAATATGCGTTTACCTTAGTCGTATGACATTTTATTTGAATTTATTATAACAAATAATATAATATATTTTTGTTTATGAATTAGTATTGGCATTAGGTCCACGTCGGCGACCAAAGGTTTGAACGACGTTGACAAACCTACGGTTATATTGAATGCGTCGTTTAGCACGGCCAGTCTTCTTTTTACTTTTCTCTTGTTTTTCAACCTGTGAACATATATTTTATGTAACATAATGTAAAATTTTCTTATTTAAGAATCTAATTCAAGGTTTCAAAATTTATTTTTTTAGAGCTGTGTAACATTTTATATATAGTATAGTATATAAACTATAAACTTAATTAGCTATTTATTTGTGTAAAATTATATATGTAAATTAAATTTCAAATAAAGGAGAATGAAATATTTTTTTACCTTAGGTGTCTGAGCCTTTACTTTGCCGGCACGTGCCAAAGAACCGTGAACCTTACCTATAAGCAACAAATAGATAATCAGTTATCTCATAATTAATCATTAACGTTTTCTATGCCTTGATGATAATCATGATATCAGAACTAAAGATTTAATACTTTCTCTAAACAAATATACATAATAAATGCAAAATTTTAATTATCCATATTCAGAATACTGTATCTAAGTAGTAGATTAGAATAACTAATCAGTGAGATGAATAACTAATCAATTTTCTACTAAATGTAATTATTCTATACTAAATAACTAATATTAATTAACTTACCTCCCCGCAAGGGTACAGTCAACTCAAGTTCATTTGATGGAAGTTCACCAACACAGGCTTCATCTGTTAATAAACTCCCATTACAATAAAGATTAAATTCATCCTCAATACCTTGAAGAGATGCAAGTTTTTTCTGTAAAAAATAAAAAGTTTACTTAAACTAAGCATTGAATAGTCACAGTATCTTTTACAAAAAATTACTAATACAGTATATCTTTTAATTTTTGTATTTATTATATTATAAATCTATTCAAATTAATTCCTGCTACATTCTAAACATCTTATTTCTTTCTTAACATTTCTTTATTATACAATTAAAATTTGTTTTTCTCTTAAACTCATTATAAAAATAATTTTATAGTAAACTTATTGAAGAATAAAAACAGAACAATTTTCATTCTTTCATAAATTTACATATTACTTTTGCATTATTGCTCCTTCTAGCATTCGTGTAAATTAGCAAATGCTAGATTATCATTTTAATGCTACACTTTTACAAAATTATCATTCAAAAACAAATTCCAACTTTATATCGAAATAATAATAAAAGACATACTAATATACCTTTATGTGTTGTATTCTGTCACTGTCTATGCAATCAATGACAGTTGTCTCCTGTCCACGAATATGGAGCTGCATGGCATTCGTCATTTTCAGATCGTATCAAAAAATACTGCAATATAAGTACAAATACTTTATAAAAGTGCTTTAATATTAATATTTAATACTTATTTATATATATATATATATATATATTCTTTCATTTGATGCTATATAATAAATATGATTTTGGTAGTAGTATAAATACATATATGTGTATGTGTGTGCATTTTTATCTCACACACACATGCACACATCAGAAGACACACAAACAATACAATTACATTTTTAATAAAAAAAAAATTCCACGCAAATTTTTATAATAAATTTTCGAAGGAGAAAACGAAAATATCGAATGCGAGAATGGTAAAAAGTACGCAGCATGCGAGCAACGTGTTCTTTAGGTTATGACGCATCTGTTCAATAATCCATTTTGCATCGAGAAATTCGAATGTCAATTACTCGACGATAAACCGCCAATACATCAAAATTGGTCAAACATCGCTCGCGTTAAAATCCTAAATCGATTTACATATAATTATTCCATATTTTAGATATATTAATTACAAGCTTACCTCTCCAAACCGAGAATACGAAGGAAAGAGAGCGAAGAGCGAATGTCGTCACTTTACGAACGCGAGAGTCTTACGTGAGCGCGTATTGGCTCCCGAACAGTGACGCGGCACGTGATCACGCTGTGACCTATCAGCTGTTTCGTATCTGTCACTCGCAGAAAAGCGCAAGCTGATTAGCTGATGTGACGTCAGGAACGTTCCGGAAAAGTCTTGGCCATAGATTGTGATAATCAAGATGAGAGTGTTTGACCGACTAATCAGGATGAAGGATTCTCCCCTTCTCTCATTCTGATTGGTCGATCTGACATTTCATATTCCACTAGGTCAATCTAGTAATTTCTTATAATTTTTTTTTCGCGTTGGTATAAATATTCTATATATACGTGTTTGATGTTTATACTCTACTTTTTTGGATGAGAAGTGTGATATTGAGTTAATTAATTAGTATTGCGAATTAAAATGGCGATTAAATTGAATACAAATTCTTCGCCGTCAGTCGAATTGAGCTCTTATCGCGATCAACATTTTAAGGTTTGTTTTTTTATCAAAGTACATAGTAGTTAGTTTCAATTTTATTATGATTTTACACAACATTCATATCTCTTATATTTTATTATTATTAATTGTAAAATGTAATTAATAACTTTATTCTTAAATTATTGATTTCTTATTCTTATATTTTTTTTCAGGGTTCAAGGGCTGAACAAGACAGACTGCTAAGAAATTCTTCCACTTTGTACATAGGCAATCTGTCTTTTTATACCACTGAGGAACAGATATTTGAATTGTTTTCAAAATGTGGAGATATCAGGCGTATTATTATGGGTCTTGATAAGTATAAGAAGACACCTTGTGGTTTTTGCTTCGTCGAGTATTATCTAAGAGCGGATGCTGAAAACTGTATGAGATATATAAACGGGACTCGTTTAGATGACAGAATAATAAGGACTGATTGGGACGCTGGCTTTATCGAAGGCAGACAATATGGTCGTGGCAAGACTGGAGGACAAGTAATTATCTTTAAATTTATATTTGTATAGAATTAATTTTTAAATCTTATCTAAATATATGATACAATATTATTCTATATTTAGGTAAGAGATGAATATCGATCAGACTTTGATAGCGGAAGAGGTGGTTATGGTAAAATAATACAACAGAAAGTAACATCTCTCTCGGATGGTGGATTTGGACGGTGAAAGTTTGAAAGATGAGATAATTGTATGAATAGCGTAAATGTGCAAATGTTCAATCTACATATTTCATTAATTGCTTATTTATACATAATTATAAAACAATAATATATGTAAATATAATGTTTAAGAAATACATTACATAAGGATAGTAAAGTAAAAGTAAAGAACTATTCATACATATTTTAAAGCCATGTCAAAACATGTTTCAACATGTCTTTAATAAGTGACATTTTTCATTGAAATATTTTCAAACAATTTGTTTATTATAAAATTAATAAACATTTTTTCATTATAGAATTGACTTTCGAGTTTAATTTTTACATTCCTTATTTCTATATACAGTAAACATTTTAGAAATAAAATTATAAGATATAAAAAATAAAATATATATAACACATGCTATAATTAAAATAGTATTAAATCTGTAATCACATACTAATACTTATCATTATCTTTATTGTTTTATTAAATAGTTTTTAACTAGACTCTAATTCAGAGGTAGTAGATGTGTTATTTTTCTGAGATAACCTTTGCTTGATTAAACTCATAAAGTCTAATGAATTACTTCTATTACTATTTTTAAAATTATTCCGAGTTTCTGAAGTTTTGCGAGTGATTTTCGAAGATGTACATTTTTCATTTTTTTCACTTGTTATACTTTCATCATTTATGGTATTATTTACATGATTAGAACTTTCTTTTCTATTAACATTGCTAGTTTCTTTCTTTGACCTGTTAGCAATCACGGTTTCATTATTGACATCGCTAGAAATTACAATTTTTTCTATTTTTTTCATATCCTTTTCAGTTTTTACTGTAATTTTATCGAATAATGCTCGATTCTTATTTTCATAATTACATTTATCTTCATCTTCATTGTACATTTTCTGATTAGCTTTTTCTACTAGAAATTCTGCTGTATGAATTGCAGCGATATCTTCCTCCGATGTATCCAGACAAAGTGTGTTTTTGTTGACAACTCTGCCTCCATGCAGAAAAGTGGAGATGTTTTTTCGTCGCCACATTTTGGAAGTGCTGGGTACTGACTGCTTGCATTTTCCTTCAAACTGAAACTCCTTTACATCGACATCCGTGATCTCGCCTTTCAGGAACTGTAGATATTTTTTCAATGCTGTGTAAAAATGCAACTTATCTACCATTCTGGGAAAATTGGCACATCGCGCGCTGCTCGACGGTGTTACCCAGATTACAGTATCACCGATGCATTCAGGTTGTAATCCAAAATAAAATTTGGAGTTAGCTCTGATGTTGGCAAATACTTCATAGATACATTTACCGTTAAATACTGCAATTTTTGGCTTGTATAATCTTAGTTTTTCTTCCACTACTTTTGCACCCTCTTTAATCTCTGTCCGTTTGAGATCTGCAGCAGATCTAGTGGGGCGTGTTACAATATTTGTTAAGCCGATACTGTATTGCAAAAGCTTATAGTCTTCTTCGAAGCTGACAAATCTCGGTGTTAAACCAGACTCGTGTAGCAGTTTGTAAAAGTGATTACCAGGACCCGCATAATATCTACCACGATGCGCTGCCATTAAACTTGGATTGATTCCAACAAAGACTAAATCCAGATTCATCTCCAAGTAATCATCCAATGTAAACTTTTGTACTTCTTCTTCGGACAATCCATCGAATCTATCTATCTTTTTCTTAGGTCGTTCGGAGACTTCTGGTTTTCTTCTCTTCAATTTATTTAAATCAAGCGATGACATGACATCCGTGCAGCAAAATAGACGTACATGCAAGAATCGATCTGTAAAATTTTAAGATGTTAATTAGAAGACAAATTTTCAAAATTGTGTCATACACAAAATTTGAATATATTTTTTCTTACTTGTAGAAAGTAAACTATTGTTGTTGGTGAAAAAAGATTTCTTGTATTTGTCTGACGAGTCAGATGGAAAAGATTTAAAAATTTGATATAATTTAATGTTTTTATTTTCATTTTTTTTTAAAGTAGAAATAATTAATTTTGCAATATATTGGTATCTTTAAACTTACATATTTTATGTACTTTGAAACGTACAAATTGAATTTGTTCGATAAAGATCTCGTCCTATCTTCTTCATAATTGTGATTGTATATATTATAATATAATAATTTTTCACACGCAAAATACTGTTTACACAACAGCAAGTATATCACGAGATTAGGTTAATATGAATCGATATAGCATACAGTTCTTCGATATAAAATCGAAAAATCGCAATTTAAAATATCGATTTAATGTCACAATTATCGATATTTTAAATTCAAAAAATTTTTCGAATAAATGTGACAATAAAAAAATTCTTCCTTTTTTCTTTATCACCGTAGAAGAAAAAAGAGAACGCAGTTTTATATATTTTTGAAAAATTCTTTCTCGTCATGAAAAAATTTCACAAAAAATAAAAAATATAGTCTGCATAATTTTACGTGTAAGAAAAAAAATTGTTACATGTATTATGTGTAAAAATAACATTTTCTTTTCTTATATCTTTAAAAAAAAATTTATTTAAAGCATGTCTCAAAATTATCCTATTTCATACTTGAAAAATGTTTGATTTACACGCATATATAATTAATAAAAATTAATTAACAAAAAAATGCTGTTTTTTTAGATTATGTCACTTTTGACAATTTGAGAGATGTATAAAATCCTTGTAGGAGAATAAAATGCAGTTGCAATTTATATTATTCTGTTGAATGTGGAGTTTATATATATTGATGGAAGAGGGAAACGCGTTTCCTTAGGAACGACCGAATACATTAATAAAGGAAGACAGTATCTTCTCGTGATTTCTCATTGAAATGTTATAATTCTTCGTCTAACCTGCGATATCAATCAATCTAAAGCAAAATCGTATCTCGTTATTCGTGACAAAAACGCAAAATGGACATAAATTGCATTCCATCTCTCTCCTCGAAGTTCACATTAAACCAGTGGCATTGTAACAATCAGTTCAGGTATTGGAGTAAGTCATGCATACTGCTATTAATATAAAATTGCATAAAAAAATTAAACATATCTTACAGTTATAAAATTACACAATAATTATATTCGCGTAAAAAACTGACAACCTAAATTACATAACTTACAGTGTTAATAAAAAAGAAAGAGAGCGGTCCGTCTTAGATTGACGTAACTTTTTTTGTTATAATAATATAAAAATTACACGCTTTTATCCACGTTTAAAGAGATTAAAGATCCACGTTTAGTCCTCCTTTTTTAATGTCCGACTACAATTTCTCGGCGATTTAGATATCGATGTTCCGAAGCGCAGCAGGAATCATCGGACCGCGTCTCGGCTGAAGCAACCCGCGCGTGCGAATTGTCCGCGGAAATTGCGAAAGCTAATAAGGAGGAGACGGATCATCGTCTGCAAGAAAAACTTAATGACATCGAATTTCGTAAGGAGGAGTTGCTGCGGATCAGAAAGGACATCGTCTTGGAAATCGACGCGCTGACGTTGTACAAGGAGCGGCTCGCGGACGCGTTGAAGTCCGTAAGGAGAAACGCTCTCGAAATTTGCGAAAAGTGTCTAATTGCCAGGTCATTAGCCACCCAGTGTTTGCTATGTTATCTAAATAAAATTATATATACGTCCTATAGGAAATTGTTGAAACTAATCAGCTGTCATTTTTTAATTCATGCAACACGGTAAATAATTTTTTATATATAATTATGTATAAATAATTATATAATTATACATATAATCGTAAAATTTTACGTGAAATATGTTCATTTTTATACATAATTGTATAAATTATAAGGGCTTATATAATCATGTCAAATTATATATAAAGCATATATATATATATATATATTTATATTTATATATATGAAGAAATACTTATTTATTATATATATATTTGTATAAAAAGCACTTTTATATCTAATTATATATGAACATATTTCATATAATTTTATATTGTTATATATAAAAAAATTTTTTACCGAGAATTATTGAGAAAATAATTATGTTGGAAAGAGGAAAGTCTGCAGTTTTTAATGGATATAAATAAAATGTACATTATTTCTATACACTATTATAGACTTTCCTCTTTTCAACACAATTTTTATTTTCTCAATAATTGCATGCATTAAAAAATGACAGCTGATTAGTTTTAACAATTTCCTACGGGACACACTGTAGATGATCATCTAGATAAAACTTTGGCGTCATCTTATTTTGATATAGACAATAAAAATGTGTTATCTATGTCTGCATCTTAGAGATGAAAAGTATTATCTTTACTAAATTATCTAGAATAATTTGCAGATAATTTTGGTTTAGAATTATAGCACATAAAAATACTTAAATAGTAGAACTTAAGCAGTAAGTGATAAAAATTTATAAATAAAAATATATGATACATATATTTTTATATTTAAATTCGAGAGAAGAGAGGCATCATTAAATGTCAAAATGACGTCATTTTGACATTTAACGACGTCAGTTTGCTACTTGAGGAGAGAGAGAGAGATCAAAGTTCAGAGTTTTTTCTCAATTAATTCTCTATTACACAGGGAACGCAGATTGGGAATTGATTTAGTTCACGACGACGTGGAAAGGAACTTGCTGAAGGAGCGCGAAGTGATTCAAAAAGCGGAGGACTTATTGGATCGAATTTGGCGGGAAACCGGCGAAGAAATCCGCAAATCGAAAACTACGTTATATTATATCGATCGCGATCTCGAGAATAAGGAGAGCAACTTGCATATCGATCGTCATAATTTATATATGAAGGAGACCGATTTTAATTTGAGTATCTATCACGGTACTTCGCCACTCGATAAGTCGTACGTAACATTAGCATAACAAAGCATCATCGCTCTATTATTTATTCATGATATAAATTATAATTCCTATCCTGTAACTACGTCGGATTATTATTACACCAGCAGCGACAATCATTTTTTTCTTGTTTTGTACATCGATAAACTATTTTTTTTCTTCATTCGAGAAAATAGTCTAGCGAAATATGTCGAAAAAAAATTATTTAAGATGTGCCAAGTCAGAATTAATTCCTGTTCACATTTCAAATACGGTTTCTATAGCGCAACAAATAATATATATTGCATAATGATAATAATAACAGTATTTAAAAGAGAAATAAAAAAAAAATAAATTATGTTGCAGAAGGGTGACATTAAATGAATGGGAATTGCAAACGAACAGCAATGTTGTTAGCGCAAATAAAGAGGTGAATAACGCTAAACGATTACGTTGTTACATCGACGCGATGCTTAAGCAAACGGTTGATGATTTAAAAACACAGAAGGATGCCACGAACGAGGCCTTCAGACAGCGAATCGAGCAAACCCGAGAAGCTAAAATCAAATTGGAAGTTCAACACTCGGAGGTAAAAATTATCCCTTGCAAAATCTTAGAAATTAAAGAGTTATTAAAATTTCGAAAGGCGATAAAAATTCATATATATATATTATAAAATTCGCATTTCTGTTTCTGAAATATTTCAGACAAAAGATCTTAAAATAAAAGATTAATTTTTATATAACAGTCGAGATACATTAATATTTTTTATCGTCTCGCTTTAAACAAATCCGTTTTATATAAAACATTTTTTATTTTTCGTATTTTTTGTAGATAATCAAACAAATTGGCGCCATGTCGAGTAATATAGCGCGCATAAAAAAATCTATAGCTGATAAGGAGGGTTTTATGGCTCTGGCTCACACGAGATTAGGACATCGATGTCAACGTCCAGGAATGGAACTTACACAAGATCTGGTTGAGGCTAATCTCGTTAAGGAAGTACACGAATTACGAAATATCGCAGCGAATCTACAACAAATGCTTTGCGAGGTTTGTTATTGCGTGTTTCTTTATATTTTATTAAATTTAGAAATATTTTTTAAATTAAAATAATTTTTAAATTATAAAATATAATTTCAAAAATGTATTTAAAAATTTATAAAAATTTATATATGTATATACAGAGTGTATCTAAATAAGTGCGAAAAATTTTAAGAGATGATTCTTTGTCGAAAATTAAGGAGTTTTTTAATATAAATTCTTTATATCCCTTCCTGAGAAGTTACACTTTTATTCTTAAGAGGGAAATAAAAATTAAGTTTTTATTTTTTAAATAAATATTAATTAATATTCTTTTTATTAGTGGAAAATATCCACCAAGTTTCATTTTTTCTAATTTGTCTGAAATTCGAGGATAAAAAAATAAGGAAGGGATATAATAATAAGAAACCCTCCTTAATTTTCGACAAAGAATCATCTCCTAAAATCTGTCGCACTTATTTAGATTTACCTTGTATATAAAATCGTTATGAAATGTATTATAGGCAGAAGCAGCATTACGTTACTTGCTCAAAACGCAAATTCAACTCGAGGAGGATATTAACGTGAAGACGAATACTTTGAAAATTGACGAGGTCGAATGCATGACTTTACGTCAAAGTATAGACTATCACGCGTACTAACATTGTTACTATTAAAGCAATTGTGTTCAATGTCTTTCTCAATGCCTTTTCTTATATTCATCGAAATTTTTGTACTATTAAACTTGTATATTCATATATCCTATCTAAAAAAAATAAATAAATAAATATATACAACGAGATTTTTCACCCCTTACTGAAGTCAGATTAGATGACGGTGTCAAGAAGTAAGAGGTGATCTTATGCAAAAATACTGGTTTGTCTCCACACAAAGTACAAGGAAACAATTTACATAATTTCTCGCCTCTGACGTCAGTATATATAAACGATGGAAAATCTATTATTGTAATTATAAAACACACTAAATTGAATTATGTATATAATTTGCAAACAATTATACAAATGCTATAGCATTTGTCGAGTAGCGTGACAAATATTTTTTTTGCAAACGCGAACACACGAGATAAGAGTTTTTTATGAAAGGGGGTCAAGTACCACTAATGTTTTTTTTTGCTACACTTTTTTGTCGGTGTAATTGCAGTCACGCACAGTTGCAACCTCTTTCTCTCTTTCTCTCTTCTTCTTTCTCCCTCTTAGCTAAAATAAAGCGAAAAGCGGACGAAGGAATGGATGACGTCCAAGAACCGGTACACGTGAAATGAAGGAGGGATAGCACTTTCATGAGCCTAACCGACTTGCCGTTGCTATTTCATTTTAGTTCGGACACTAACAGGAATCGAATCACCGTCAGTACATGCACACTTAATTCGTACGACTGTAGGAAGCCTGTGTTCCTTTGCATAATTTCCTTCTTTTACTTCTTCAATCGAGAACGTCATCGGAGAATCCGCGTGTTAAAAGTGCTTTGTGAATCATTTTATGTGTATGTGAATTTTGCGCCAAGTTTCATTATCTGAAAATTAAATGATTCATTAATTATCTGAACAAGTTGAATGATAAAAAAATTCAATATGAAGAATTAATTATTTTTATACGGTACTTGCTTGAGAAATTGAGCTTGTCAAATTAATCGAAAGAATTAAATATATCGTTTTGTGCACGCGTGTAATAATTTTAATTTACCCTTGTAAAAAAAAAAAAAAAAAATATTTTTTTTATGAATCCAATCTGTGCAGTTCTCTAACAAATTAAAATGGCGGATACTATAACAAAGATGTCAATTAACAACAATAACGGAATGAATGTCGCGCAAGTGCTCGAAAAAGATTGTGTAAGTATCTATAGTTTTTTTATTTATCTTCAAATTGATTTTATTTAACTTTAAATTGAGTTAACTCTGACTTGTTTCAGTTTGTGCAAAATACACAAGTTGAATATAATATTTGTGTAAACGCGAGTGAGAGAAAGATATGGTGAAATAGTAGTTTTAGCAATTGAAAGATTTGTTTAATACAATTATATTTTAAATACAAATATCTACAAATTAAATATATAACAAAATCTCTTCTTTTTCTATCTAAAAGTTAACTAAAATTTAAGTAATTTTTTAAATTTGATTCTGATGTGTATGATATATAAACATGATTTTTTTACAAGAGTAATTTAATTTAAAAAAATTATATATAACTTTAATAAAAATATAAATTCTATAAAATATTAATTATTTCCAAGAATTACGTATAAAAATAATTTTTGCAAAATTGCATTGTATTTATAGAATATTTTAAATAAATAAAAAATATATATGTATATATATATACGAGGTATTAAAATTTTAAATTTATTGTTCAATCTATTTGTTTTTAATGCATAAGTGGCGTTTAACAAACAAGTTTTAGAAATGGCTCTCGTAGAAAGTAGTGTTGTTTGATTGACAATTTAACATCCAATTCAAACTTTCATTGCTGATTTGATGTAATGATCTAAATGACCTAAATATTTTAGTAATTCACTTCTATTTGCGAAAATATTTTTTTCGCTTATTTTATGTTAAATACTGTATGCAATATATCTAAATAAGATCTCATCTGCCGATGAATTAACATATTACTCACAAAATTAATAATAAAATTTAAAATTTATGAGAGAATTCATACATATTTACATACAGATAAACAAAAAATATCTTTTATTTTTACAATCTTTCTCTCACATCTCATTAAACATTAAACTTTTAATTAACATTTTTACAAAAATTTTAATATGAATAAATCTAAATACTAATACAGGAATTAAGATATGGTATTAGTTCCTCAAGCAAAAAAATTCAGAAAAATAATTCTCTCTACTGCACAAATTTTGCATTGTTACAAGATAAGTAGAAAATTAAAAGTACATTGCAAAACAAACAGAATAGACATGATCATTTTTTCCTTACATAACGTATTTATCTTTGTCTCCATATAATAAAATTTTTAATTATGGCTTTTCAGAATTTTATTCCATGTTGAATCATGTTTGAAATCGAACGTAGACATTTGATCGAGCGAGCAGTTTATGTAATCAGAGATCGTGACCCGGCATAATTAAATGTCGCTCGGACAATCTAAAAGTCTTGATAAAACGAACGTGTTTTTTTCTCTTTTACATAACAATACTTAACATATAATATATAATATATAATATATACTATATAATATAATATATGATATATAATATATAATATATAACATATAATATATAATATATAGTATACAAATATATATAATACACATATATAAAAATACATTATATTTCTTTCTAGATAATAATACTATTAAATTTTTTTTTACTGACACGGTATCTTCCTTGAAACAATAAGACGATCAAAGAAGAACGAGCAAGTGAAGTAGCGTAAAAATATAATTCATTGACTAAGTAGCACGGTTCGCTTTTCTTATAAATATTAATCTCCTCGACTTGGAATAAAAAAAAATAATATAACGCACACGCTTCAAAAATATCGATGCTAATCTCTCAAAGGCAATCAAAAAATAATTGGCGCATCTCGCGTATTCCTGAGAAAAATTTTTTTATATATAATTATATGTAAAATATGTCTATTTCATATATAATTATATAAATTATAAGGATTCATATATTATATAATCATGTCAAATTATACCTATATATGAAAACATATATATATATATATATATATATATATAAATTTATATAATTATATATAAAAAAAAATTTTTTCTAATTATGTATGGACACATTTTATATATAATTTTGCAATTCTATGTATAATTTTATATATTTCTATATAATTTTATATTGTTATATATAAAAAATTTTTTCAGGGGTGGTGCAATAAAAAAATAAAATTCCCACGTATACACTTATATGCACATGTGAAAGCAGGTCAGTGGTCGGGCATTGTTATCGCGCTTATTATCACGTCATCGGATTGTTATCGCGTCGTTTCTCCCTTTTACCGTGGGGTAGCGACATCGTCGTGTTATTGATCATCGTGGAAACCGAGTGGAGAATTTGGGGTTGAATCGTTCGGGGGTGAAAAAAATTCGTCGTGAACTGATCCGAAAAAATGCTTACAAAGTAACCGAGGTATCCTACATCTTCTGTGCGGATGACAGAAATGTCAATCGTTAAATCAACCGGAAGTGCCGTGAGAGAAGGGGAAAGGTGACATCCCCGAGGGAAGGGCTGGTTTGAACGTGTTCTTCCGCGGGATATTAAACACGCGGTTTAAAAGGCTCCTGCAGAAATGCGCTTTAGCGCCGTTTAAAGCGCATGCTGCGTGGAATGCACGCGATTTTGCTCTCGTAGTAAGTATATATACATATATGCATATATATATATAGATGTATATATGCGCCTAGATACGATGCGTTCAACCCGGAAATGCATAAACCGGAAGTGGCGGAGAGCATTAATGACGCCTGGTGTACAATCTTGCGAGCGAGCAAGAAACGTGCTCGGCCAAACGTAACTTCGAGTTTTGCTCTTCTAACGACAGACGGTACATCAAAGGCGTATCGTAGATACTACTTAACATCGGATGGCTACATGCCTCGTTTAACAAAACGCGATTCGAAACAGTAATAGTAAATAGACCGATAAGAGAACAAAATTATTATCAAAAAATCGTGTACATTAAATTTAGGAGATATAGAACGCATGACATATATACATACATTTGTACTGTTTGTCGCAGAATTTTGATCAGATTGGTCGAATATCTCTGTTAAGTATTTTGCCGACTAACAAGTTAAAATTAAAATGAAAAATAAAAATAAAAATAAAACTTCGAAGTTATTTATTACAAAAATTATACGTATAATCCGCTGTATCACGGAAAAAATTAGCTATCATAGCTAAATTTTCCCTATATTTACAACTTGAATTTTAGTTATCGTGCTTAAATTTTAGCTACGTAAATAATATTTTTTAATTACAGTTTAATGAAGAATGCTATAGCTAAAATTTAGGCATGATAATTAAATTTCATGTTTAATCTAGAAACATCTCTTTTTTTTCATATTTACAACAGATTATACTCGTGTAATTTTTGTAATAATAAATAATTTCGAATTTTTATTTTAATTTTAATTTGTTAGTCAGCGCAAAGTATTTAACAAATATTCTGCCGTTCAATTGTATACAACGAAAAAAAATCTAATCAAAATTAATTCTGCGAAAATATATATCATACGTCCTATATCTTCTTAAATTTAATTTGCACAATTTTTAATAGCAGTTTTTTCTTTTATTGGTTTAATTAAAATTCTAGAAAAGGAGAAGGCAATTCTCTATATATTAGTGGAGAAAGCAATTCTATATACATATATGTTTTTATATGAGATAATTATAATGTATTTACTATTTTTTACTAGGAAAAAGCTACTTAATGAGATACGATATTAGCAGCTTGTAAAGTTGGATTTACACTTGAGCTTGATTGAGGTTTAAGCAGAATACAATATATAAGTGGAAATACGATTGATAGGAGAAACTAAATTGCACTAGAAAGTAGACGGCTAGAAATCTTGCAGTTTATTCTAGTCAATCAGTGACTGGAAAATATCTTGATAAAGAATGCGCAGAAAAAGATTTTTTTCGAATTTAATCTTCATTTTATAATTGAAATCTTGTGTCTTATAAACTAATACTGTGCTAAAATATAAAAAATATTTTTGTTTTTATTTAGTGTTTATGTATAAATAAGATCAGATTAAAAGATGAAAAAAAGAGCAAAACACGTTTATTAATCAGTAAACGCGATCATTTGAAAATCTTTAATCTCGCGTCATTATTATGTTTAATAATTGACGAGTCACTCGGATGTCCTGATAGTACAAAGGTGATAAGACAAGATTGATATTTCCATAAAGAAGTTTATGATAATAAGTTATTGATTGATGTTTTTGCGAAGAAACTGTAAGTCATCGTACACAGTTTTATCAGAGGAACATATGAAAATTAGATATATAAAGCGAAATAATTATAATTATTCAAGTATGAAAATATTTGATATAAAATATATTTATCTATGTTATGTAGAATAATTATATTTATATCAAAATATTCATATTTTTATATTTAATTTAATTCTGTCCCAATTTATCTAATTTTAATATATTCTTCTTATAAAATACACGATGACTTGCTTAATTTATAACTAATGTTTACTGATGTTTTCTTCATGAAAATATCCATCTCGTTATCAGCTTTATCAGGTTACTCGGATGACCTATAAATTGATGTCACGAAAAAAGCTATCATAGCTAAAGTTTAGCTGTCTCTACACAGATTTCTCTTACAATTTATTCTGAAAATCAATCATGGTAATCGTGGGAGAATATGATGTTAAAAGAATTTAATCTATCTCAATAAGATATAAAAAATATGTTCAATTATAATTTTACTCTGTATATTTAAGTAAAGTTTTACTATATGTATACAGTAAAATTAATCGAACATATTTTTCATATCTTATTGAGATAGATTATTAATATTTTTTATTATAGTAAATATTAATCAGAGAAACTCTTATAAAAACATTCTTCCAATTTATTCCATGATTACTATGATTTTCAAGATAAATTTTCAAGAAAAGAAATATTCTCTCTGTATATATATTATTACACCTAACATTTAGTTATCATGCCTAAATTTTAACAACAGTAGTCAATTTTTTTAGCTATAGTCAAACGGACAATTTTTCGTTAAATTTTAGCTAAAAAATATTAGCTGTCATAGCCTTAGAATTTTTTCTAGGGGCATAATTAAAATTTTTTCTTATTTTTGGTTTCTTCTTAATTTTTTTATATTAAATATACAAATGAATTACAAGATCTCTTCAAGAAGAGAGTAAATGCAATTAATTTTTTTACTAATTCTAGGGAGAGGGAGAGCAAATGCCTCTTGCCCCCTTTTATGGCCGTAGCCAAAATTTAAGCATGACAACTAAATTTCAGATGTAATACAGAGCTGTACAGCTATGAACGTCCGCAGGATTTTTTCCAAGAAGGGGCATGATTAAAATTTTTTTATTTCTTATTTTTTCTTCTTTCTTAATGTTCAAAATTTATTTTTATTCTTTTACATTAAATATTCAAATAAATTTCCTAGTGTTCGTTCAAAAAGAGAGCAAATGCTTAATGTTTTTTACTAATATTTTAACAAGGGGCAAGCGCCCTCTCTGCGGACGCCCATGTCTACAGCTATAAAATTTAACTATGACAATTTCTTCCCACGATAATACGCAACGATGACGCTCCGCGTTTCGCTCTTCTTCCTCATCCTTGAAATCCGGCCCTCACAGATTCGCGCACCTTCTGCCCAGGATATCGAGCGCGGCGAGAGTCGTTTCGGAGCAGCAGGAGTCCCACCGTCGTCTGGGGGCCAGTCGCGGCCGCCGACGTCGACGTCGACGTCGGCGCCGCGGGAGCCTTCCAACGTCGGCAGATGTGACGCTGCGACGAGGGCAACGTCCGGAGTGGGGCGCGACGTAAATCACTCAGGTAGCCAGGACGCCGAGCAGAGAGGTGCACGTGCCGGCGTGGGCAACGGACCAGCGGATCGGAGTTCGGGGAGAGACTCCGGAGCGAGCGGGAGCAGCCGCTGGAAGGCGGTCGGTCGGTTTCTGGGACGCCTGATTCTCGTCATGCTGTTGCTGGCGATCGTCGCCGGCACTCTGGGCCTGGTCACCGTCTACATGGGTCCGATCTATCTCGTGCAGTTGCTTCTGGTGGTCTCCGTCGCCTACTTCGTCGCCGGTGGCCGTCTAAGATGGTTCTACGTCGCCCTCAGGACGTTGCCCCGTGACGCCAAGTGAGTCCAGACTCTTTCACTCTTTTCTAGGTATGTGTGTGGGTGTGGGTGTATGCGTGTTGATCTCCCATCTGCTTGTTTGCTTTATGGGGAAAGTATAGCTGATTCAGCCCAGATAGCACCAGCTCCAAAATTGGTGCATCATTAAGAAATCTTTAAGATATCTTGTTTAAGAAATCTTATCACACCAACACAACGTTATGTAAACGTTTAATAAACGTTTTTCGTTTGTTAACCTGCCAAATGGTTCATTCCTTTAATGATGAAAACGTTCGTGTAGAACAGTAAAAATCCAAAGATTTGTATCACTCGAAGAATTGTGAGTCTTTATATTTTTTAGTGCACAGAGAATATTGATGTGCCCAATTGAATTTGCAATTTTTTCAAACTCTATTCAATAAGCCTCAATAATGAATGGTAAGTATTATAACGTTTTACTAGATGGACATTCACATGTTTTATGAACATTCAAGTTCGAACGTTCCTGAAACGCTTATATAACGTTAATGTGTTGGTGGGGTATGATATCTCTTATGAAAACATCTTAAAGATGGTTTGTACACCAATTTTGGACGTGATGCTGTTTGGGAAGAACCGTATTTCCTCGTGCTCGACCTTTGATCGTTCCATGATATTGGCATGCTGATGCTGATCTGGCGTTTGCTTGACGTCAACGGAATTTAGATGAAAAAATTGTAAAAGCTGCGATTATCACATAGAGATAAAAAGTTTGTGAATCAATGAGCCTATATATAAACAGTGATGTAATGACTTATAATTCAGTAATGACGTTGAGTCGATGATGTTGAGTCACGTCAATGAATCTACGTAAAAGTGGAAGAAAAATAGAAAATTCCTCTTGTACTACGTCACTTTAGCAAAGTGCAAACAGAGCAATAGCATAATGACCATTGATAGATTTTCAACCTCTCGAGATTCAAACTCGACTGATCACGAAAATGCAGGATATTTTGTGCAATGATGATCTGTCAATTGTTAATTTGACTAAACCATTCAATTAAATTATTTTTATTTTATTGAACATATGTTAATATTTAAATCAAATATAATTATATAATTAAATATTATATAATTAAATATTACATTATATAAATATTAATATTAATAATTGCATTATGTAAATATTAATATTAATAATTGCATTATATAAATATTTATGAAGTAATATATAAAAGGTAACTATTTAACGTTAGATTGAATATGTTATTACATTTAATTTAAATATTTTTGTATGTTTAATTAAAATCAAAATAGTATTTAGATGAACGATTTAGTCGAGTCAACAACTTTTTTTCAGTGCACGATTTTTTATTGTTTGTTATTTGTACATTTGAAGTACACAATTCGCATGACCTTAATTTCGATCTTCAATAAAAACTTATGCATGAATCAGATTGGTTATAACTAGGACGTACATAACCGGTTTCCTGATTGCTTAAAAAACAAGATCAATAGTTATTTTCTTATATATCTTATTTAATAACGACTTGATTACCTGATGTTTTGCAAGAATTAAAAAGAAGGCAATAAAATAATAAATACATCATGTTGTAGAGACGATCATCGATTTATTGGAGACGAAAGAAACCATCAGTCAGAATCTAGGACACACTTAACGATGCTGTTTCAAACGTTTCAGTTCACCTTTCGAATTTCTTATTATTGATAAACTCGAAATGCTAATTCTGCAATCTTTTATGCCTTAAACGCGACAAATAGTTTAATCGATTGTGCCAGTTTGTTTGCAGACAATTAAAAAAAATTACAATAAGTTTTCATCCTAGACTTTTTCTTTCCGTCGTGATACGTCATATAATATATTGTATAATAAAATAATGCATGATAAATGAAGTTAATTCTTAAGAATTCGCGCCAAGTCAATTTATTATATCTTTTATGTTTTTTTTATAAAAAATAGATAAAAAAGATGCAATCTTTGCGAGTGGAATTAACTCAATGTCATTAAATCTTATCTGAAAATAAAATACAAAATATTGCTAACGATTACTGATATTTTATTTATTTAATCAAATAAGAGCACGATTTTATTTTATGACTCGATATCAATTTTTATGTGAACTCATACATAAGGAAATAACAAAAAATACAGGACAATTTTGTATTATTTCTTTTTTTTAATACATTTTTATCTTTATATTTTATTTATTAATTGATCTGTAAAAAAAACAATGACGCGTTCTTATTGCGTAGATTTTCTGAAACACATGATAAAGAAGATTGTTGGCAGAAAATGTTTGCATTCGCCGTAGAAATCTGAAACTTTCTCCGCGAAAGTGATAATAAAGAATGAAATGTCCTGGTTCGCGAAGATTTCAATGAGTGGATCGAAAAGGTTGGGTTCATGGCGAGTGTAATTTTCATCGCGCAAAAGTACAAAGTTTAAACTATAAAAATAACTTTATACACCAAGGATTTTTTTGCTTCGATGATCATTGACAACCGGTTTTAAGTAGCTTTTAATACAGATACAGAAGCTTTCATGCGCGAAGAAAGATATAGCAACTTTCACCGGAAACTGAATGTACGAGGTGTACAAAAAGCAAAGTCGCGAAAAATTATATGCAGAAAATAAAATAAATTAAAAAATGTAGACTATTTTGCTTGTAAAAATTATAAGTAAGATTTACTCGATGCGTTTTATCTTTCGACTTTTATAACGCAAGAGAACATTATTTTTCTGTTCACTTTAGAGAATAAAAGAAGAAGAAAAAATTAATAAATAAAATAAATATGTATAGAGTAGAAACTGGATATAAAAAAGAGCTTCTGATTATATAATAGCTACACGATATCACACACAACTCTTGATGTTATAAAAAATCTGTGAAAATCCGTTGAAATGCAAATTATGTTAAAAATGTATTTATATTGCATAAATAACAGATAATCCTTGAAATTGATGTAAATAACGAGAGTTACGCGTGCACGTCTCTATATGTCCGTGTGTAAACACAATATCTCATCTGCAGTATAATTATAAAATTATACACAATGATTTTCTCGGAAAAAAACAACAACATTTCATATCAAAACTACGAGGAAGAACCTTCTAAATATATTCTCCGCTAATTACAAGTACCTAAGTGCATAACAGTTTTTTGTTTGCCTTCTGTAATTTTTCCATCAGCTAAAACAATATTGATAGATATGTGACGTTGCGATATTTCCATACAAAAATAACCGGGAGATATTTTTTCTAATGACGAAGATACCAGAAGCACCTCGCGTTCCCGATAATCTCGATTCCTTTTCGAGACAAGGTATAATTTCTCAGCATAGGTGGTATTTACCGATCATGACCGTGACTATGAACATTATCGTGGTCATGGTCGTGGCCATGACCGTGATTGGATCTAGGCCACGACCAAAGTCGCGGTCAAACACTGCGATTTTACGATTCAGAACGTGAGTGATCAAAGAAAGGATTAGAGACGCTCGGATCGATCACGAAAAAATATTAAAATATAGCTATCATGGCTAAATTTAGCTGTCCCCATATCACATTTAAAATTCAGTTATCATGCACTGAAAAAAAAATTTATTAAATTCGAATAAGTATGTATTTCAATATTGCCAAATAAATTATTTATTTCAGACTAATAATATTTATTTGATTTGAAAAATATTTATTTTATATAAGAAAATTCTTTCCAAAACAAATAAATATTTATTTGTCTTCAATAAATGATTTATTTGACAGTATTGAGAAACAAAGATTTATTGATTTAATAATTTTTTTTGAGTGTGTCTAAATTTTAGCAATGGTAATTAATATTTATATTAAATATATTATATACTTATATAATATTTGTTTATATTTATAAAATATTTATTTTATATTTATATTATTTTTATATTATTTTTAGTAATTAATATTTTTTATAGTTAAACGGAGAATTCCTTGATTTGACTATTTAAAGCGTGAGAGCAGATCCAAGAAAGAATTAGAGACTCTCGGATCGATCGTAAGGAAAAAATATTAGTCATTATAACTAAATTTTAGCTATCTCTATACTACATCTGAAATTTAGTTGTCATATCTAAATTTGAGCTATGATCATGAGTGTCCATCAAGAAGCTCAAGAGGAATCATTTGCTCCCTCTTGAAATCAGTAAAAAAATGAAGCATTTGCTCTTCTCTTGAATAAATACTGGAATTCTTTGCATATTTAATATAACAAAATGATAATAACAAGAATATTAAAAAAAATTAAAATAGAAGAAAAAGTTTAATCATGTTCCCTCCTTTTTAAGAAAACATCCTGTGGATGTCCAAGACTATGACAGTTAAAATTTTAGCTGTCTCTATATTTTTACACCTAAAATTTTAATTATGCCTAAATTTGAGCTATGACAAGTAAAATTTTTATCTACAGTTTAACAAAAAATTTTTTGTTTAACTGTATCCGGGAAAAAATTGTTCATGTATATTTATGCAGATATTAGATGATATTAGAGTATATAATTAGATACAATTATACAGAACTATACATAAATGTGCAGAAATATGTATAATTATAAATGGAAAAGTATAAGATATTATATATATATATATATATATATTATATATATATATATTTATAATTATATATATTTCTATATGTATATATATGTATCAATTATATATCTAATATCTAATATCTGCATAAATATACATGTCCCGGATACAGTTAAACAGAAAATTTTTAAACTGTAGATAAAAAATTTTATGTCATAGCATGCATATATATATATATAAGTATATAGTATATATAATATATCTAACTCTTTCGTCATGCATAAATATGCATATATTAAAAAGTATTAGCTACTATTCCTAATATTTTTAACTATAATTAAACGAAGAATTCTTCGTTAAACTATATTAAAATTTGAGCTGTCATAGCTATATAAATTTATAGACATGATAACTAAATTTTTATTGTAATATAGGGACAGCTAAAATTTAGGTATTGTAGTTAATATTTTTTTCCATCGCATCGCGTATTCTGGAGGAATCAACATCATCAAAAACCTTTAAAGGGATCAATTAAATTTAAACATATCTTTTCCTTTTTTTCCACGACATTTGTTCATAAACTTTTGATCGACACTGTATTACATGTCCTTGTCTTCTCCCATTTTATTTTTTAAATTGCCAACTAGTGTTCTTCCGCACTGTTGCTGAGAAAGAGAATGTAGCATCCTCTCTTCTTGACCTCGAGAAGATATAACGGAATTTCTTGGCCGCTTAACTTGATTACCTATCCCGAACGACTGATTGTGAGCTGTACGTTTTTGAGGAATTTACCTCATTGCGGTATTCCTCAAAAGTATAAAATAACCGTAAGAAATGCATCAAGTAGAACAATTGAATATGTCTGTCTTTGAATTAATATTTATATTACCTTCATACACCTCTCTTCTCATAAAAAATTCAATATAAAATAATTATTCATTTTCTGTTAGTTATTTTTATTTGTTTTTTCTGAAAATTTTATTTAATAAGCCTTAAGAACAATCCTAAAAATTAATAGTATGAATATATAGATATATCTGTTCTTGTACAATTTGTTATAAAAATTATACTTTCTCTAAACGCAACTTTTATTTGTTTTCAGAGGACTTATAGCTTATATTACAATGTTGTTTTCGATACGTGATCATGAAAAAAAAGACAGAAGTGTCGCTGATATATTTAGGCAATGGGTCAATCGTAATCCAAATAAAGTCTGCTTTATATTTGAAGATCAGGAATGGACTTACCAACAGGTAAATTTTTTCTATACAAAAAGATGATGTATCGCTTTTTATTTAATGCATATGTTTTAAATTTGGAAGATATTTTACACAATTTAAATATATGTAAATAATAAATTGTGACCGGCGGCTTTATATTCTGAAATTTATAAGTTAAATAGTCTAAATTAATCTATATATACATATAATAAATTTCTTTATTTACTCCGAAATTCTTATCAAGCACTTCTCGTGTAATTAATAATTAATAATTCAATTCAATAATGTGATTAATAATTAATTGTTCAATTTAATAATGTAATTAATAATTTAATGACTAAGTTTAATAATTAATATCATTCAAGTTAATTGATTGATCGTCTGAGAAAATTTACCATTCTAATTACTTATCCCTGCAGTGAATTTTATAATTTTAAGAATAAAATATAACTCTTGAATTGAATTGAATTTATATTTCTAATTTCCATTATATGGTCATCTTCATAATTATCTCGATTTTCAGAAACAATTTTCTAACTAATTTGAAAATGTTTAAGATTCTTTTTCTTTTAGACATATTTATTAAGTATTTAAAAATATATCATAATGTGTGTAATTTTTTAATCTCTCTCTTTCACTCTCTTTCTCCCTTTCTCTCTTTTACATATAGATAGAAGACTTTAGTAACAAAATCGCGACGATATTCAAAACGCATGGTTATAAAAAAGGAGATGCGGTTGCTTTACTCTTAGAGAATCGCCCAGAATTTGTTGGAATTTGGCTAGGTTTAAGCAAACTTGGTGTTATAACGCCTTTAATTAACACCAACCTCCGTAAAAGCAGCCTACTGCACAGTATCAATATTGCAAAATGTCAGGCGCTTATATATGGCGCGGAATTCTTTAATGGTAAGAAGATAATATATATATTATACATATATATATATAATTAATAAAATAGTAATTAATAGTCTATTCCCATACAACACAAAATATTATGAATGTTTTCAAAAATATTTCTAAATATTTCTTACAAATATTGCATAAAAACATTTTTAAATGGTTTTAAGAATATTTTAAAATGATTTAAAAATTTGTTATGATAACATTTTTAGAACATTTTAAAAAACTTTTAAAAATATTTTTAAAAATGTTCTTTATCGCTCAAATAATATTTTCTCAAATATTTGATACATATTTTTGAAATATTAGTTTAAATCTATATTCCAAAATATTTCTGAAAATATTTTTGAAACATGAAAAAGCGGACACAGAAACATTTTAAAAATATTCTCAAAAATTATTTTATCTTTTAAGAAATATTTTTAAAAGAATTTAAAAATATTTTGTACTGAATGGGTTATTTTATGTGAGTTAAAAAATTGAGATAATACAAATTTGACATTTAAACGTAAAATCCATTTTTTTTCTCAATAGTTTTCAATATTAAATATATATTTAAACAACTAAATGTCAATTTCAGCTGTGACAGATATCGCCTCCTCTTTGGATGCTAAATTAGCGTTATACAGATTCGGCAGTCATCCGAATGCGATGTCGATCGGATTAAAAGAGAAAGATTTGAATGCCATTCTGGTGGACACTCCAGCAACACCACCGGTGGTTCAAGAGAAAGGCGGTCACAACGACAGATTGTTATATATATACACTAGTGGAACTACAGGTCTTCCAAAAGCAGCTATAATAACTAGCTCAAGGTGAATATAAATTTTATTTTTTATTCAAAAACATGCAAAAAATTGGCCACCACAGTTAAATTTTAGCTGTCCCTAATATTACAAACTGAAATTTAATTAGCATGCCTAAATTTTATGATAACTAATATTTTTTAGCTTTTAGTTTAACGGAGAATTCTATAGCTAAAAGTTATCAGAACTAAAATTTAGGCATGATAACTAAATTTCATGTATAATATAGACAGTTAAAATTTAGATACTTTCTAAATTTCTTGGAGTGAAAACTGAACAATCTATTCCAAAAGAGTGGAATCTCACTCTCGAGTGGAATGAGATTGTTCAGTTTTCACTCCAAGAAATTTAGAGAGTATGGTTGCTAATTTTTTCGTGAAAGATTTTTGAAGAATTTTTATTCGAAATTTTGAAAATATATAATTAATTTTATATATAGTTCTTTTTTTCTCTGTTTCAATCAATAGATAGAAATATTTATAATAAAGATATATTTAAGATATTTTTCAAAAAGTGATAAAATATTAAGATTGAAAGAAATTGTATCATATTTTCCCAGATATATCTTTATCGCGGCTGCTGTACATTATGTGGGTTTCCTACGCAAATCGGATAGATTATATACACCTTTACCCTTGTATCATACAGCTGGTGGAGTAATGGCTATAGGACAAGCTTTGTTATTTGGACACACAACAGTAATTAGAAAGAAATTCTCAGCCAGCGCATACTTTAGTGACTGTCTTAAATACAAATGTACCGTAAGTAATTTTCAGCTTGTTAAATTAATTAGATATATAATTCTAAACACATTACAATAATTTATGCTAATTTTATTCTTATATCCCTGTACGTATATATTATCTACATATATTTGTGTGTGAACCGTTAAATGGTTCTTAATAATATATATAAATTTCAGTAATGAAATATTTTATTAAATATAAATATGCATAAGCATCATATTTATATATTTAATAAAATTTTGAAAAATATCAGGTTGGTCAATACATAGGCGAAATGTGTCGATATGTCCTGGCAGTATCACCCAAAAAGGAGGACCAGGAGCATAGTGTTAGAATGATTTTCGGCAATGGGCTCAGGCCACAAATTTGGGAAGAATTCGTAAAACGGTTCAATATTCCAAAAGTGCTCGAATTTTATGGCGCTACCGAAGGCAATAGTAATATTAGTAAGTAATAAAATATTTTACATTCATTACACATACAAAAATGCATGTGTAATATGAAATAAATATAAAATATCGAATCGATTCATTTGTTGTCATTAAACAACAGTTTTATATATATATATATATAAGATATTTCAAAGCAGCATCTGAGTCATCAGATATATTTCGTTGAAAATCATTAATTTTAATTTATCACGTTTATTTAATCAAGGCATATTTTGTTGTAAAAGTATTATAAAATTGAGCAATAATACTCAAAGCGTTATAAAAATTGTATTATTTTCAGTGAACGTTGATAATAAAACTGGAGCAGTAGGTTTCATTTCGAGAATTATTCCTTCAATATATCCTATATCTATTATTAAAGTAGATGAAGATGGCGAACCTATTCGTAATGCTAAAGGGCTGTGTCAGGTTTGTGAACCAAGTAAGTATCGCGATACAATAAATTTAATTAATCATAATTAATATATATCTTATTTAACGAACGTGAAATAAAAAAATATTCAATTTGACATTTATTAGTATTTAAAATTTTGCTATTATAAGATATTATATACATTTAAAAAAGTGATTGAATTCGAATCGATATTTATTTCAATACTACCTTATAAATCATTTATTTGAAACTAAATTTTGATTTGATGTGAAAAAAATATTTATTTATAAGAAAAGATATAAGAAAATCTTTTTCACAACAGATAAATATTTATTTGTTTCAAATAAGTGATTTATAAGTAGGCAGTATTGAAATAAATAATTATTAATTTAATAATTTTTTTCAGTGTAGTCAAAACCTATATTAAACTAACGATTTTTTTATGACTCGAGTAAGGGATATTTTAATCAATAATATTGTTAATTACATTATTTTTCTCGGAGTTTTATACATGTTACATGCAAACTAATTTTTTATTTAATAGATGAACCTGGTGTCTTTATTGGAAAAATTTTACCAAACAATCCAACCAGGGCATTTTTAGGATACGTAGATGAAAAAGCATCTGAGAAAAAAGTGGTTCGCGATATTTTCACGAAAGGAGATTCTGCCTTCCTATCAGGTATACAATTTGGCTTATTATTCATTACATATCAAAACGAGTTTGAAATAAGATATTAATTAAGTTTCCAGTATAATTTGAACATTTTCAGTTATGAGTTGATAAATAATTAATATTTTTGATAATTTATAAAAATATTCTTTCTCTCTCTCACATGTAAATGTATATATTTAATATAATATATATATATATATATATATATATATATATATATATAAGAGAGAGAATATTTTTATAAATTATCAAATATTAATTTTTTATCAAATTATAACTGAAAAAAAATGTTTAAATTATACATATATTCGTTAATATTACGTAGATAATTTTATAAATTTGACTAATTATTTAGGTGACATCCTTGTGGCCGATGAATTGGGATATTTATATTTCAAAGACAGAACGGGTGATACGTTTAGATGGAAAGGAGAAAATGTGTCCACTTCTGAAGTTGAAGCAATAATCAGCAATCTCATCAACTATCGAGATTGCATAGTATACGGCGTTGAGGTACATTTAATTTTTATTATTTTCTAAATAATTTTTTGTAATATCAACACATGGTGCAATAATTATTATATAACGCAATAATGGTCAATAAAATGTATTAATACAAAACGTATTAATACAAAATGTATTAATACAAAATGTGTATTAATACAAAAAATGTTTTAAAAGAACGTTAATCTATAACGTAATAAAATATGATAATCAATAGGTTCGAGGTGTTGAAGGTAAAGCAGGAATGGCTGCAATTTACGATGAAAATGGAACATTGGATGTAAATAAATTAATTGTCGACGTTAAGGAACAGTTACCTGCTTATGCTAGACCACAATTTGTCAGAATTCTGACGAAAATTGATCTCACAGGTATAAAATATCATGTTGAAAAATTTATAAGAAATTAAATCACGAAACGCGCGCGATTTTTTACGCGATAGTTTTTATTTCGTGTATTATAAAATATGCAAAAAAAATATGTCCACTCTTTTATTAAAATATATAAAATAAGTGCTAAATATTTATTCATGATTTGTAGGAACCTTTAAGTTGAAGAAAAAAGATCTCCAAGAAGAAGGGTACAATGCGGAAAAAATACAAGACAAGCTATATTATTTAGATCCGAAGAATGGTTATCAGTTATTAACACGAGATATTTATGATCAAATTCAACAAGGCACGATGAAATTCTAAGTACGTCAGCCGGAAGACTGTAAACCAAGGATCATGTTTAGATATAATCACATTAAGATAGCACAATAATCATATTTAGATTATTTTATGTCATACACACAAAATTATTGTTATGCGCGAATCTCAGAAACTCTTGATTTTCTTCAGATAGTAAAATAATTGCGATATTTCAACTACTTGAAATATTAAGCAGTGCAGTAGTTTATCAATATATTGATACTCCTATTGTTGATTGTGTTCACACTGACGAGTTTTTATGTTTTGATCGCATAGATTATAATATCAACTTCAACAAGTGCATATAAAACAAATAATAAGTAATAGTTAAAATCTGGATGCAATTAAACGGTGAAAATTATTATATCTTTCGTAAAAATATGTGAGCAGCATATATTTTTAAATTTAATCTTAATGTGCGTTTGTATTTATATCAAAGCTTTTTCCTTCTTTTTTATATGATTTTAAATCATTTGCACAAAATATTTTTAATTTGAAAATATTCCTTAACTTGAATTACGCTTCGTAACGTCTTTCAAATTTCATTATGCTTCAGATATTTTTATGTAGATATTTCAAATTTTTATAAATTATGGTAATATTTTCTTTTATAAAACACACAACATTCTATTTTGCGATTATATAATTACTTAGTTATATCCAGATTATAACAGTTTTATATTCATGTGTTTTACATTAATATATTTGTATTGTTTCATAAAAAAACATTTGTAAATGTGTATAATAAATTCTTATTATACAACCGATTGTTTATCTATTTCTTATATATCCATTATGCACTAAAATACAATATGTATCTATATTAAAACAAATGCAAATTAGATTGCATTTTAAAGATAACGATTTCAGTGCATATATAAGAACCAATTAAAATCATCAATGTTTAAATTGTACTCACCGACATCGTTGATTCAAGATCAAAATCATCAATGCTTAAATTCTACTCACCGACATCGCTGATCAAAATCGGCCACAGGTTTCGTATTTAGATCTGAAATAAAAGAACAATATATCATCGATTAGATTTAAAAACAGTAACAATTAAAAACTAAATTTTTTTGCATTAAAAATTTATTTTTTCCAATTTTTAACTAATTAAAACTAAACTTAAATTAGAAGAAATTATATTGTCAAAATTACAAAAAGTTAATTATTAAAATTTTGAATTAAAGTAAAATTATCAATTTTATTCTTTTGTGATATATATTAATAATTAGAATAAAATAATAAAGAAAATTTAAATTAATAATATATATTAATATATAATTATATATGTATAATTAATAATATATATAATTATTGAGTTATTCTGAAAAGATTCTTTAAAATTATTAAATTTTAGTTGTGAAATATTAAAATAAACGTAAAATCTCATTACCTTTTAGTTGATTCTGCTTGGCCCGAACCGAATCCTTCGGTGCTGCAACGCCAAATTCGTAAGAAATAATATATAATCACATCTGTATCTAAAACAATAAATAATTATCTTAATTAAAATTATTGATTTAATAAAATATCATTTATAATTCAATATATTAGGCTACAAAGTAATTAAATCATTGATTTTGTTCTATAGATTTGTTCAAGAATAGAAAATATTTTAAATTCACGATTTGAAAACATTGCTAAATCCTCTTAAATTTGTATTTAAAAAAATAATAATTGTATAAAAAACGTAATTTCTAGAAAAAATTCAAGATGGTATAAAAATAAATTTCACAATTTTAAAAAAGTTTTAAATATTCGTGTAATTTTTATTAAACATTGCTTATAAAAAGTAAATTAAATGATATAAAAGTATTTTCTACACATTAAACGTTACTGCATAAATTTCGCTTTCTATACTTCAATGAGTATTTAAATTCCGCGCGCATTTAAATCCCGATAAAGGCGAACTGAAAACAGAAACTCGCGGAAAGAGACGTGTGCAAAGTTTGTCGACATCGATATTGATCATTTATACTTCGCGAAGATGCATTATGCGTACATATATGTATAAACAGATGATGTATCTTCGAAAAAAAGAGGGAAAATAGCAACAGGATCGTCACGAACACAATTAAAATATAACACGGATACGTCTCGTTGTCGCTGTACACGGAATTTGGGACGAAACACTGCCGTGTCTCTTGATTTCGAGTCGTAATATTGCTTCGATCAAAGTATTCTACGCGTTGCACTGTACGATTACGTTTCACATGCATTAATGTTATCGCTCAATACTGCTTTAATTAAAGAATTTTTCATACATTACCTGATTATCGTGGCGAGAGCGAGAGAGTACGTCTTGATGCGCGCGACTTTGAATCGACATTGACCGCTAGGCGCCGCTGGAATGCGGCACGTCTCAGGTCACGTGACGGACGCGGAGTGGGGAGCCGGCGCTTCACGTGACTGGCGCGGAGTGGGGGAAAGGGGAACAGCTGCGCACTTGTCAGTGCCCTCTCCGGCCTCTACTGTGTAATATGTCGAAGCGAGAGAGAAGAGGCATTTCTCTCTCTCTCTCTCTTTTTTTCTGAAAATTGTAATGGAAAAATCGGTTTTTTATCAAAAATATGTGTCATAATATGTCACCTACATGTGCGTGTGAAAATATTTTAATAACAACATACGTATATATTTATAAAATAAAAAAAAATCATGCGCGACTAAACAGTGATTTTATCGACAGTCGAAAAAAAGTTTGTCAATTTAGTTTCCGAAATGGACCTATAGATGGAGTGGTGTTCGCGCAAGATTTGTGTGTGGTTAGTTTTTCGTAGAAAAAAAAAAAAAAATCGAGCCTTTTTTTTCTAAATCTGAAAATATAAATTATATCCTTGTGATACATGTAGATGTATATGTTTCATTGTATTTTTGTCCGAATTTTACGACAGCAAAATGTAATATGCCGCTGAAATGACAAAGATTTTATATGTCGACATTAAAATATCTGTAGAAACACACAGTTTAATTTTGGACGATTCATATATTTTTGGATCGCGCGTGCCAAATAGAAAGCAATGGTGACTAAATTAATTGATTAATATAAATTGGAGTGAAGACAATTCGTCGTGTTGCGACAAATTCATTGAAACTCGCTGTCATGAATCTTGTCGGAGTTGTGTTTCTCTCTGCAATTTAATTGTAAAGAGTGAGTAAATAAATTGTATTATTATTCGAAAAGATCGAGAAAATATAACTGAATATAACTGTTCATAAAACGAAATGTTTATTGTAATTAAATTTTTTGCGCAATATTAACTGCAGATATAAATATTCGTAATGATATATATTGTTAATAAAATGTGATAAACTTTCTGTTATCACTTCACTCACAAAGTTTTGATATCATAATATTCGAATAAACAATTATTTTGGACTGTCCTCTCTTTTACATGTTAAAAAGTTGTTTAAAAATTGTAGTAAAATCTTCCTGAGTTCCATAGAAATAAAACAAAATGCTATTTATTGTGCAATAATAATGTGTGTTTGATATTTCAATCTTTTGTACACAACATAACGCATGCAATTGAATTAACATGTATCTGTTTTTGTCACAGATTATTTGTAGCATCCTAAAGTGACACAATGCCTGGAAAAATAAAGGTGAAAATATTAGCTGGTCGTAATTTACCAGTTATGGATCGTTCTGGTGATACAACAGATGCATATGTTGAATTAAAGTTTGGTACTATAACATACAAGACGGATGTATGTCGAAAATCATTGAACCCGCAGTGGAATTCAGAATGGTATCGATTTGAAGTTGACGATGCAGAGTTGCAGGATGAACCGTTGCAAATTAGATTAATGGATCACGATACATATTCTGCGAATGATGCGATAGGCAAAGTTTATATAAACTTGAATCCTTTATTATTACCCGGTATGCTGCCTCCAGTAAAAAATATTTGGACCTTAGAAGCTTCAATGAATACCAGTGTTGGTTCACAAGGTAATATATTTTTTATTTTATATATATATATATATCACATGTAAAATGATATAAAATATGAATTATATATATTTATCCCATATTTTTTTAATTTCTCAATTATTTTTTGTGTATTTACTTTTGCAGGATCAGTTATGACCGGATGGATACCTGTATATGATACAATGCATGGCATACGTGGTGAAGTAAATATTATTATCAAGGTTGAGTTATTCTCCGATTTTAACAAGTTTCGACAATCATCGTGTGGAGTGCAATTCTTTTATTGTAAGCATATTCTTCTATCAAGTAAATCTATGCATCTTTAAGAGGAATAATAGATGATAATAGATTGATTTCACAATTCATTTCTTTGTTCTATGAAAAATATTACTTTTTTTAATTTATAGTGTTATTCATAAATAAAAATAATAACTGAAAGATATATATATATATATATATATATAAACAAAATTAATCAAAATATGTTAATTTCAGCACCGAATATACCATATGGATATCATGCACAAATGATACATGGATTTGTTGAAGAACTTGTAGTTAGCGATGATCCTGAATACAAATGGATTGATAAAATAAGAACGCCTAGAGCATCAAACGAGGCACGACAGACTTTATTTTTTAAATTAAGCGGCGAAGTACAAAGGAAAATTGGATTGAAAGCCTTGGATCTTGGTGGAAATGCTGTGATTGGGTATATCTTTTTTTTGTAGAATAAAATTTTCAATTTCAGATACATTTTCACATATGAATTAATGTTGCTCAAAAAGTTTTATATAAAGAACTGGTTTAAATTTATATAACAAGGAACTGATTTAAAACATCTCCAATGTTCGATTACTCGTTACTTTAATTAACGTTTAATTTAATTATCAGATATCTGCAAAACTTCGACTTGGAAGGTGAATCTGGTATCGTTGCCAGAGGGATAGGCACAGCAGTGACCCTCGTAAAATTGCACGATGTTCTCGGTTTTCCTTGCGATAACGTCAACATCGAGGAGTGAGTACTTTTATATCTTTAACATTGGATTGTATCGAAATAGACGGTGTCTCGTCGTCGAATGCAATTAAACGTTAGATCATTACGATAAACGGTAACTTAATTATTACGCAATTGCGTCTGGCATCGCGAGCCAATTAATCGTGTCGCCAACAGACCGATCATAAACTTGGCGTTCATGAACAAGCTATTTCGAGAATTTCGTATAAGGAAACGTAGTTCCTTCTATTTTATGGCTGAGACATTCTATCTCTCGCAGCTGAAAATACTTTCTGATAAATAGATATGGGCGAGTTGAATTTATGGAGCAAATCATTTAATCTATAGAGATACATATATATATATATTATAATATATAAAGCAAAATTAGAGATAATTGATAGAAATATATATATATATATATTTCTTTTCGTTATTTTAGTATACCACTTCTGTATCATGAAGCCAAATTACTTGTCATTTAAGCGGTTGATGCTCACTTGAGCCACTTTATTTGATCTTTTATAATTATTCATTATTTTGGTTTCATTTTTTTCTACGTAATAAGTAAAAATATTTCCTACTTTTTAAATTAATCTTTATCCCGATTTAAATCAAATTTATTCAATTTCGTTGCTTCTCTGTACTACCTTCCCTAGAGAGATATTATAATGAATATTTTTCTGTCTTTCCTATACCCGCATGCGTTTGCGTAGGATCGCATTCGCGCTCTCCTCATGCACTAAAAAAGCGCGAACGGAACGTTTAGATGGCAGTATGCCATTCATACCCATCTCTATTCCCGCTTCGTGTCCTGCGCGCATACCCATAAACAAGGGTCTTTCATCTTGCGCGGGATCTCTATCGTCGCTGACGCGCCTAGAACGTTCGACGAGGATACCCGAGGCTCCTGGGTGTACCTGGACGCGAAGGAATGCACGCGGCAAGCGAGTCCCGTTTCTCCGATGCAACACTATGAGCACCATGAACCTCAGGACAGCCACTTCCGGCGGTTCGGACCTTGTCCCGTCCGCGGAAGTCAATAGGAACCTGATCGGGGAGACGGTGAGGTCTGTACGTACCATGTTGACGGCGGAGGACGCCGCCGGCAGGAAGGAATCGTCGAGAGACCGACTCTCCAAACAGATCAGGCACTTGCGTGGCAAATTTGATTCGGTCGGCGAAGAGAATCATTCTGTTGCACGGTCGGATTCCGACGCGAATCTTACAAGATCATTTCCTATGAATTCTAAGAAGAATGAAGCTAAACCTAGCGCAATGGCCGCCCTGCTGATCGGTTCTATACGGCATATGCCTTTGGAGAATGTCAGAAATGACGATCTTACCTTGATCTCTCCCAGCGATGAGCAATCGAGCACGACAAACGAAAACGTAGCTGATGCAGGGTGTTGTAGGGAGAATCCTCAGGAGAATGCAGACACCAAGGATGAAGGACAGCCGCGGGACAACGCATCCTCGTCGGTCGACGAGATGTCCTCCTTCGACGACGACGATGACGTCGATGATGGTAACTTTTCCGACGACGAATCGTCGAACGGCACCACCAGTTACAATATCTTGGACGATTCAAGGTCGCTCGACGGAGGCAGAGACTCGTCCAGTCTCCAGGAGACGATTCCCATCACCGTTCGGTCCAGCGTGGAAAGCTGCACGGATTCCACCCTGCAAGTAGAATTGGATTGTCAATCATCGTCGAGTTCGAATGCAGCGAACGCGGAGGGTGCCGAGCTACTAAATGACGTGATAATCCCTGTAATTACCGTGGACATTCACGAGAGCGCAGACTCGGATACATCCGTCGACGCAGTTGGACTGTCGAACGATGAAAGTCCCAACTTAACAATCTCACATAGCTTAGGGAAGAGCGATACTTTTGCTCCGACAACGATTTCTTCGTCGGATGAGCAAAAGATCGACGACGCAAATCGTAAGGCACTCGAAGATGAAGATTTAAAGAAGCGCTACCACAGCGACGATACCACATTTGGGTTTGATAATTCCTTGCGGGAAATGATGGAACAATCAGCACCGCAACTCGACACCTCGTCTCCCCCTGAAACGGAAGATCAAATAAGCGTGGATAGAGAAAGAAATGAGCCGGAGCTTGACTTACCTGCCGCATCTGAATCATCCCGCGCAAGCTTATCTAAGGAGGAGCTGCGGGCGAGGGCGATCGTCGCCGTTAGACGCAGATGTATGTACGATCTGATCCAGCTGATCGACACGAAGATGATGGTGTCGACTTCCCGTCACAGAAAGAGAGCCGTATCCCTGAGGAGCAAGAAGAGAAAGAAGCGTGAGAGAAAGGCGCGCAAGAGAGTCGCTGATACGTCGGAGAATAACTCGCTGGAGAAGGTGATTCCTTCGCGGGGTGCATCCACGAGAAGACACTCGCGCAGACGACGTCGCGGGGACGATGTTCCTCTTCCGCGGGTTCGCTCGAATCCCGATTGTCTCTCTTCGCAGCCGCTCGTCTCGATTCTCCAGATCACTTCTCGCTCCTGTGGTTCTTCCCTTGTCAACTTAACCGATCGTCCTGTCGTGTCACGCGGTGATTCAAAGCGGGTCGCCCTGCTTCCTCCCGAAGGAGGGCCGATACCCGTCAGCGGCAACTGCCCTCGCAAACGCACCATTAGCACAATCTGTAATTTAGAGAGAGCGTCATGTCACATTAAGCCCACTAACACGGCTAATATAACTCACAACACGTGTGTGTCCCGTCCTTCTCCCGATCTTAGGCAACAAGATGAGGCGTCCGTCAGTCCGTCTTGTCCGCTTCCGGCCGTTTCTTCGATGACCGTGAAGATGTCCCAGTCACCGGCCACCAGGACCCTCGCCAACGTACCGCTTCATCGAAGATCGAGCGATTCCGATCTGAGTGTTACTCCCAAAGGTAAGCTCCAAATAAATAAGATAGTCCTTTCCTCTTTGAGCTGCAAAGCATGATTAGAGAATTACTTTTTCCAATTTTTATTTTCATGTACACATATAAATATAGTTATATATTTATGGAAATTTTTCTAACAATTTTTCCTCGTTTCAACTCGTTATTGCTATACTTACAATTGGGATCTAGTTTTTCCTCAATTGGTTTGATCGAAAAAGAAAAAAAAACAAGCTGAAGAGATCACGTTGCGTTTCAGGTAACTCCCTCGGTAGCAGTGACAGATCGGTGCCCGGACCCTTGAGGACACCAGCTGGGGTGGTCAGATCTATGAATCAGGATACGTTGGAAATGTTAGAGTATCCATTTATTACAATGCAACATTATCCACCTGGTTTCATATTGCATATAGGTAATTACGCTTACTTATGAACACCTTCAGCAAGATCCTGCATATAATCTCACGTCCATTCAGTTTTAACGTTGCACATAAATAACAGTAATTAAGTCTAAAGATAAGTATAAAAATGTTCAACAAGTGATTATGATCAATTGGTAAACTGAGTCTTCTGGAAACAGGTGGCCTGGTGAGCTCGAGATCCGTAAAATTAATCGAGAGGATAAGTAATTTAGAGGAACCTGAGGGCCGTGATGCGTGGTGGACCGAAATCAGGATGGAAGTTAGATCACACGCGAGAGCTTTGGCTTGCAATGTTGTCATAGGCTACAAGGAAGAGACTAGTATATGGTAAAGCCTTCCCGAGTTTCTAATTTTTAATTACTCTTCCATCTCGTTTTACATTATCCAAATATTTTTCCCACAGCGATGATGTATGCGTTCTGAGTGCTTCCGGCACAGCGGCGGTCATAAATTTCCACAATTCCGGCCAGGATCCGGAGGGCGTCGTAAATAAGCTCCAGCAAGGCGTCTCCGTGGCTGCCGTCGACTCGGACCGCGAGAAGGGCCAGCAAAAATTAACGGCGGTGACGAAGGCGACGGAGAAGGTCGACGGCGATGCGGTGACCACCGTGACGTATCCGGAGCGGCTGAACGGGAAGCTGCACCGACGTTCCTCCGAGAGCAACGAGCACGAGAGCTCGTGCAGCCAGTCGCAATTGCGGTGCAAGCTCAGCCACCTTCCTTACAGCGAGAGCAGCGTACCATTTAGAGTTAACGTATCCAAATGTGCCATATGCAAACGTGCCAAAGTCCCGGACGTGATGTTCACTACTATAGAAGTGCCGGCGAATATATCGACGACCGGAAGAGGCTGCTTCATACAGGCCACCGTGTGTAAGAGCAAGAAGGATCTGCGAGGCGAGTTGAATGCGAAGGAGATATCCGATTGTCTGCCTTTTCTGGAATACGAGCTCCACAGTTTGCTGCTGAACAAGCTGAAGATTAAAGGCATGAACGCGATCTTCGGCCTCAAGTTGCAGGTTTCCGTAGGAGAACGATTTCTAATCGGCATGGCGGTAGGCACCGCGATCTATCTCACGGCCTTACCGCCGCCTACCATTCCGCAGATAGCTTCCGGCAATTCGTGGCATAACGAGGAGCAATTGGCGGAAATGCAAAAGTCCATCGTAGAGACGCTGAAGAAGAATAGAGAATTTTATCGGCTGAAACCAATTGGAGTCAACGTACGTGGGACTTAACACCCAAGTTTTCTCAAATATCAAATGAATACCTAGAAGCGCTAGAAATTCCTTCGTTAATTATAATAATCGTCGCGCGATTGTAGGAAGTGGAAAATGGCCGCGTTCCGAGTACTTCCGATACAGACGAATCAGACGAGGATCTGCCGGAACTTGACCTTGGAGTGGGTACTCGCGACGCGTGTGTCTTGGAAGTGGACGACATCGAGGATATGGATCGGATATCGTCGCTGATGGACAACAGACCGCCTGATGATTTTCACGTCGTTAATACGCAGACAATACCTGGCTTGGAAGACTTGGAAATCGTCCGAAATTTACAAATGTTTACACAGGTCTTCAGAGCTAAGATCCCTACGGGACAATCCGCCTCGATGCCATCGAAATATTTCGCCAGATTGCTTCAGGTACGATCTTTCGTCTCTAAAAAACATATATTTATAATTAAAAATTTATAATTATTTATAAGTCAAATATATATATATATGTATTTTTATTATTATAAATAATGTATATTATAATTAATATATATTTATAATTAAAAATTTTGCAAAGAGAAATTATTAAGTAATTTCTAAAACTTTTTTTTGCTTTATTTCAGTCCTTGTATTTTAAATTAAGGAGAATGGTTCCTTGTGCTCTGTGTGATATGCAATTTAAGGTAGCATTACCTGAGCAAGATGAAATACAATTGACTGTCGTTGGTATGGCTCTTGGATTGGGAGAACCTTCGAATAGATATAAAAGGAAAATTGTATGTCGTTCCCAGAGCAAGGATCAAGTAAGAAAATCAGGTACTCCTTGAAGCATTTCTTCTCTGCAAAATATTAATATTTTGTTAATACAGGAAATTATTAGGGATACACACACATTTTTTTCACGATTGATACCCACGCTTATCATATATTTCGTAAAAAAATACCTTTTCAGGGTCAATTCTTAATTAACATGGGTGACAACAGTATCTTATTACGCAGATGAAAAACATAGCCCTGCATAATTGTTTTTTATTGCTTTGTCTAAGAATTCTCTAAGAATTTTTTCTCTTTAAAGAATACGCTCTAAAAATATTAATTTCATTGTTTTTTTCTTATTCTTCCAGATGATAGTGATATGATATTTAGTCTTGACGAGGATCATGTAGAAAATAATGCGATAACTGACAATGCAACACGTACTTGTGCCAATCCAGCAATCTTAACTGCTGCTTCTGTACAAAAGCCAAGACCACGCTCACCTTTACGTTTAAAATCATTTACTACTCATAGACGTAAACATGTGAGAAACAATTTTTTGTCTTCAAAATATTTTAAAGATATATCCAAATCTGACACTTGCAATACTTGTTTCCTTAACGTAATTACTTGCTTGATTGGTAATGATATAAAAATGGTCATTAATTCATTAGGTGCCTTTGAAAGGAAGATACGGGGTAGATATAACACCTTTATCTTATCTGCCAGGTGGAAGGATAGAAAGATATCAAGGCAATCTAAATTTTTTCTTTATACGTGAGAGTACATCGATACGGGAGGTGAGTTTTGTGTAGAATCATTAGATTTTCAATCTCATCAGAATGTTATAAAGGCAACTGCTAACGACTCTGGTATTATAGAATGGTGGACTGAGTGGTTTCACTCACAGTTTTGTGATGGAAGTTTTGGCGATTGTTCGCGCGCATATTACAGCATGGGGGGTAATGCTATGGTAGCGTTTTTTATGACTCAATGCGTGCTTCTTCACAGCCCTCACAAAAATCAAGTTAGTAAAAGTATTATTTTATTTTAATGTACTTGAAATACGAAAAATACTAAAGTGTTCTGTTACTAATAACTCCCTCTTTTCTTAAAATAACAATATTAATTATTAATAAATTATAAAAGTTAATTTGTATAATTAAAAAAATTATTTGTATACTATTTAATCGAATGTATGTATTTTTCACGATCGGTGTACGTACGCTTATTTCGTAAAAAAATATCTTTTCAGGGTCAATGCTTGATTAACGTAGGTGGTGATGTTGTAACAGTATCTTATTACGCGGATGAAAAACATAGCACCATTTCAAATTGCTGACCCCAGCCTCCACATTCAGCGCCACCGTAATTATACATTTGGAATTTATTAAGCAATATAATTAAATGCCAATATCACACACACACCTGCAATATTGTTATGAATAGGACTAATTCATTACTAATTCTACAAAATTTTTAATGTACTGTGCAATATCTAATTTTACAATATTCTTTTTTCAAAGGACGAATATTTAATCTCATTTTTTAAAATAAAGCTAATAATATGAAATACAATAATATGAAATGATATGCTTCTTTCTTCAAAGGCATATTATTTCTATTATTATAGATATTTATAATAATATTTAAATTTAATATTTAAACACAATTTTATCTTCTTATTGTTAATCTTTTCCTTCTCATACTATCTTGCATATCATGTTATACGTGTAACATGTGATATATATATCTTTTATATATTATATATATATATATATATATATATATATCAGTAATTTCTCCAAGTGTACAAAAACACTTTCAATTTTTTATTAATAATTCAATAGATACTCGCTTATCTAAAAATGGTTTGTTATTAGTAATACAATCAGAGAGAAATAAGACTTCTAAGAAACTAAATAATTGAACTAATAATATATACATAAAATTTGTAGAAATATTTTACAATTTATTTGCACTTTGCTGATTGCATTATAAATAACAAATTATTTAATAAATAGTGTATTAATCTTTAGAATGCACTATCATTCTCTATTCAAAACAAACTTTTACACAACATGATAGGATTAAATTAAATTGTTTAAATAGAATTTTAGTAGAATTATAATTCTAAAGGCAAGATCGGATTTGCAGGATATACAAAACAATTTATTTCCTACATCAATATAGTTTTGATCACTAGGTGCCTTTGAAATTATATGCAGAAAGAATTTCATGATAAGATATTCTTTTGCTTTACACAAAATATATTAATAGTAGACCGCGATTATCCAATTTAGAATCATCAGAATTTACAAAGTTAATCATTTAAAAAAAGTATTGTTTTAAAAATTAAACATAAAATGATTCATTAAAAACAAACTATTTTCATGCATCTGATTATGTTAAAACACGATAAAAAATAAATATTTACAAAAAATAGATAATAGATTAAAAGGAAATCAATATACATTTGAAAAGAAATATTATAAATAACTTTTATAATCTTCAAGAACTATATCAATAATATAATAATAGTCCTTAGATTTTTGCGACTTCGATTCTTTCAATTATTGTTGATACTTATTATTATGCGAATATTTATTATGCATGTACATAATGAACATATTTTGGAAATAGGCATGTAATTAACGAGGAAAAGTAGAAGAATGGTTATTATAAAGAAATTGTTTTATGATGTTTGTTCAGCATTAGAATCGTATAGCATAAAGAGTATTTATTACAATTGTATCAGAATCTCGAATAAATACGTTCGATGCATCCAAACGTGTCAAATTGCAACAAAACATATTTAATACTTTACGTTTCAAACATCGAAACAAAAGTTTTTTTAGATATAATTTTTCTGACATATATTAAATATATGTACAAATTGTATTTTATATTTATCTCTTACTTAAGTCGATGAAGAAATAATTATGAGGTACACGAGTCGAGTGTCGAACGAAAAATGTACACGTGGATGATTAAACTCTAGTCAAAGTTTGTTGTTTGTTTCCCTGTTATTAATATTAAATTAATCTCACAAGCATCCGTGAGAAGTTTCGTTGTTATATAAAAATTTTTATTAATCCCAGAACGGTCGCGTCCTTACGATTCGATTTATATTTTCATCCTTCATTTCAGGTATTTTCACAAGTCTTTATTTGCGAAATCAATTAAATAAATTGTGGAAACAAAAATTATATATTTTCAGGCGACTGCGATATTTTCGATTCGGTCGTCCTGCTTCTTTTATTCTTCTTTATAAATTTTATTAGAAAAAATATCTCGTGCCACGATACATTTTATATGCTATAAAGCTTATTGTACGAAATGAGGATCAAATATGGTAGCCCATGGTGATCCAAGGTGACCGTTCTCAGATTAAATTTCAGTCAGAATAAGTGGAAGATATTGTGCGATATGTTACTTTAAATGAACAATATTAGCTGTACTCAAATACAAATGAAGAATAAATTGTTTTTATTTATAAAGGAAGGTCCTTTTAATAAAGAACTGTGTGGAATATTTGTTTTTGTCCAATACATCGCATCAAAGTTTCGTGATATTAGAAATGCTTATTAATCATTGTTTCATATTTAACAAATATTAAATCTTTTAATTAATTATATTATTAAAGGAATAGGAGAAGATTGAGAAAAGATTGAATATATATATTGATTATTTTACTGTGCATTTTTAATATATGTTTGGTATCAATTTCCATATATTCTAATCTGCTTTGATTTCCATAATAGTACAATTATCAAAAATAGAGTATTTATTAGATGTAAAAATCTATGTTGCAGATACATGTAAATTTTTAAAATTGAATTTTTGCAAAGAATTATAAGATATATAAAATTCATGTATAATTCATGTATCTAAAAAATGGGTCATTTAAAAAATTATATATTAAAATTAATGATATGTTAAATGTCAAATTTGAATATATTTATATTTAAAGTATTCAGTTAAAATAATTAAAACTTTAAAGATTTGGAGACATACATCTAAAATATAAATAATCTAAAAGCACAAATTGTATAAAATATTTGTGAAATATTTATACACACATAAAGGGGTGAAATAAACTTTTGATTTTGAATCAATACCCCTTTCCTCGTTTCTTAAGATATTATTTATCTCATGATTATACATTTCTAGATTATAAATTTGCTTTATCATCATCGCGCAGATAAAACGAGATAAATTAACGCAATTACGGGATTAAAATATGCGCCGCAGAGGTGTACGTGGGTTAAATTAAGGAACGCGAGATACAAGATCCTTTTTGTCACCCTACGTACGATAAAAGCTACTTAGAATGCAGGATGGTCGACCGGAGAAAAACAAATATTGTCGCACAGGTAATTATTCTTACAACGATGGCGAGAGACATCAATCTCCGGAGTCTGCGTGTCATCGTCGACCTTAAAATTCGAATTCTCTTCCTTCCGTTCGATATATTAAATCATATAAGAAAAAAAGGAAAAAGAAAAATAATTCTTAGATATTTATATTAATTAATTATAGTAATTCTTAGATATGTATATGCGTGCGTGTGATACCAAATCGCGAAGTAATCAAATTATTCTACTGAAACCATGGGCGTCGGCAGGATTTTTTCCAGGAGGGGATATAATTATAAATTATTTTTATTTTTCTGTTCTTTCTTAAATTTTTAAATTTAATTATTTTTATTATTTTATTTTAATTTTTTAAATATTAAATATGCAAATAAATTCCAGTGTTTATTCAAAAGGAGAGCAAAACTTAATTTTTTTACTTATTTCAAGGGGGCTCTCTTTTCCTTTTACCTTTTTTAAATTAATTAATTAATCGCAGAAGGCAAAAATTATTCTCCATCTCACTCTTGAGAAAATAATATCAATTTGTAAATTTTTACCTATCTCTCGCAGTTACCTTTCATTAATACTCTTGATGTTTTCGTTCTCTTTCCTCATCCTCGTCTTCATTTGCTCGCAAGCTCGATTTCCGCAAGTTCGGTCCATCGATCGCTGCCGGAAATCGTGAGAATTTCGTTGGAAGTTTAACTTCGTTCGAAGTTCATTCTTATTTTTCTCCTTTTTTTTCCTTGGTTTTGTGACAAACTGTCGAAACATTTCGCATGTTAATTACTTCATCGATGATTATAAATGATTTGACTTATAGATTGCATAAAAAATGACACGATACATATTCATATTTATATCTATCTATTCTTACAATTTGGCGATAAAATTCCAAATCTTATTGCATTAGCAATTTGTTTAATATGGACAGTATATATTTTCTGCACCGAAATTTTTTCAAGTTCAGAAGATTTCATATTTTAATTTATAATATATATTAAAAATATTTTCTATTATCTATATTAAGAACAGTCCTAATATCGTACAATGGGAAAAGGTGTGGGATATATATATACATATATATATATATATATATATATATATATATATATAGTAGTAATCAACAAGTGTCTGAGAGAATCACTTTATACGTATGTGTATATGCGTATACTGTTATAATAATTATTATACTATTCACTTCACATGTAATTAGTATGTATCACATCGATTCGTTCGTTCCATAATAATATCCATATGATTAGGCATATATAATGTACATATATTTATGCGAATGTATATTTAATGAGTAAAACGACGTAGGGAATAACACAGTCTTTAAGAAAAGGTCGAAGCTTTCGGCACCTCTATCTTTTAATACACAACTAAGACTATAAATTAATCAATTGACAATAAGATCGAATGAAAGGTAGTGGTTCAACTTCAGGACACATCATGCAAGGTATTTATACTTATATATTTTTATTCACTATTTAATTCATACTTTATTTATTCAAATAGCTGTGTACATATTTGATCATATTTCTTCTATCTTCCTTTGCAATAAATACTTTTGTAATAAATGCCGTCTCTCTCAAAAATGGCGATAAGTGAAAGCATAGCATTATTAAATTTATATAGATCATTTTTATGAACAAAAATAAATATTATAAAATATTTATTCAATTTACTTTGAATTTATAGTGAATCTTATTTTAATACAATTTTTTATTCTTGAGATTTGATACATTTTTTTTAAATGTTAAATTTTGAAAAGTTACAAAAAAATATAATGACTTTGAATATTTTTACCTAAGAAAAAGATTCATCTCAATTTTTTTTATTAATGCTATGCGTTCACTTTTTGCATCCTGTACAGAGAAGTATATAACTTAAAGCAAATTATTTGAATTAACAAAATAAAATTAAATAGCAAATGAGTGCGCGTGTGTGCAAATTTGTAAACTATCGCTTAATATATATATATATATATATATATATATATATATATATCTTGAGATTTTAACTCAATTTAATTTGTGCCTAATTTAATTTACAACGCGTTCAAACTAAATCGTCACTATATAGTGTCACTGATCGTGTTACGAAGCGTGAAATAATTGATTTATCAAATAAATAGCGTTTGAAACTTATACAACGCCCTTTACTTTCGTGTATATAGAGAGAGAGTCATTATCCCGCAAGCGGCGCGAAGATGAGAGAGTGATTAATTGGAAATAGTAGTCGCGCGAAAATCGATACGGCACAACGTTCCTACGTTCTTACATTCGTAAAGTAGCGATGTTAATCTAATCGTAAAGTCTAGTTAAAGTAGGACATGGAATTAATAGACGAGTAAATTCGAGACATTCACAAGATACAGTGTAGATTAAAATGATACACGTTTGTTGTGTGCAAATGCAGTTGCATCCTCCATTCGTCGCGAGATATAATATATAGAATTGATGAAAATAACATTCGATTTTTGCACATAAAATTATTTAAGATTTTTTTCAGATATACGAAAAAGTATCGTCGAATTTATTTCTCTAATTTTGTGAAGAAGATAATAATTTTTGAGCGTGTTACATATGAGAGAGTATTTTATATAAATACTGAAAATTTTGCAATACTGCGTCTTTCTCAACAAAAAAAAAAATTATATATATTTATATATTTATGAAAATAAAATCTTTCATATAAAATTAATCTTTGGTAAAAAATGTGTTCCGCAAAGAGAACATTTAATAGATATAAAAAACTAATGAATTCCTTCTTATAAATAACGTACGACTTTTGTCGGATAAAGAGCTAGGATATAGAAAATTAATTGCACGAAAATTCTGAAAAATTCAAGACATACTTACTTTCACGATGATTCAACACTAGGACGCTCGAAAAGACCAATTTGATCCCTTAATACTGTTTTAAATTACAGCGAAAATGAAGATTATCAAAGAGGCTGTTATAACAGGGATCAAATCATTTCGTCTTTTAGCGCGTACGTATGCTGACTGTAAATTTCTTCTTTTTTTTTGTTTTTTTTTTTTTACATTCGGCAAATGTCCTACGAATCGATGACGGGGCAATCGAATAATTGAGAAGAGAACTTTTGAGATCGTTTATCTCTAGTGCGAATACAGAGCAGGCCGTTGTTTTTAACCGAAGCGCAAGAAAACGTGATCGACGTCTTGCCTCTTGACACTGCTGTCATAACGAGGCAAGTTTTCTCGATATTCTGAAAACAATTCGAACATATTAATTAACATACAAATTCTTTTCAACTTGACAATGCAAAATAATATTTTACAATTTTATATACATATACAGGGTATATCTAAATACGTGCGAAAAATTTTAAGAGATGATTCTTTGAAAATTAAGGGAGGTTTCTTACATAAACATATACTCTAGGAGAAGTTACACTTTCCTAAAAATTAAGTTTTTATTTCTTTTACAAATTTCAGACAAATTATAAAAGAATGAAATGGAGAATATCCACCAAGTTTCATTTTTTTTAATTAAGGCAGTAAGAGGGGGCATTTGGAATCAGTAAAAGATTAAGCATTTGTTCTCCATTTAAATAAACACTGAAATTTATTTGCATATTTAATATAAAAAAATTAAATTTTTAAAAATTAAGAAAAAATGTAATTAAAAATGTTCTGTCCCCACCTCCCTTAGAAAAAATTTTGTGAACGCCCATGGCTATATTTTTAGCTATAATTTAATGAAGAATTTTGCTGTTTAACTATAGCTAAAAAATATTAACTACTATTGTTAAAATTTAGGCATGATAATTAAATTTTAGGTATAATAATATATACACAGATAATTTTCTCTTAGAATTTATCCTGAAAATCATGGTGATCATGGAACAAATTGAAAGAATTTTATCACTTATAAAAGTTTCTCTGATATTAATATTTACCACAATAAAAAATATTAATATCTACTATAATAAGATATAAAAATATTTGATAATAATTTTACTATGTGGTAAAAATAATCGACCATATTTTTTATTGGCATATTAACATAAAAAAATTAAGAAAGAACAAAAAATAAGAAACAAAAAAATTGTATCATTCTCTTCCTGAAGAAAATCCTCTGCAGACACTCATATATATATATATAAAAATAATACAAATAAATAAATAATTAATAAATATAAATTAATATAAATTAAAACACGCAAACAAGTAAAAAAATATATAGATAGATACAAATTAAACATATGCGGGATTCGCTGTTTTAATCTAAAGAAGAACACCCTGAAGAATCATTAAAGCTGTGTGCAAATAAAAGAAACGATTCAATCGAGACAATTTACCTCTGTCGTCGACGAAACTGTTCATCACCCTGGTGTCCAACATTCTGGCGAAGGCGAAGCAGATTTTACGTAGTCTGGGCGGAAGTTCCTCGAGGAATCCGGAATTGCACTGAACGGGCCACATAGCTTCGCCGGAAAAGGCCGCTATCGCCGTCACCGACACGAGAATCATCAACGTCGAGCTCATCATTTTCGGGCTAGAAAAAAATATAAAAGTATAAAAAAATTAAAAATTGAAAAATAAAAATATGTGCATATGCAGGATTAATCATATATGTAGGGTTGAGTAAATTAATGATTTTTTTAAAATTAAGTTGAGTTAAAATTATAGTTGCTTATAAAATTAATTTAGTTAAATTAAAAATTTTATGAACAAAAATTAACTCGGTTAAAGTTAAGTTAAGATTAAATTAATTAAAGCTAAATCAAAAGTTAATTTTAAAAAATATTATTTATATTAAATTTAAAATTAAAATTTTGTTTGTTAATTCTTTTAAAATTTATAATAACAAATAACAAAGAAATTTGTATTTTTATATAGAAATATATTTTTTAATATATATATTTTAATATATGGAAATATATTTTTTGGTAATTACAATTGATGATGAAATGAACATAAAAATGAATAATATTTTAATTTAAAAATAATACGTTTATGACTTATCATATTTGACGTCCCACATTTTGTCATATGTCACTTTGCGATTTCATCGCAAGGATAAATCATTCTAATAAAATATGTATATGTTTATATGAAGAATTTATTTTCGTCCATTTACTATGAGGCGCCATGCTTAAGATAATCTCAAATTGTTATAAATGAATGTACGGGTTTAAAGTTTAAATATGACACACCAATATCTGGCAGGAGGAAATGACATATCGAGTCATAAATCGTGAATTATACATTTTCTGACAGTCTTGCTTTGTATGCGTCTACATTTTACGTATCATCGTACATACAGATAAATTAATGCTTGCATATATTGATCCCCGAGGTATGCGATTTCCTCAAACGATGGGACAGCCTATTGTAAGATATCCTATTGTAAATGTAAATGCATGTATCATACATTAGATGTCCACGTGGCAATGCATGTGTTCTGAATGGAAATATCACACGACATGATTCGACGAACACATCCGCATTAGTATACATATATAACAATTACATAATGCAAATGTTATTACAATTGATCTCTGCGCAGACGAATTATTGAAGTAAATATTTTGATTCATAATAGCGCGACAGTTTAATTAATTATTCACATTTGTGTGTCGCAGTATGAAAGCTTTTTTTCCAAATTACATTTTTTAATCGAATGTAAAATATTCTTTGTTACTTTCCCTATTTTGCAATTTTATATGTAAATGTCAAATTTTTGTGTCAGATTTATGTTCAGATTAATAAAATGTGTTATAATATTTTAACACAAAAATGCGAAGTTTTTCAAGTAATTTGAAATCAATTTTGTGTAAAAATTAACTAAAAATATGTTTATTTTAGATTTTTTATCATTCTCACTTATATTATAAAATGAAAAATCAACATTTTTTAAATAAATTTTAACAGATAAATCTTGTCACTAATAAAACACAACATATTGTATTTATTAGGCAAAACTAGAAATAGATGCACAATCTGTTATGTTTACATTTTTTCAGCTATTTTAATCATTTAACATTTGAGTTCAGTAAACAACAATAATATGTTAAATTAACAGATGAATATATTAAATACTTACAGAAAAATTTTAACTTTTTTAACAAAAAAAACAAATTTTCCAATTGTGTATTTCGCAGGGAATATATAAGCTGAATAATTTATGTATAAGTAAGTATATATATAAGAAAAATAATAGAAACAAGAGTCGACTAAAAAATATCGCATTACAGAGAAGGGTTGATTTAAAAGAGCATCAGATAAACAAGACTTATATTAAGAAAAATACGATCTTATGCGAGGAAAGTCAAAGTATGGAAGAAAAATTGCGTTTCGCTTGTGTTTGAACTGTCCAATAGTTTTTATTTCGTTTGCGTTCGAAAAGAATCGAACAGAATGAGAACAAAACAGGGATTTATAGTCAAAGAGTCAAGAAATTTGATATACAAACAGCTCTTCTCGCCTTTGTAAGAAATACGAAAAGAGCTCGCGAAAAGAAATCTCTCGAAAAGAAATAAATTTTTTCGTAGTTTTATGCAAGCTTCTGACGCTCAAATTCTCGGATAAATGTCACTTCTTCGTATAAAAAAATAATAAAAATCATTTATCTCGTTTTCGGCCTTAGAATTCATCCATACATCAATTCAAATATGCACTAGAATTTATTTGCATATTTAATATAAAAAAATGAAAAGAATAAAAAAAAAAAATAAGAAAAAACAAAAAAATTCTCGGATAAATGTCACTTCTTCGTCTAAAAAAAATTATAAAAATCATTTATCTCCTTTCCGACCTTAATATATTAGGTTTGTACTAAGTCCGTCCTGACAGAAATGCGAATTCCCGAGGAGAACATAAGAATCGTTCACATCAATGTCCAACAATAAGTTTTCGAGGGACGGCGAAAAAGAAAATCGTTCAAATAAAATACAAAAATGTTACACACCCACATAGAAATATTCTCTGCGTAATATATTCTAATTACATCCTTATTCACTTAAATTTCGTAGCAGACATTAAGAACTGGTTTTTCAATCAAGTTAAAACTTAGATTGAAATTTAAACTCGAATCTGCGCAGAATATATGTGTGCATAATTTCAACTTCGATCTAACAATAAGTTTCAACTATTATTGAGAAACTGCGGCTCTTAATGAGACATATTTAATAAGAACGCAATTAAGCGCGACAAATTAACACGAGCGAATTTCGACTATTCTGGGATAAATGCCGCTTCTTCGTCTAAAAAAAATTATAAAAATCATTTATCTCCTTTTCGACCTTAGAATTCATCCATACGTCAATTAAAATATTACTGGAATTTTTTTGCATATTTAATATAAGAAAATAAAAATAAAATAAAAAATAATTTTAAAAAATGAGAAAAAACAAAAAAATTTAATTATGCCTCCCTGGAAAAAATCGGATAATACTGCTTATTATTAATGAAAATAGTTATTTTGGGGAAAATAATATCCCCGAATTTCATAGAATTTCATATAAAAGACGCTTATCAGCTGTCAAAGTAAATTCTAAGGTCGAAAAGAAAATTAACATGAGCGAATTTCGATTATTCTCTTAAGATGTGGATGTAAAAAACGTCGAAGGTAGAATGTTTTTCGAGTTATATTTCACAGGAGAAGGGAGAAACACGAATCTACACAATTGTGGGTACCAGGATAAATAGGCAACCTGTTGCTGATTCGCTATCGCTTGATTGATGGACCGAATAATCGCGTTTTATGTATTTTATCCCGAGCAGTTACATGTAATATACATAGATTTGTGTTACGATATTCAATAAATAATATTTGTTTAAGCAAAATAAGTAAGACTGAATAAAAGATAATTTTTTTTAGGGACAAAAATACTCTTAGTCTCGTGTATATATTTGCGCACAGAAGGAACTTTTAAATTTCTTCGCAGATGCAGTCAAGTTTGCAGGTATTTAAATAGATTTCTAAGAAAAAAAGAGGAAAAATAAATTTAAAAAAATTATAATTAACTGCACGTTGAATTTTAAAATTATTCTTAAACTGAATCAATGAAAATATCACTTATTAAAGCAAGATGTCACTGAATCCACGAATAATTATAATATTTTAGATTTCAAAATTTTTAAAAACCACCCTTAATTGAGTCTTCTCAATGAGATTTCATTACTTGTAATATTATACTATAACTGAAAGCGCTGCTTATCCAGTGATAACACATTAATTCCATTTAAAGGGATAAAATTTAAATCTATAGTTATATATGAAAAAATAAAATCATACAAATTTAGATATTTTTAAAAATATCTGCGTTTGCGAACAGAAAGAATTAAAACAATTTTTTCAGGTTGAGTTTTAATATATGATACGTAACGTTGTTATGAACGGAGATTTTTAATTAATTTTTGACACTTTAACACATATTCATATTTTAGTTGAAGGTCGAAATTAAAATGCGAAGGATTTTGCAATGATTGTAATACTATTTGCATTCGTTTATCGTCAATGACGACTGCACGTACGTAAATATTGACGATGCACCGAGTAGATAATGCAACTCGATACTAAAAACGTGTGTTTTGATATATTCTGCATTGACATATATATCCCAGAAACAATTTTTTTATATGTAATAATTTTTATACATATATAAATATTATAATTATTATAATTATTATAATTATATATAAATAAATATAATTATATATAAATAATTGTATAATTATACATATAATCGTAAAATTATATGAGAAATATGTCTATTTTTATACATAATTATACAAATTTATATATAAATTATAAAGATTCATATATAATTATGTCAAATTATATATGAAACATATATATTTATATATATAAAAAATATTTATTTATTATAATATATATAAATTTATATAATTATATATAAAAAGCATTTTTATCTAATTATGAACATGGACATATTTTATATATAATTTTGCGATTATATGTATAATTTTATATTATTATGTATACAAATTTTTTATATACCTATATATACATAAATGCTGTCTTTATTGCTTTATGTATTTTGAAGATATGCATAATGGCAGCTATAAAAATCTATCTAGAAAATAATTAAAATGACAATATATGCGAGATAAGAAATCCAGATAAAAATTTCCGGATAGCACACATTATTTGATACATCGGAGACTTGAGGAAGATAATTATAACATATTTAATTCTAATGCATATACATTTTTAAGAGTATTTACAAAAGAATTAACATCGCCATTAAAACGAAACTTTGATCGTGCTTTTATATAATACAGAATACAAAATGTACGATAGATTATTACAGTACAATAGAGTTAATTGAAATTTGAAATTATAAGCAATAAAATATTTTGTGTATGTATATAAAAAAAATAAAATATTTTTTATTAAGTAAATTAACTTTTATTAATAAATTAATAAAAATAATAATGATTAATAAAATAAAAATTAATCAAATGTTAATATTAATATTTGTGTACTCAATAGCTGTGTTAAAAATGTATATTTAATGTTCACATTAC